TTAATCACGATGTCATTGATTTTTCAGTTAGAAAATCGATTATACATGTACTTGTGGTAAAAGGCATTGACCCTAATGTCTGCAGGGGGGGGGGGGTCGGATTGACGATATTTTCAAGAGTACTTTTTGCGAATTTTTTTCTGCGTCTCCGTTATATTTTAGCTTGAGCCACATAAGACATTTTTGGCATACAAACCAAGGTGATTGGGGGTAGAGGGGCAAAGTTATGAGGGGCAATAAAATTGAAATTCATAAAATATTGATTTTGACTTTGTTTCCAATGCTCTAGAAAATACAAAAATATGATTATTGCTGTAATGATTTAGCATATTGGATTCTCTTTCCAATATGCTTTATTTCATGAAAATCGAGCCACTCTATCTATTGACTGTGTTATGAATTTTTAAATGTAAAAACTGTCAATCGCCAAGTAGTCGCGAAACGCGTCCTCTTATATTTTGAAAGAAAAATGATTTTTCTCAAAAACTACTACGAATATCAAATAGGTCTGCGCTATTATTGAGTGATACAAATAGAAAAAAGAAAACGCATATCTTAAATCTGATTAATATTTTATTAATTGTGTGGCGTTTATGATGACATAAACCCCAAGAACATAATAATAATGGAAAATATCAGTTGTGACATCGAGTCATGAAAAATATTTGTATTATAACTTCTCCAAGTCATCAGATACATGAAATATTTTGATATAAATAATAAAAAGATAAAAAACGCATGTCTCCAAAAAAATATATATCGATTTTGAATTTCATTTAATGAGTGAAAGCCCTTTACCTCCCCAGCATCACGGTTTGACCTTTCGAGCGTGACGATTTTTTCGCGTTCTTCATTGCCGTCCAGCATTGTGTATATCCCTCCGATAATATTATAAGAAGTAATAAGAGTGCCTGCAATCTTGGGAATACTATACACGCCTAACCATCGGCGTCAAAAAATAGCGGAGTACAGTTTTTTGTACGGTGACGCAAATCGACTGCTTTGGAGCAAAAACTATGACAAGGGTTCTAAAAAAATTAATTTGATGAAAACAAATACGATTCCATGTGAAATAAAAACAGCATTCTCTTAGAAATGGTTTTAACTTTCTAATTATGATAAACTTTTTACGAGCACTGTTCGGATTTTTTCTCAGTGAATCGGCCCACATAACCGACCCAAGTGAAAAAGGTTGTATTTTTCACATTTCTTTTGGTTATTATTTTCCCTGCCGTCTGAGAGTATGGATTATTTTTATGAGAATATGTATTTGTTAATCATTGTGTATATTTAAAAAAGATCAGATTTGTACTGTGACGCATAAGCTACGGTGACGATTCGTTATAATTTGTGAGAAGTAATATAAAGAACTCATTATTTATTTCAAATCGCATAAGTTTTAGTGTGGAAGTTCAAATGTTGATCCAGTCAAGTATCCCTCGTATAAATGTTGTCAAATGATCAGTATCAGGCGAAAGTTACTGCAGTCACTTTTGAATTTAAGATGTTGGAAAGGAAGTGTCGATTTCGATACTTTTAGTTTTATTCGAATTAAACTTCTTTACAGTTTGCGTTATGCTTTGATGAACTAAATGAGACTAAAATGAAATGAAATGGAAGTTCTGGAGTATGATCATCTATTCATATATAATGCATGGGCGCCACCCAACACAGTTCAACGATATCTTCCACCGCTTATGGAAGGTTACTGGAAATGTATGATACGGTAAGAATCATGAAACCAAAAACTCAGTATATTTGTTGCTATGTTATTGATGTTTTTAAACAAGTGATGTCACAAGTAAATCACATCATGCACGTGTGACTTTTTAGGATGAGAGGTGCAATATCTTGCATGGGGTAAAGATGGCTATACAGTCTTTTTTCTCAAATGCGAAGGTGACGGCCGTAACCTTCGCTTGATACTTACCAGTGATAATGTACATGTAGATCTGACACGTCTTTACCTCTTGTTCAAACAGTAAGCTTAGAGTTGAATGTGTTTCAGTATTTAATCCTTGTTATCAGAAAGGAATGGAAACATAGGAATTGATCTTTTTCAATGTTGAATTACTCAGATGCGAGTAGGTAGTTACCAGTTTCGCCACCAGGTGGCTGAGTCGGGGGAAATAACATGGCAGGGTATTACAAAATTCCCTTAAACTTGAATATTCATCAGTTGTAGTGATTCACTTTTCATATTACCCTTTTGTATCTGATAGTTATACAAATTAAAATATGCCCAGTAAAAGAAAATATTATCTGCCCAACACAAGAAAAGATATTTCCCTTTTTGTGATTTTACAACATGGGCTCTATGGGGAATCCCCCCGACCTAGAAGTCACATTTTCAAAGAAAATTAAATTTTCAAAGTAGATAGACTCTTTTCAAAACCACATTTCTAGATGTATTTCTACATGTAGATTCCAAATATGACATCAGTTTGACTGAATTTTGAATTTTTGATGACGTAAATCAAGATTATTTCTACTCGCATCTAGTCTATTGGATTCAACATTTGAATTCCACACAAAAACTTATGGAATCTGAAGCTAATACTGAGCCCATATATTACACTTCATAAATTCTAAGGAATCGCCACCGTACAGCAGATGCGTCACCGTACAGATTTAATCTTTTTTAAATATATACAGTGAATGGTTATTTGCCAAATCTTCATCTGTTCTAAAATGTGTAGATAACAAGTACATATTCTCATAAAAATTATCCATACTCTCAGACGGCAGGGAAAATAATAACCAAACGAAAAGTGAAAAAACAACATTTTTCTCTCGAGTCGATTATGTTGGCCGATCCAGTCAGAAAAAATCCGAGCAGTGCTCGAAAAACTTTTATCATAATTAGAAAGTTAAAACCATTTCTAAGAGAATGCTGTTTTTATTACACCCGAAATCGTATTTATTTTCATCAAATTAATTTTTTAAAACCCTCATAATAGTTTTTGCTTCAACTCAGTTAATTTTCGTCACCGTACAGAAAAGTGTACTACTGTATTTTTTGACGCTGTACGGTGACGCCTGCTTCTGCGATGGTTAGGCGTACTATAGCTAAAATGAAAATTATCGGTTGACTATTTTTAAAGATACAATGTGGTCCTCTTGGAGTACGTTTCCTTGTCGTCATTTGTTCACGCGTGACGCCTTAATTATGAGGTCGTACCCAGACTTCAACATGGCAAATATCCTTTGATATTTTCAGAAACAAAAAAATAATAATAGCTCCGAAAATACAATTCAAAGACGAACAATTTGATATAACATAAGCCATATATAGAATAAACAGTACAAGGATGAAATAGGTGGAAATTCCTTGATTATCACGTCGTCCTAAATATGGTTCATTATAATAGTTTTTTATTCTCCCCTACCCCCAATTTTTCAATTTCACTATTTCGATGTTTGTGTCGTTGCTAGGTGTTTGCTAGGCAACATCATGGACCGAAATTATATTGAAACAGTACCAAGTCATACATTCATACATCTGCATAACATCTGACCTAGATTGACCTACTTTTTTAAGAAAATAAAACTTTTCTGAAGAGTACCCGCTCCGATCCTCAGTCCCCGTTTTTGACATTATCCCATTCCCCTAACCAGAACTTTCCGGAGGGGGGGGGGGCGGAGAGCCTCGTCTCACTTTTTAAAAAATTGAGACATTGTACCAATTCTTGTCCGATCTTTTCGGTTTCTGATCGTCTTATAATTTGAAATCAGCTATTGCATTGTTAAAAAAGCAAGGGTGATTCATTGATTTGATAACATTATTGGTCGTAGGAACTACATATTTCACATCTAAGGGCTCTTACCAAGATCATAATACAGTGCTAGCTATCGGAGCAAGTGAAGCTAGTGTCATCAAATTAGTGAGGGTGTGCGCGAACGCCCGAATGAAGCATATCATAGGCATTTCTGGCAGGTATTACAACATTAAGAACTACAATATTAAAATATGGTACCCTCATTAATGAGAGTTTACCATTTAAGGACGTGGTTTTGTACACTAGTATTTGCATGATAAACTATTTAAAATTGAGGAGGTGTGGGTATTAAGTTATTTTCACTTTCTGAGCTGCCGTGTGATGAATGGTGAGGATATCATTTGGGGAACTGCCGTGCGATAATGATGGATAAATTGTGTAATATGTGGGTGAGCTGCCGTGCGATATGTGTTGAGTCGTCGACAAGTTCAGTTTTTTATTTTTTGTGAATAACCTAGATGCGAGTAGAAATAATATTGATTTACGTCATTAAAAATTCGTAATTCAGTCAAACTGATGTCATATTTGGAATCTACATGTAAAATTACACCTAGAAATGTGGTTTTGAAAAGAGTTTATCAACTTTGAAAAATTAATTTTCTTTGAAAATGTGTTTTCTAGGTCGGGGAGATTTCCCATAGACCCCATGCTGTAAAACCACAAAAAGTGAAATATCTTTTCTTGTGTTGGGCAGATAATATTTTCTTTTACTGGACATATTTTAATTTGTATAACTATCACATACGTAATGGTAATATGAAAAGTGAACCACTAAAACTGATGAATATTCAAGTTTAAGGGAATTTTGTAATACCCTGCCATGTTATTTCCCCCGAATCAGCCACCTGGTGGCGAAACTGGTAACTACCTACTCGCATCTGAGTAATTGCACTTCGCACGTTTTATCTAATCAATGGTTAAATGGACATTCATGAACAAGCCTTGTATTCATTTTAGTCATCATTGGAACCTTCGTTGGAGCATATGCATGCGCGTGTTACTGTGAGCCCGAATCAGTTTATTGTAAGGTTGTGTGGTATGTGGTGGATCCGCTGTACGTTATAGGTGGAGGCATCGTTCGACAAATGGTGGAGCTGCCGTGTGGTGGATGATATTCAGTGACTCTGAGGCCCGGGTATACAGTCATTAATAAAAAATCAGTCTTATTCTTATTCAATGTAAGTAAAAGAGATTAATATACATGTATACACCACGCATTACCAACTCAGTACACTAGGGGACTTTTTAAACATTTTTAACTCATTCCTGGGCCTCAGCAGTGACTTGTTGCGATTTGTCATCGGATCCAAGCATGCATTCAAATACAAATGATAATTTGCTACGTATCGTTACAAGAACATATCTTTATTTATTTCAATTGAAAGCAACTTCTGAATAGCCTAAATCAAATAAATATAAAGTCCCAATTAAATAAAATAAATGCATCGAGAATTCATTGTTCTGCCTTCATATCTAGCATACTCCGATCCCAGAATTCATCGGAGTTCGAGATTTGACGAGATTGACGAGACGCGGGAAATCTTTTGCTGGTGCCTCGATCAAGTTTCGAATAGCTAAAGGAGAGACAGCATCGCATTCGGGGAATTCGTGAAGCTTTAGAAAGTTTGCCGCTTCTTCACTAGCAATGCAAAAATCCGACTTCATTTCCATTATCAAGGCGTATTCCACTGCTGCCTCTTGCATGTTGCGTTGGAAACATACCATGGCGTTATCCATAGCATAGAAATCTTCAGGAATTACTAATGACATCTTTCGATCTGGAATGAAAGTTTTTATAGTCCACATGTAGTCTTTATCTTACAAAATTACATCACCAGTAGAAATAAGTTAAAGTGGTTGCTTAATTTAGTTGTTGGGATTAACCAGAATTGAATATGTAATTATACATATAAATGCACAAATGCTTGAGACATAGAAATCTTCAGGAATTACTAATGACATCTTTCGATCTGGAATGAAAGTTTTTATAGTCCACATGTAGTCTTTATCTTACAAAATACATCACCAGTAGAAATAAGTTAAAGTGGTTGCTTAATTTAGTTGTTGCGTTCAAAAACCAGAATGTGGTCACCTATCGGCAATAATTAAAACTAAATTTCTGCAATGATTACACAGACAGTCCAGTGCGGAATCTTTTCGTGATATTGTTAACTGCCGAGCCTAAACATATAAGAGTTGATCTTTCTAATTCGTTGAATATCTTCAATAGAGGATTGGGCTTGATGTAAATTGCGTAGTAAAACATAATCTGTAAACCAAATCATATTTGGAAGATTGAAGACATTGCCATGCTCCAAATATAATTCCATTTTTTTAATAAATATATTGAAAATACACAGAGGACAAAGAGATTCTTACGAGGAGCTAGAATGCCACCATAGATGCTTGTGAGGTCGAGATTAGGGCATACTCCCGTCTTGATGGCCACGCCTACTCGGTAGAAAAAGATATGTCCCATCTGCCATGAGGCCGACAGACGCATGTCACTCTCTACTCCCATCTGACAACTGCGAGTATTGGCATAACAATCCAGCAATCCCTGGTTGAAAAGAACGAATTTCGTTTAAATCAATTACAATATTTTCTTGTTTTCTAACTTATTATTGCCATAAATAACCAATCGACTTGTGGAATAACAGGATGGCCATTAGTTTTGGTTATGAACACAAGATTACGTGAATTATGTTAATGTGAAAAAACACATTAATTCGACTACTTCATTTGCGTTTCATATTGGAATTACTATTTTGTCAAAAAACATTGAAATGGCAAACAATCGTTTAAATCAAAATCATATTCTATTTTTCTTTGACATCGTTAGCCACCGACCTTTTAAAAGCAAGATCGTTGGCCAATCGAGAAAGATTTATTAATAGATTATCAAAAAGAATGTCTTTGACGCTTCAAAAATCAAGATAACTTCGTTTATCAAAATAGAGACAAAACTACTAATAAAAAGAGGAAACGTGATATGCAGACGTCAAGTTGTGATGCAGGTTATGCAAACTGAGTGAACGAATACGACAAATTTGCTACAATGCAAATCATGATACATGTCTTATTTAGCACAACGTGTTCCGTACCGAGTTCTTAAAATAGAACCGTAAACTCTATCACTTCAAGGCAATGTATAGGGTGTCCAAAAAACTTGTACACAAATGAGATTGGAATTCATCTTTTTCTTTCATCGAAAAATTATAGCTTTTGACATGAAAGGGAAAATTCATTTTTCAATAAGCAGTTAAACATGACATTTCTGATCAATGCAGAAATGGATGCAATTTCAAACATTGGAAAATGAGTGCTGTTACTAAAACAAGCTTTATTTCTGGATGTGAAGTTTTTCTGTACCATTTTTAATCTGACATAGATTAACATGGTAAAAAAACTTGAAAAGGAAACGCCTGCCCATCCGAATACTTTTGATCGGTGTAGTGGCGCTCGGAATAGATATGTGTTACTGTTGTTCTATTCCACCTATTTACTCAGATACTGGAGCACCCGTAACAGGTCACCTATATTTTCCAATGTACTCGTTCTCCACTAGATCGCAAGTGGATATATATTACCTGCCATGCGATGCAGAAATCTCCCAATATTCCCACTTCTTCGGTCTTTGGGACTTCGTTATATCGAACGTTGAAGAAGTAGCTATGTGCCTGGAAACATCTTCTTAATTCATCCTTGCATTCTCCTGTTTAGAACAAAATTGCTTCTGATTAAAACACATGGGTAAATACATTATATATGTGAGCAGATGTATATTTGAACGTTATCATTTTGAAAGAGTAGCTAGCTATGCACCCGACTCCAAAACTTGCATTCAAATTAGATGACCTCAGCGAAATTGTTGCCATTACACAGTGGACAATCAGTCTTGAGATCCGGTAATTAAGTACTGTAAACAATTAAGCCAATTTTTTAACAGTATACTAACTGTGATTGTGACAGAAAAGACAATAACCTATTTCTGCATGTCACCGGAAGAATACATAACATGTGTGAATAGCTTGGTTATTGGTCAGTTCATTCGATTCTGAAGATGTTTTTCATTAATTTGCTTTTTATGGATCATTTTATTGAAATGCAACGTACGTTGTTGAATTTCCGATAAGAAATTAAACAATGTTTGACACCTTCATGCCAGAGGTTGGGGAATAAGACTAGTGTTAAGCAATATAGTTGTTTAAATCAAAGAAAGTCCAAAGATGCAGTTTGATTTGTTTCAATTCAATCATACTTATGTGCCGTATTATCTTTACAATAAAATTTACTCTGAAAATAACACACATGGCTGTAAGGAATACGAACGGTGAGAGTAACCAACATAGAATGCATATTGTGTTATTTAGTGTGTTCTGACTAGCTGGGTTTTGGTATATCATGTCAGCTACTGATGTGCGGATGTGTAATAGAATTATACTCTCATATATAATAAACATGTACATAAAATTCCATTCCAAAATATCTACTCATCTGCGTTGCGTTTCATGATTATCCCTATACCCATTCTAGGAAATAATATCTTAGCTTATCTACGACATCTCATCTAAGAGATATTTTAGAATCTAGAGGATTAAACTTATGGCGTACAAAACTCATCCAACTCAAACAAACCGATTAATTATATTCCATTATTTCTCAAAAGTCCATTATATAGTTTCAGAATAAATGTTCAAGACATGCTTAATGGAGCCTTTAACTGCAAAAGTTCATATTTCAGAAAAAGGTAATCCTATCCTAATGGACTCTAATCACGGTTGGTCAGAGCTACAGTATGTTAATTGTAATATAATCTTCACATACATCATTATCTTTGTTTCATCTTTTTGATGATAAGTGCATCACATATAAACAATGAAAGCACGATCGTATTTAAAACACCAGCTTGAATACACGTTCGTGATAAGGACATTGCTAAAGATTATGAAAAGCCGTTGAGGTAGAGATTGAGGCTTATTCACGCGGTACTAACTTCGACCGTTAATTTGAATTTTTGACCTACCGGATGTTTGAAAATCAAGGATTGCGAGTCTCATACAGCACCGTTTTTCTTCAAAATTTTAAATTAACGGTCGAAGTTAGTACCGCGTGCTTATTGGGATTATGGTCTCGCTCTGTATATAAATCATACCACTTTTCATGAGTTTAATCGTGATATTGGTATGGTCTGGTATGGTCATATTAGAAAAAGAGTCGTCATTCATGGAGGACAACCAAATCTGTTACCAGTGGTCGGCCGTGTATTTCTGTGCAAAGTCGATATTCAAACGGCCCATGTAAAATAATTCTTTGAAATTCCAAAGACTTTTGGAGTTCTGAATCGATGGGGTGTAAATCTTCTGTCAATTTCCGTTTTTTCTCCACTAGTTCTTATCACTATAGGCTATTGTCCTTAATAGATTTCGGAACAGCACAGCATGAATAAAACAGTACACCGGTCTTCACACTGATATTATTCTAGTTGGATATCATGACGTCTGTGAAAGAACACAGATGAGCAAAGCACAAATCAACGAACCCATTTTACGAATTACTTGTACGAACGATAATCTTGAAGGAAGTTATCCTATATGTACTTGTCTCAGAGTTAGAATATACCATTAGATATGGAAAGGTGAAGATGTCAGGTAATAAGGATACGATATCATTACCCCGCGAAGTCTGCGAGTAACACTGACTTGTCACATTTAGGCATTCTTCCTTTCTCATGAATGTAGAATGTAACATGTGTGTATTAAATGTCGATTAAGAATAAAAATATATAAGGGAATGATGAAGGCAAAAGCATGAAAATATCAGACCACGTGTATATGTGTACCTCCTGCACTGTAATTCCTGGCCTCTGAGCAAGACCTCAAACGATGTGCGAAATTCAATTGGATGAATTCTCAAAAAAATCATTAAGACAGCAGAACAAACTCAAGATTCAAATATTGCCAGGCTTTGATGACCAAAATCAAATAAAAAATCCCACTTTCCAAACTTATTTTGGAGTAAATTTTTCAAGAATTGAGGAATCTGTGACTTTTCTTGTGAACAGGGTGACCCAAAAACAGAACCCTCTAAAAGTGTGATAAGTGTGATAATACCAAATTAAAGTTGTTTCACAAAATTGTTTAATTGTGATATCATGGATGATTTTAGAATGTGTCCTTTTTTGGAAAATCATAACTTGAGCTTTATAAGAAATTCAGAAGAAAATTCCACAGAAGTCGTCAAATGAAAGTCTCATTTAATATTTTAATTGGAAAATGAAGAATAAGCAATGGTAAAACACCTAGTAAAACATTAGATAACTATGATTCAAGGCCTCTGAGCAAGACCTCAAACGCCGTACGAAATTCTATTGGATGAATTCTCCAAAAATCATTAAGACAGCAGAATGATCAGATAAGAGCATTGCATAACATGTGATTTCAAAGTCAAATATTTGATAATGAATTGGAAGAGGAAGAAATGAGAACTGTGAAACACTTGAATGGGAAGTTTCTAAGAATGGGGGTATGGGAACATCTGAAAGCACTGTGTGCGATTGCATTGAAATCAGTTGCTGCAGGACATCACTCAAAAGGTGCAGTCATACCTCAAGATGGGTTAAAAGTTGCCGGGACACTTCCTCATTAATGATCTGAAGCTCTATACTCACAAAATGCAGCTTAAAAATAAAGTAAATGAATGTGATGGGTCTAAACATATAATGTGCAACCTTTTGGTTGACATGAAAATCTTATATTTTGTTTTATTTCAAAAGTGGGCACATTTATTAATTGACCATAACAAGAAAAATATTGAATGTTATGTAACAAATTTGGTCTCACATTGTCATCCATAGAATGTAGTTTCTGTACCTGCAAAATGAAAATGATTACATGTATTAAAGAAATCATTTCATTTTTGGAGGGTTCTGTTTTTTGGATCACCCTGTAGTTACGATTTCCGTCCAGGCATTATCTCAGTGAAATCGTCAAAAAATGTTCAAAAATAAATGCAGTTTTCAGAAATCTGGGACAACTATCTTCCCCATTATTTGAGTAATTTCTGGATTGCTTTCACGAGCTTAAACACATATATTATCAATAACATGTCTTAATTACCCTTTTTCCAAAATAATTTTGTCAAATGACTCGATTGCCGGGTACATTTTAATTAAGAAAGACAGATTTTCTGATTTACATTTTTAGTGATTTTATGTAAGAGCATATCGATCTCCGCGGAAAATGAGATGTCTCTTAATTTCAAAATCGTTGATGTTACCCCCCTATCACACCAAACTCGTTCTTACCCGTTCTTGCCAGTCCTACGAAAACGTCGTAAAACGGGCTCAATCTGGCTGTGGTCGGGAAATATGTCTGAAATATGTTCTTCGTTCTTAAACAGTCTTCAATACGTCCATCTCGTTCGCAGTTCGTTCAGGTCGCACCACGTCGGTGTGCAACGCCGTAGAACGCGTCCCTTAGTCTAGAAGGTCATCATGACCTGATAACAGAACGGTATGGTCGCAATCGAATTTTGAATCGATTCAAAATTCTAAAATCACATTCCCGTCTGAGAACGTTCATAAAGTTCGTAAATAGACCTTAGAAAGTTGCAACTACGTTCATTCCGTTCGCACATAGTTTAGAACCAGTTTTAAAGAACGCAGTGGCAACTTGTTTGGTGTGATAGCTATATTTTTGCTAACTCGTTCATAAGCAGTGTTAAATACGTTCTTAATCAGTTTAAACCCGTTTGCAATTGAGTTCTACCTCGTTCTCAACACGTCCTCAGACAGTTCAACTCGTTGTTAAAACGTCCCTAGTAGGATTGAAGTACGACGGTTCCGTTCGTAGTACGTTCAGCTCGTCGTTAGTACGTTGTCGATCGTTCTAATTGTAGAACGTGAAGACCACGAGAACATTTTGAGCATTGCCTAAGTTCTAGAGGACCTACCCGTTCGAGTACGTTCGATGAAGTTTGTAAATAGATCCCAAACGGTTCTTAGTACGTCCAGTCCGTTCGTACACAGTTGAAGCCCGTTTTCGAGAACGTAGTGAGAACTAGTTTGGTGTGATAGTAGGGTTATATGCAAGCATATTAATCTTTTCTTCATTGAACACAAAAAAAATCACAAAGATTCCTTAATTATTGAAAAAGTTATTTCAAAATTAGTGGGTGGTATTTTTGTGTCATCTTGTAATGATTCAGTTTTTGGCAAAATTGAAATCGAGATGGTAAGGATCAATGGCAAGAGGTTATTATATATGAATCACTATAATCTTGGTCAAAGACCCTTGACCCCCCCCCCACCCCCTCTTAAACAACAGTTGTAAAGTAGATAGGGGGAGGGGTACAGGGTCTTGAAGTAAGACTAATAAATCAGAAGCAATCGATTTACATGAGACTGGAAAGCAAAGTTAGCTTGGTGGAAACCCATTGTCATGATAAAACTAATCTTTATTAATATTTATCAATAAATTTTCTTTATACAAATTCCATCGTGATCATTTGATGCTAGGAGATGTTAATCAAATGAAAATATTGCAATATGCCGATAAGTCAAATTCATTGAATCATGGTTCTATAGACGTTTTAGGTAGTTTCCCTTGGGATTCCCATATAGGAGATCCTCTATCATCAAAGCGTCTTATCTTCACACCCACGCACATTTCTCTCAGGCCTTGACCGGTGTGGTTATATTTCGATCAGTACGTATTTGTTTGTTAGTTTGTTAGTTCAATTTTAGAAAAAAAAGTAATCCTACTATCCTAATAATATCAATCCCGTCTAAAACCAAATCTAAAAAGTGCTTAGAAAAACACAAACAACAATGAACTTTTTAAATATCCGGTTTGTTGTTTAGAAAAAGCATTTATGTCGTCAATTTATGTCATCATTTTCGTAAATGGAGGAACATTTCATGAATTATTTACAATGGCGGTGTGGTGAAAAATGGTATTACAAGATTTACTCTGTTAAATTACTTAAGTACGATCACCATGGGACAAACTTTGAATTAAGGAACTGATTTAACAGATCGCTTATTAGATTGATAAATTCTATAATAATCTGTGTTTACTCACAAGAGTAAAATAAAGATTTGTAAAGTGTATTTTATTTGTTATGGTTGTACGCATGATTATCCTGTTTTATTTCACGGAGAACAAATTGACATAACTCGCTCATTTCGTCATTTCTGCTTTCCGAAAGATAAAACAGAGGGACTATAAACCATATCAATTTAGCAATATCTATTAATAAAATTTAATATCAGTGAGGAGACTTGGAGGAGCCATACACGATTGCCAAACACTCAATACGAAAATACTTATTACTTTGGTTCTAATCAATTTGTACCGAAATATCACAATCAAATAAAATATTTTTCAGTGGATGGTGTATAAAACTAGATAAGGATTCATAGCAGGATTGCCATTTGAAATTATTCTGCGTGGGTGTGCGTTTCCTTTTGACAAAAGTGTATCATGGGAGCTAATTAAAATTGCTAAAACCCAGTACTCATGCTTTATCCGAAACTAATCATTATCTCTGTGCCAAAATAAGTTTTAAAAAACTGAGTAACATTTTGTTGTTGTGTTTTCCCTTTTTACTTTCATTATAACATACCCGCTTATCTGCGTTATGAAGACATGTGTAGTGATTTTAGTTGTTTAGTAGCCTTCGATTATACTAGTGATTATCTGATTTTATATCATCTAGAACAATAAAACTCGCTCATTTTGTCATTTCTGTATTTGAAAGATAAGGTAGATGAAGAGGATAATCCACATACATACAAATTAGCAATAAGAATAGGCATACAGTAAAGAGAGAACAATAAAATTACCGTCATGTTATTTTACAAGGTGAGCAAATAAAAATGGTACAACTTACATATATTCTATGTAAAGGGGTATATTCAAAATTTCATGAAAATTAGTCAGAACAAAGTTTTAACATTTGTGGATGTATGTATGGAATTAAGAAATATGGCGAATACCCACCAAAAGCTATTAATATTGTCAAGAAGTCGTTTATGTCTATCGTTTGAGTTAAAAGTCACTATTTTTCACTATCCATTCATTATTTCAGTCAAATCTCACTTGCATACAGTATCATTTTTATTTGTAGCAATGACAGTCTTCTGTATATTTAAAACAGCATTTTATCAATATTGTGAATTTTTAAAAATATGTATTTGGAACATTTACCTAACATTTTATAAGAACTTTTTAATTATCAAATATTCCAGTATGCAGTGTAATTACACAATAGCAAAGACTGAACAAAGATCACACTATTTCAATAATAAAATGTAATATTTATAGCATATTAAAAATTTGCAGGCTATGTGACATCATCATGATCACTCAGGCGCAAAAACATTTTGAAAATGATTGAAATTTTTTCTCTTTGTCAATATTTTTTAAATATTCTAAACTTCGAAAATAAACCAATGTTGATTGTGTAACTATTGGTCGAAAAACGAAATAATTCATGTTTTGAATATTATTGGTTTCGACGAGAACTAGAATTTTGAAATGATTTTTTCTCTGTACCGCTTCCATGCATTGGTGATTCATTGAACGTGCTTGTTTATCAACCAATTTTCTTAATTTCGATACGCGAGGATGAATGCTATATGTATTTGTGCAAACTATCGTTTATTAAAAGATACGTGTAACCTTTAAGAATTTAGTTTTAATAAGTAAATTCACGATTTTAAAAGAAAATTTTCACATATGCTGATCTTGGGCAAGACACCAAAATAACGTTATATGGGGCCTTTAATGTAATATTTTGGTAAATGATAATATTTTGGTAAGTCATTTTGATTATACTTAGGGGAATGTTTGCATCGTAATGCATATGATAATTCATGATGCGGTATGAGTCTGAAATTGTGAACCAAAGATTTATGTTATTAGTATATGTCTTTTATCCTATACTTCGGTAGCCTTGCCCAAGTCGGTCTCTTTTACTATCTTGATTTCTATTATTATGGTAATAATTCAAGATCAGATAAGTAAAAAAATACCGACTTGGGCAAGGCTAATACTTCGGAAGAGTTCCGAAAATGCGTAAAAATAAGTTATACCCAATGAGTTATTTCAATAGACAAAAAAGTTTATACTAAAGATATAACACTTTGTTTACGATCGTGTGTACTTTTGAAACATGTCGTTTCTAATGAGAGTTAATTCAATAAAGGATAAACAGACGCCTATGTTAGTTATAAACGGAAGTGATGCATCGTTATTCTTCCTCATTGACAGATTTTATAAGCTTTTCACATTTTGCTAAGAGTGGTTAACATTTTCTTGACAATGTGATGTGCAAATGTTATCTCTTTCTAAATGCGGGATATGTCTACACAGGGCGTTGAATTTGTAAAATCAAAAAAGGAAGCAATACGATATTAAAAGAAAGAAAGAAATATCATAAGAAATAAATATCATTTCTATCAATTGTATAATGTACTGTATTAGTGTGGGTTGTGTCTAGTATATAATAATTGAAATGATTATATTTACCTTTAACCACGTAAAAGAGTGATGCAGCAAAACAGCCGAGGACTAGTCCCAAATTCATCGTGAGTTACTTTTATTAGAATCCTGCAAAGAATACAAAATGCAGATCAAGTGTTTAAGTATACAACCCTCAAGTCACCCCTCCCCCTTAAACTTCCCCAACAGTATTGTATCTAAGGCTGAATGAATTGGTTGTTTTCATTTGCAATTTCTAAAAATGCTGTAATGCAAATGTATCCAATGGGAATGACAGTCAGTTCACTGCTATTTAGATGCTAACTAAAATATGACGAAATAAAACAAATTCCCCTAGATTTAGATTGCCGGGTTCATTTATTGAACAATTTGTTCAAAATAATTATTGGTAAGAAAAACAAGTATCTAACTTTGTTTTTTGGCTATTTATTTGTAATTAAACTCCAGTTTTATTAATTGTTTGTTTGATTAACTGTTTTTGATTGTTTTAATCTTTTTTACTTTTGAATTAATACATCGTGACGAAATAGTAAAATGTTACTTATTTCTAATTTGAAGAAAAATCTTAACTTATCGATACTTATTATCATGAATATACTTCAAAAGTATCATCCAAAGTTTTACAACAAATTGTTTTCAAACATATTCAATTTGAGTTCCACCTACCTTTATCTCTGAGGCTGCAATGGAAAATTTATGTTCCTGATTTCACTTTTATTGCATAACACGGAACGCCGACGGAACCCCCATATAAGGAATCCAGGATCACAGTGACAGCGCTTTTACGAGCATATCACTGATTGGATTAATTTTCCTGTCGATTCCGATTTAAAGTGTGCAAAAGTTGTTTATAGATCATCTCAATAACGATAAACTGAACGATCTCCAGAATCCAATCCCCTTAAACAGTCGCAATATATCTGCCGATGTATATGCATTCTTTGCTCAAATTATGGCATTATCTCTTGATAATATTGCGCTAGCCATAACGTTGTGACCACATCAATGCTTCGCTGATCTCCAGCCGTAATCAACGCTTTCAATCAATCACTCGAGTAGCTTTTACAAACTTGTGGTTTTTGTTGTCGGTCACTGAAAACTACCCTTGTTTACGAGGATCTGATGGGAGTTTAAGTGTGCTCATAAGGAATACTCAATCAGAGCGGTAATGCATAGAGAGGGTGGGGGCAGTTGAACGAGAATACGTTCTCAAAAATTGTCAACATTTTCCCAATTTTTTCCCTCATTATTTCATAGCATGAATATTGTCTAGCGACAGTATTCTCAGAAAATCCAATATAGTTAGCGCTCTGACTTTATCTGAGGATATTCATTCGATTTCTAAGGTGCCTTCTCTTTTTTGGATATTTCAGTATCTTCAATCAAATATTTTAATTCTTTTTTTCAGAACCTAAAGGATTGTATGGAAAACATTTTCAAATTTTTGCTTCCAAAATTCCTATAATGAGTAAATGATGGCTAAAGAATGTTTCATGTTTCATTTGTAAGGGAGTACTACATAACTATACTATATATGTCATTGATCAAAAGCTTTTAATTAATTTAATTTCTCTTTCGCTGATATGCCATTTCATGTAATCAAGCGGACTAAGAATATCCCAAATCCGTTGTTAGATGCCATTCCCAATAGTCTACTTTAAGCATTTTTATGGAAATTGTATCACAAAGTGCATCGCTTATTCATCATTCCATGAAACCATTGCATACACCATTTGAGCTTTTTGAATCAGTGATTTCTATTACAAAAACATACCATGGGTCTATAAATATGAAGGGTCACACAATATGAAGGCCAAATTTCTCTCGTAAATGATTAATGGGCAACACTAAAATTATAGGGAATATAGCAAGTTCAGCACTTATCGTGTAGTCTCTTATTAGCTCGTAACATAGGAATTCGATTGCACAAGGTTAACTGATGAAATGTTGTTTTCACAAATTGCTTAGTTTGGCTCAATCCAAGAATTCGTTTTAAAATTGACAAAAGTCCCGTTTCCAAATATGATGTGCATGGATTTGGGAATTTCCGTAAATGTCGTTAATAACGACAGTGATCTTGCCATCATCCTGGTCATTTTGTTGAATGAATTAAAATGCCCTAAATAAGAGATGGATTGAGAGAACTATATTAATCTATATAGACAAATCAGCTTAAAAGCTAAACTTAAAGCTGGATTTGCTTATTCATGTTGATCTTTGTTGACAACTAAATGACAGACATATCATAGCTGCGCAGGATTGTCAACAAGTCTGCGCAGGGCACTTAATTTGTCCAGAGACATCTCTGATTTGACCATGGGCTGAAACAGAGACATATTGTTTTATATGTCTTTGGCTGGAGTTATTTGATAGTATCTCCTGTGAGATCATCCCCCGAACGCAGGTTTTCAAACATCATCCACTAAGTTCCTCCCTTCGTCTTGGAAGAAGGAGGTACGGGTTCCGGAAGCCTGTGTTCGGAGGATGCCGTGAGATGACTTGCTATATATGCTAATGTCAGCAGAACCTCGGTAAATCTATACATGGTACATTTACCTTATTAAAGTATTTAGCTTTGGTCATATTTGCTCTTATGACGTGCACGGACCTGGGGACAATTCGGGAAATGCGGGCTGATCTCAGCTTTGAGCGTTAATCTCTGCCTTATTTAAAAAGCTAACTAAGTTTATGTGTCTTATATACCATTTTGAAGTATTTTTTATTCGCATTTCAGTGAAATTATTATTCCTTCAAAATTTTGATGGGATCCAACATATTTTTAAAGTTAAATATACCCCACATCGTCAAATACGCTGTAAGACGTAACACTTTACGCTTACAGGGCTCGTTGAAATTGGGATACCTTTTGAAATAATGATCAAAATCCAACTGAATTTCACAATATATTTAAAGGGACAAAGTGCGTAAATGAAGTCTCACTTTTGATCTTCATAGTATTTCCAATGGATTAATAAGTACCCGATCTTTCATTTGACACCAAAAAAAGCTCAAACAGACCACATCAAAGTTGACACTTGATCATGACAAAATATTTTTGATCTATCAATTTATATATGTCAAGTTTTTAGCAATGCCATAGAAAGATGGCATTGTTCTTTGCATTAATTATCAATTCATTTTTGACAGGATTTTCAAGCATATGCCATCTTTTAATCCAAGAGTTATTTAAAACATACACGATTTGTGAAAAGTGGTAATTCACTTTTTTCAATCTCTGAACTTCAAATGCTGTTTTCTATGCAAGTAATTTTTTTTCACTTCAGTATTATCCCAAATAAAAGTTTTTATCATATTTGATTGGCTGTGTGATTGACATGTCTCAAACAATATTTTGTCCTTTTTCATTCAAAAATAGGCGTATTGCCTGTTTAATGGAACATGTGCATTTATGACGTCACAATTCCTAACGGCTTCAGCTCAAATTATCTTATACGAACGCTTTTAAATTTTTCAAAATCGTGTAAGGTTTTGAAGGCGAATGGTACGAGCAATAAGTTTACCTTCATTTAACCTTCTAATTTAGGTCTGATTTGAAAAAAAATTAACTGCACGATATTGTCATGGCGAAATTTACAAAACAATAAGGTATGAGTACCGTAATCCAACACCAAATTCGAAAATTCATAACAATAGTTTGCACATATGGCGTTCGTGACCAACTATAAAACGCTTACCCCCCATAGTGTTATATATCAAAATGTACCTGTTCATATAGGGCTTCGATTGATCTACATCAAATTATAGGGAGTCAGGTTACTTTTTGAGATATCATCGTCCATTTATTGTAACTCGCGTTTGCTACCACTTCCCCAATTCTGATATGACGGGCAAACGCGTAGTAAACATGCTCACGTCGGAACTATTTTTGAAAAAGTGGCATACTAGGTACCCTAGAAGCCAACTATGGCGTTATTAAGAACAATACCACGGTTTTTTAAATGGACTATATAGGGGTCATACCTTTTGGCGGATAGATATTGAACCTCATACCATAACCAGTTTGTTTATTTTGCAAATAATATCAAAATAAGAGCTGGTTTTCGACACTTGAAAAAAATGTGACACATCGATTTTGTACCACAAATTCCATACATAACAATTTTTACTAACGCCCCAAGTGGATTTCTTGACCGTTTTTCAAAATTCCAAAACATTATAGAAATAATGTCCTCGAGATCTTGCTACCCTGTGAATTTTGTCATGATTAGATGAGGATAAATAGAGGATGTTCTTTTTATTCCATAGTTAAAGTCATCATCAGAATCGTCGGAAATTAAGTTATTAAATTCGAATTTCCAAACGATCCGGCGATGTTGACACTTAGCCTCGTTTTGAGTCTGAAGTAGCAAAAATCCATAAACCATCGCATACGACGTCGTATGTCATGGCTAAAAACCCGTATGTTATGGTTAAGTGAAAATTTGTCAAAAATATCATATTTTACCACTGATTACAAAAATACCGTTTTTATTTTCACATGTTATCCTATGAATATCATGCTAACTATGGAATAAATAGAGGATATCCTATGATTTATGAGTGATATGATTTTTATCCACGAATGGATATGATATCTGCACGAGCGAGCGTAGCGAGAGAGTGCAGATATCAATAACCATGAGTGGATTAAAATCATATCACCAGTAAATCATAGGATGTTCTTTTTATTCCATAGTTAAAGTCATCATCAGAATCGTCGGAAATTAAGTCATTTAATTCGAATTTTCCAAACGATCCGGCGATGTTGACACTTAGCCTCGTTTTGAGTCTGAAGTAGCAAAAATCCATAAACCATCGCATACGACGTCGTATGTCATGGCTAAAAAACCGTATGCTATGGTTAAGTAAAAATTTGTCAAAAATATCATATTTTACCACTGATTCCAAAAATACCGTTTTTATTTTCACATGTTATCCTATGAATATCATGCTAACTATGGAATAAAATACTTTATTTAACTATGGAATAAAAAGAACATCCTATGATTTACTCGTGATATGATTTTAATCCACTCATGGTTATTGATATCTGCACTCTCTCGCTACGCTCGCTCGTGCAGATATCATATCCATTCGTGGATAAAAATCATATCACTCATAAATCATAGGATATCCTCTATTTATTTTTAGGTTGACTAAACTTGAAAAAATGTGACGCTTGTCGTTTTTGACGTTGTAAGGCTATTTGCGCCCTATATACTGCTCATTGTTTTTTGTTGTTGTTTTTTTGACGCCATAATGTTACGCTAATTATCCCCAGTTTCGTGCGACGTGTATCTACGGCGGCCGTACTGCGACCGTAGCTTCATAAAATCGAAATAGTAAAATCCCTATATTCTATTCTATTAACGACTCTGTTATTGTTTTAGATGTATGGGCACTGTCTCTCAACCTGAGACTAGCCAAAAAGATTTTCTCATTTTGGGCTGAAACATCTTTGAAAGCCGCCCCAACTCCCACCTTGTCAGCATCCATGTTATTACTTATGTAGGCGTGAATGAAGCAGCGCATGCTGTACATTTTAAATTAAAGACTCCGTCACCTTCACCGTAACGGGCTGTCCTTAAGCTTACATGAATTGTGAAATTAATAAAGTCAGGGTGACGTTGAGAAGGTCGCATGCTTGGGATGAATCAAAAACCTGTGACATAATTACTAAATAAACGTAATGAAATTAAAGACAATGATACAAGAACGCTCTTTACTTTCTTTGTACGTTAAATCCGGTTCAGAGATAATACCTGCCATTTCCTGATTATATTTTTCAAATAGCACACTATGTAACATATTAGGATTATTCATTGCCTTTAAGTGCAAACTGCGAATTACCTAGTTGTACAAAATAGAAAGTTTAAAGTCTGGACTAATGGATATATTTTGCAATTTCACATTTGTTTCATTGAACTGAATTATATACACATTGCACAAGCCTACAAAGTGGATGCGACATTAGAACGACAGCGTACATTGTTTCTGGTGTTAATGTCTGAGACAAATTAATTGTTTGATTATCTTACCACCTCTAACCACGCGTGCTTACACACTTCTATCACATCTTCATTTTCGTACAATTGGTCTTAAGAAGCTTAGGCTATCAGAAATTCTAGACAAAGAAAAAATTTAATACTGCGTCACTTTAATGTTAAATCAGTAAAACCGAATGTAAGTAGGGACCAAAAAAGTATAAAACACCTATACGACGAGACAAATTCCAACATTCCAAATAATGATCTTGTTATTTAGTGCTTCAAGACTAACAATACTGGAAAGCCAGTATAGTTTTGCATTTTGAGTAGATTCTCTCGACCAATCAGATTAAGGCTATCTGTATCACGTTCTCTCCTGTGGAATATGTCATACTCACCTGGGGAATATGGCATATTTCGCAGGTGAGTATGATATACTGTATTACGTATATATACGCTAATGAATATCGGGTATTCACTGAAATAAATTTATTGCATATTCACTGTGGAATAACCCATACTCACCTGCAGGATATGCCATATTCCGCAGGTGAGTATGGCATATTGACCCATATCGTAAATACCGCGCATATACTAATATGGCATATTCCGCTTACCAAATGTAGCGTAAAATGAAACGACGTTATACCCAGTATTTTTCGCGGAAGATTTGTAAGTACTCATTTATTTCGACGTTTAATTAATCTAAAATGAAATTCCTCCTTTACGTCGTATACTTAAAATTGATTTCTCGGAATTCTTTCATTGATTTGGGAAACTGTAGTGTCTGGATGATGTATAAAAATGTATTGTTAATCTAATCAATATTTCAATATGATAGAGTTAGAATTATATAAACTAGAGGTTTGGGAGGTTTTTACCGTGTTCAGACGAAACGTTGTGACGTAGTGATACTAGATATATCTGCATGGTATGGTCAATGTTTTTACGAAAAGGAAAGAACCATATTCTGCCAAAACGTCGAAACAAATCTTTCAAATCTTATGTTACCTACCAAGTGGCAGGATGTATCGCTGGATCATGGCGTTCACATATGATTTGGGACAGCATCTTTTCCAATCAATCGAGGTTGGGCCATGCAGCCGAAGGTAAGCCATACAACCGAAGGTAAGCCATACAACCGAATTTTGCCGATTCAATCTGACGGAGAATGCCGAGCCCCTATTTTTGACCAATTAGAGACGTCCTCTTCACATTCGTGGTTCCCTCGGCTAACTTCGTTTGCAAAGAAAAGCTTCGGCAATCTCCGGCTTTTCTTGAGGTATCTTCGGTTGCTTGCCAAAAGTCAACACCCCATATGATTTAGAGACCATTTATCAGATTGTGGATTTCTACATCCTTGACATGATCGAATGTTAAAGTCCAGTGTCTAAATCAAGTTTTTACTTCGATGAATACTGAAAAATTTATAAGTACGCCATTTTGAGACAAGGTAGCGGCTGTTACATTCTCTTGATACTGACCGGTGAAATTTTTCTTTGGAACATTAAATTAAATATGATTGATGCGCATCGTTCGCCGCTACCACAGCGTAGCCTTATAATTAGAAAATCGTGTACGTTTAATGGACTCTTAATCGAAAGCGATTAAAGATAAATGTTGGATAAAATGTGTATAATTGTGGAGATGAAACGCAACGTCGATTCAATAAAATACCCAATGAGGAATAAACACATAGAATGTGTTAACTTGGTTTATTTAATTGTATCTTGAACGAGGTTATTTCTGGGGGTGGTTTGACTCAAGGTGAATCCAAGATACAAATCGCTACTTCCTCTATTGGTTTAACATAAAAGTGTTATAACTTTGACATTGATTGATTGATTCAAATAATAACAAAAAAATATAGACCTATAAAATCCTCATATTGCTATTTCAAGCACACGGCGGAAGCCTGACATAATTTTCCATCTAGGTAAGTGTCATTTTAGAGATGTAAATGTATTTTGAAGTACGCGTTACCTGTACAAAGAAGGAGGGAAAGTAGCGCAACAGATTTCGGATAGTCATATGTTGGATTTTGGCTATTTTCTCAGGATTTAAACAGGAGCATATATTAAGTCAATGCATTACTTACAGGAAGAACACTCATAGAGATGATGAAATAATTTCGACTTTGAGACAGGGGAGATGCAAACTATCCATCCGCATTTTTTTCTGAAATGTTGTCCTTATTTTCAACCCCTTCCACACCTGCTTTTTCAATTTTTGATGCATCGATACTTTGTGTTTTGACACACAATTAAACCCATTGAAGGAATAAGTAATTCCTTTAGGGGTTTTGAAGATATCCATTATGGATGACCAAAATTAGCTGAAAGCAATGGATCACATGAGTTTTCCCTATGGGAAAATGATATGGAAAATATTGTTTTCCACTTTATCGAATCTCACTTATTCCTTTAAAGGGTGTAACTGTGTCTTAAAACGCAACATATTAATGCAACAAAAATTGAAAAAAGCATGGGTGGAAGGTGTTGAAAATCAGGACAACATTTCATGGGTGGGTTGTTTGCATCTCCCCTGTCTCAAAGTTGAAAATTATTTTATCATCTCTATGAGTGCTTTTCCTGGAGATAATGCATTGGCCTAACATATACACCTGTTTAAATCCTCAGAAAATAGTCAAAATCTAACATATGACTGTCCGTAATCTGAATGTTTGTGAATAAATATAAGCAGTAAGGTGAACGTTTGAAAATTTAGATAATATTGTGATGATTATGGGCAAAAGTGTATTGCTTCATCCTTGTGAACGAGCATGTACGTATTTTACATATTATATTTTATACGTCAGTTTATATTTATTTGTTTATGTACATGTATAATGTCTCGTATATACATAGTCAAGTGAACTCGACTTAATGTTGTTGTTTCACGTTTCTTTTTGACGATTTGGATATTTGTTTTTTATTTTTGTTTTCAACATTTGCGTCGAGGATATTAAGGCCTGTATATTGCGGTAAATGCTTTTCTGCCCTCTATGCCCAACAAAAGTTACACAGATAAGATAATGGATCCAATGCTTCAACTAGAATGTATTAAATCTTACCTTAAACACAGGAAACACTTGATAATTGAAGAAATGTAATCATTTTCGTATATGTTTGAACCAATTTCGAGTCGGGACAATCTGCGCGAGATTCGGTTTTTACTTGGTTCGGTTTTTCATTAAAGGAAGTACTTCATTCCCATGATTCAAAGTGCTTTTCTGCCATCGGTCGGTTTAAGTTTGTACAACACACGTCTACAAATCCGGGGCAGGTTGATATTATGTCATGACATTTGTTTTGGGTGTATACTTTTTGTTTTGACACTAAACAAAAATATTCCCGCACTATATGGTGCATCATGGGTAGGGACTACTGTGAAATAATGAACGTAAGTGACATCTATCTCAAATTAAATGTTCTTATAAGTTATTAATTGCGCATGCGTTATAATAATTTGAACCAATTAAATTGCTGGATTTAAAGCGCATGCGCCAAAAACCGAACCAAAAAATGGAATTTCGCGCAGATTGCCTCTAGTGCCAATTTCCAATATGGCTCTCAAGGTCACTCAAGGTCACTGAATACAGTCTAAATGTGAAACCATGCAACCAAAACGAAATCGTAATTATTTATTACCAACATATCTGTTTTCGGTTTCTTCACCCTCCTTGGTGTCTGAGAAGGCGATTCAATTGTCATAAGACGATGATAAACTTTTTCGAGTTGAAATCTCGATCTCAATATGGCTGCCGTAATTTATTGTAATTTCGTTTTTCGCTTCACCTAGAGTTTTACTTTTACACAATCATTACCCAGAATGCATCTACACATGGGGAAAAAATTTGTTTCTAGAAAAATTCTTATACTTCTTCAATTATCAAGCGTTTGACGTGTGTAAGGTAGGATTAAATACATTATCGATGAAGAGCATATTCTATCTACATAATTTTTGTGATTTTGGTTGCCTAAACAGGCCAGGAAAGCATTTCCCTCAATTTACAACCGGGAAGTGTGTACGACCCTAGTGTGCAAGAAAATAACAAAAAATAAATATCCAAATTATCAAAAAATAATGACAAATAAAGCATACGATGGTCGGATTTATATGACTAGTATATACAGTAAAGAGAATCCAAATCCCGGGATCCAAATCATTTCATGTTCGCGTTCCTCATAAGCTAATGTTTCCATTTAATTGTTTCTCTCGTCAAATTCTATCAATCCTTTCAATTGTGAGATTTGTGTTGTTGCATTACCTGCTCATACGAAATGGATTTAAGTGCTTGTCGTGTAAAAACTGATTTAAGGATTTAAGCACTGGACTCAGTGCATTGTTTAATGAATCATACCATGAAGGTGTTGTTCCCACGCAGCAGGAATGCAAAATTTAGGAAACAGCGCCTGGGTAGAATGAAGCAGCTACAATGCAATGAGTCTTGGGTTTAAATTCTTTTCACACATTGCAATTTTTCTACAAAATCATCGAAAAGGAACGAAATCACTAAAACAACACATTTTCAATGAAATGTTTTGCAAAGGGTCAAGTTGACAGATCAAAATCAAATCCAATGTGTCATCAAATCCAATGTGTAAAGTCCATTCATCACATGACAACTGTTTAACTAGTGACCTTGCATGTGTTATTGATATTTCACACACTGTTCATAATGTGAACACTCTGTGCTGATTGGCTAGAATCGGACACACCTTGCCTAGCTATGTGTGAATTTCTTAGCATATGTACCTAAAGTCACTCATACCATACGCGATATTGAACACTATCATCAAAGCAGGGTAGCCGTTACGGTGACTGTAGTTTTTGTAACTCTCAGAGCACTGTAGCGTCATACACGAACTGGTAGCGTTAAGTTCAGTTGGTGCTTTTAAAAAATATATACTGTATTCCAGTACTTATACTGGACTTATACTAGGTCAATAATTGGAAATGGCTTAGCAACTAACTCTGTGAGTGGAGCTTCTGCTGTTGTTATTCCGCCTGAAATTAAATTCAATATTCATAAACCTATGACTGATTAAATGAAACATTTGGTTTTCGTAAACCAACATTAAACATACTTAAGCTGTGCCCATTTCTATCAACTAGGCCATTATTTAGTGTGAATTCAATCTATACCTTTTCATCTCTGTGTCATTCCCGTTTGTGACAATTTCCATCAATTCCTTTTTCTCGTTCTCGATCTAAAAATTTAATTGCTGAATTACTTGAATGATAATTTTTCAAGATGCAATAATAACAAACAAATAAAGCTGGACATGTGGATGTTAAATTAATTGGTTGCAAACAGAGTCTAATTTTTTATCAATAAATGTTGTTTACATTTTCACCTTTATCACGATATTGAGATTAATGGGTGTCGATAAATATATAAGGATGGAAGATTTGCGTCATTTGACTCCTATACCAAGGCATGGGAGAAATAGATTTTTCGTATTGTCAATACAAAAAATCAATCGTTATCATAAGTACAGTATATTTTATGGGTATGGGAAAGGAACGGATATCATTTAAGTTAAAAGTAGAATCAATTTATCAGTATACGGGGTTTGGTAGCCTTGCCTACGTCGGTTTTTTTTTACTTATTTTGATCCTGAATTATTACCTGAATAGAAATCAGATAAGTAAGAGACCGACTTGGGCAAGGCTATGGGTTTGGTGGTATTTGGAAAAAAGTGTAATTTTAATACCTGGAAGTTCTCTGATGATGATTGTAAAACAATTATTGTCAACTTAAGATTAATGAGTAAATAAAAAAAATAATAACATAAGGTTTTATTGATGAACATTTACACGGTGGGTCAAAAAAACGTCCACATTTATTATTTTGATTGTAACTTCTTTGAACATTCATGGATTTCAAAGAAACTTTTGCAGGATATACAGGAATCGATTTTATAATCGTTCCCTAAATTAGATAAACGAAGCTCCAGGGTTTTTTGAATGATACAGATAAACAGACATTAGTCATTACTCAAATTAAAGTGCTAGATTAGCATATTATTCATATTGTCAGAGAAAACACTTGGAGAGAGCGTTAAAGTAAATTAAACAATTTGAATTTTAGAAGGAAAAAAATATGATTTTGGAAAATCTGTCTGTACAGGGAAAGCTATTCTAAGTTGTTATTTGTGGCAGAAAGATCATTGTGGTGCTTGATTGAGTCCACATATTAAAGAACTTGTTTTTTCAATGTCCTTCAAGACTCAGATTAATGCATTACTAACCCTACTATCACACCAAACAAGTTCTCACTAGGGCGCGTTATACGACGTTGCGCACCGACGTAGTGCGACCTGAACGAACTGTGAATGAGATGGACGTATTGAAGACTGTTTATGAACGAAGTAGCTAATTATAGACATATTTCCCGACCACAGCCAGATTGAGCCCGTTTTACGACGTTTTCGTAGGATTGGCAAGAACGCGTAAGAACTAGTTTGGTGTGATAGGAGGGTAATCTTATTGGCTAAAAGGAGGAGAACATCATTTTTAAATCAGAGAACATCACCCCAAAATTTGGCCGACCAGTTCCATTTTTCTTTATGTTGAACCAGTCTGTCTAACCTTCCTTATTAGTCTCAATACACTCCCAAAGCTTCAAGGCATGACTGATCTCATTGTAAAATTATCGTTTCAGATATCATCCTGAAATCTGGATTTTTCTCTGCACCAACTGGAAACAGTGTCTGTTTATCTTTAGTATTCAAAAAACCCTAAATATTCATTTTTTCTATTTCAGGAACAATTGTAGTAGGATTGATTCTTGCATATCCTGCTAAAATTTGATTGAAATCCATGCATTTTCAAAAAGATTATATCAAAATGAAAAATATGGACGTTTTTGCCCACCCTGTAGATTTGTATCAGATATTCTCTCAACGTCTAGTTTGTCGACCAACTTTTGAAATCCACAATAATTTGGTCAACAACACCTTAACTCAATCTCATTTTCAAAGACTACTCATACCCGAATGTCTTTGTCTTTGCTGCCACAACATTTCAACTTGACAGGTGGTAATGGATCATCAATATATCTCAGTTCTTCTGCAGTAAAAAATCTCTCCATGAACTTTCTCACAAAGCATAAAGCTAACACCTGAAATGGGTATAACATCATTGAAATTAATTACACCTGTCTTGATTCAAATAAGAAATACTGTGTCTTAAATAGAATGTCAAATAACCAGTTGGCCAAATTAAAACATTATCCATGGCAGTATCACAGACATGAATGAAGGGATGGGGATTTCTTATGGGCTCACCACATTTAGTTTGGTTTTAGTCCAAAGAATTAGTACAATATAGTTATGAAACCTTATTTACTTCTTTGTGGCTTGCGCTAGAGTTCCTCCAGATCGTAAAAGGTTCATATTACCTTTATGTATATGATAGTTTTACAAATTAAAAGTCCAGCAAAGAAAATGTTATCTGTCCAATATAAGAAAAGATATTTCACTTTTTGTGATTTTGTCACATGGGGTCTATACGGAGTCTCCTCGACATAGAAGTCACATTTTCAAAGAAAATTACTATTTTTAAAGTTGATGAATGCTTTTCAAAACCACAATTCTTGATATAATATTACAGGTAGACTTCAAATTTGATATAACCTCAAATTTTGAATTCTTAATGACATAAATCAAGATTATTTCTCAGATCTAGTCTATTGGTAAAAACAAAATGGCGAACAAAAGTGATGACGGTAAATGGTAAATAACAGCTTTTTAAAATGGTCAAATGACCGTTAATAGATTGATGAACATACCATAAGGGGAAATATGATGGATATCTTCTTTACACTCTTAACAACCCAAAGGAGTGCAAGGCAGATGACTTGAATGATCGTAAATATGTGAACCCTCTTCGTGTCTACGTGCCTTAGGTAGGCGTAATCGGGCTGATACTTTGAGGGCATAAACAGGAGCTGCAGCCTTTGCACCAGCTGGAAATTATTAATAATGCTAAATGTTTTAATCAATAATCCCCGAAAGTTCTGTTCAAGACTTTGATGGGAAGCTAATGACTGACTGATACAAAGGCAGTAAAACCTGTTATCTGAGCACATGTCTTTAGAATCTGAACACCTCTCAATGTGAACACTTTTCTGCTAACTGCTAATCCGATCAGCTTCGGCTAGTTAAAGATTTGTTTGGATTAGACAGGGTTTACTGTATATTCAAGCAATATTTTGATACTCGATCGATCGGGAAAAGGTCGTAATAAGGATTGTGAGTCACAGACCATCTTTGGCCATAATAAATTACGTATATGAGCTGAAAAGGTACACCAAATGGCCCATTATCTTGTGAAATAAATTCTTAAACGACTGTTAAAGATGCCATTTAAGGCAATTTCTTTGCCCGTTGGATCATTATTAGGGTTGTTGTTTCCTTATGACTTTTGTAAAATAAACTATTAGAATCCACAATGGTCACGTAATAGTTGCCATCTCGTGTTAAATTAAAGGAGTGGAAATCGAAGTGTATAAAATTGTGTTCTACTTGTACCTGCACGTTTTTCAGAGAAGCCACGCCCATGTATAGGAAAACGCCATATAGCACTGGCATGGGTACATACTAAAAAGCAAGGTGATGAAATGTTATGAAAAATGACAAGAGAAACATAAGAAATCATAGGCACAAACGAACATTTTAGTTGAAGGTACTATTAGATCGATACCAGAAAGAGCAACGTAAAAGTGGCAATCTGCACATTTAAACGAAAGAATAGTTAAATAACTGACCTTCAATACTGGTGTGAAAAATACAGATAGACCGATAAATAAAAACGCCAATATTCCTGTTACTCTCTGCTCCCTGCAAAATATATAAACATATATAGATTTAAGTAAGTGCGAATGGGATGTTCAGTCATAGGAGAAACATTAACAGTCTATATACGGTATGTTGATACGGTACCGTTGATATCTGCAAGATGTCATGAGTATCATATATACTATTACATGATTACTAATTATATCATCCTAAAACGAATATATACCATATAATTTCTTCACATACCTTACACCGAGGAACTTTGGTTTCTCACCGGGAGCTGATGTCTCGGATTCCCTGGTAAGACTGAGGACATGGTTGATGGCCCTAACTGTGGCTGCCACAAAATAAGGAATGCCCAGGAATGAGCATACTACCACTTGAACCGCTATGATCAGTAGGTCTAAGTGATAACCTGCTCCTTTCTTGAAAACAAAATAGCTAATATTAATTTTATATTCATCTTATCACCCATTAGAGTATGTAGTTTTTAAGTGATGTTCTTATTAACAGAGACATTATTTTACAGGTATTGTATTGGCTGATGATTACGACAATAACCCAGTTAAGTACCTTAAGTAAATGGTCCTTTTTGTTTATGATAACAGCAGTGATCTGTTGGTCCATGAAGATGAGAATAGCAAGTAGTAATGCTGGAGGTATGGCTGCAAGTATGCACCACCAGGGGTTCTCTCCCATTGGGTTGATTACCCAGCCCCTGTCTGACCTGGTGGGCTAGGTGAACATAAACGCGTGTATACATGAAATATTTAAAGATGCCCGATCATCTGAACATACAATAGCAAATTGTTGTACAATAGCAAACTTGACAGTAATATTGGATTAATACTGCGGGTAAGTAGCTCCAAATACAGGACTATATACTAGCATTAAGTCTCTTCTTTCCAAAGTAGGATTAAAGTAAATGGTATCTTGGCCCCTGTATCCTCCGTACGCAGGGCTCCAAAATCCAAAATGTCTCATTTTTACGGAAAGAAGGAGGTGCGGATTCACTGGCAGATTCAGGGGGCCATGGGGCCTCAAAAAAGGCCTTTTTGGACAAAATGGGTCTAACATTTTCAAAATTTGGGATTCTGGACATCTGAGTTCCGAGGATATTACATGTACTACATAATAGTAATTTTAGTAATTTCAATTGCTATAGAAGCTTCATTTGATGATGCAGATAAAGACTTTTACCCAATTGTGTATTTTAACCGTCTTAGCACATCTAGCAAATATTCACTCACTGCAAATGTTTCCGGTATATCCAGCTTGGGTGTACCCAAGCCTATGACAATGTCCACTGCGGTCATGATTCCAATAGCAATTGGCACTGCAAAATCTGCTAACGTTTTTCGTACCTAAAAAATAAAATGTTTTAGCATTAAAGGCCGAGTTCCGGGAAATATTAACACAATTGAACATGTTGAACAACTAATATACATACTTTTTGTGGCTTGGTTGAATGGCTATTAATCCCAAGTTCCGATGTGCCTCATCAAGAAGACGATAGAGTGACAAAGATTATGTCAAGCGGAGTTTATAATTTTTGTGCAAATTTTCTTCTTGGATCGAAAAATTTCATTTTAATTCGATTAACTTACGATAGGTGGCAAAAGGTCTAAAGGTAGGTCACGTGACACAAAACAACGAATCATATGACACGAAACAATGATTCATTCACCAGATGGCGCAGTTAAATGAGGTCAATTTTACGACAAACGAAAACCGTTTAGCTCAGCTTCAATTTTGCTCTCGCAGTCGAACGAAACTGACACTTCTTTCGTTGATATCTAGGTGAGTGATTTTTTTCAGGCTCCGGTATTTTGACAAAAGTAAGTTCACGTCGTAGCCATTCTTAGGGGCAGGTTTGAGGCACCAACGATTTATTTTGAAGTTTTTCTAAGGAATTATTCCCGATTTCCGGTATTGTCCCTTTAAATTACATCTTTTGTCATCCTGGTGTGCTGTGTTGTATTCAACAAATTTTCAACGTCATCTAAACAGTGCAGTCTATTGTTTGTGAATGCTTTAATATATACATGTAGTGCAATCGATATTATATATATAAAATCATGAACATTTACATGAACATATGTCACAAATGTGATAATTATCGTAAGAACACTTACAATGTTTGGAAAGAACTGTGTCGTTCTGAAGCTCCTCAAAGACATAGCAATGATAAACACGCCCAGAAACAAAAGGAACGACATAAGAAACACATCGGCAACGTAATGAGGAGTGTCACATCCACTTCCAAATAAAACCCCGCCATATGTCTTACAATACTTAGTGGGCAGGCTACTGAAGTCTATGCTGGCGTTTCCTCCTAATAGCCCAAGGGGATCCGTTTTGTAAGTATCTTTTGATTTAACATCAGCTGTCATATCGGTTGTGTTGTACATTGGACCATCTGTTCCTGGGTTCACATCTACAACAGGTTCTAAACACGAGCAATTGTAATCAAGCTCGTCATGTGGGTGTAGATTGACTTTATACTTCTTCTGTACACCTATAGCTTTCTTGAAGGCTTCTACTATGAAAATTAAGGAGATCAGACACGAGAATCCCTCTTCTGTGAATCGTGTGATATATTTCACCATTACGCTCAGGTCGAATGCAACCATTATGATAAGGACAACTGAGGTCCATATGCCTACCCAAACCCTGAAACTCATGTAGGCTAATCCATTATCTCTGGAAGAACAAATTCAGATGTAAATTATGATATTGCAAAATTCCAATTTGTCTCATACCGTAAACACAACCAAATTGCAAAATATATATGATCAATTCTATGAAAGAACAAACAAAGAAAACATACCAAGTCAAAAAGGGCTTATAAAAGATATTATGCCAAATTTTATGGAGCTATCAAAATGGAATGGAGAGACGTAAAAACCTAAACCCCAAACTCAACACTAAAAATATAGTTGTAAGACGTACATACATGGTCATTGCTAAAAAGACACATAGTTCAACTTCTCATTTCTATGAAAGTGAAGAAATATGTATGTGAATATGTTGTTTACCTACATTGCAAAGTTGTATAGAATTGTCTCGAAGACGAGGATCGGCCCCGTACATCCAAGTATTATCAAAGGCTGGCCTGCAAAAATTGCGAAAGACACGCCACAAATTCCAGCTGCCATCATTGCTTCAATTGCTGCCTATAAATAACCATATATATATATATATGTATCACTCATATTATGTAAATTATTTTTTAACATGAACGATACTGATACTTGAGCTGATTTATTTCATATACATCATTTTATGACTTCGATATGTTTTCAGTTTTGATATAGAATATCACGCGACTCACGACCTTTAGGCTAAAAGGGCTGAGCCTAGTTTGGAGTGTTGAGCGTTTCATAATTAAGAGTCAATAATATCTTATACATGTATATATATATATTTGTTATGTGAAACACCTACCATGTGATTGTTCAGTTCATCCCCCATCATGCCACCAAATGTAATAACAGTAGACAAACAGGCGAAGTAGATGAAAAATAGTGAAGACAGTGTTTGTATGTGGAGAGCATCTTTAATGTCACTAACATAATGCTTTACCTTTCGTTTGATATCATTCACTAACCCTCCAAATAACCTGCAAGTGGAGAATAATAATGGTTTACCTTTATAGTTTGGGCCATTTCAAAGGGCGAGATCGCTCTACTATATCTAGTATTTGCTGCATTGTTATCTATTTCGAGAGAAATCTTCACATCTCCAATCCGATACACGCAGAATCCTTTTGACCTTTTAGTCACATGAACTGAGGCTAGAGTCGAGGAGAGGAAAATATGAGAGGGGAAATGTACCTTCCTGTCCTTTTCAGTGTTGGGTCTCCGTGTTCGGCGTTTGTGATCTCATGTGTGTCATGGAACGAGTGCGTCCATGTCTGAAAATCAAATGTTTAATATCGAAGAAAGTGATATTTCGAAACTAAACATCTACATGTAGCTTTAATATTCATGAATACAAATTTGGGGTTTGGTATTTCTTTCATAACAGAAAATGATCCAATGTCATATTATTCCAGCGCCCATTTGTGCATCTTTTCATTTTGTCACATTAATTACCTTTTCAGATATATTAGCAGGTGGTTCTATGCGGATAGTGTGGTCCCACCCTGATGCTGGTAAAACAGTTGAATCGTCCATAAAACTTGTGATTCCTTTTAGGATATCATCCTTCGTCTTGGCACTGAGAATACTGCGTTGGAAATTCTGAAATATGCATCGAAGTGATGAAACTGGTCATACATTTTTGAGAAATTAAAACATTTAGCATTTGGATAACAGGATAAGCTGTAAACTTACTTTACAGGCAAACAGTGTCCCCATAGATCTCCCAACCTCCTTGTACACCGACTCACTGTCAATAGGGCCAAGAAGCACAAATGCAAACTTCAGTGGTACGTCCACCTCTGTCAGTTCGGGGACATATCTACTCTCAGAAAACCTGAAATATTCCAGAGAAAATGTGAGTGAGATAATATCTCAAAAGCATTATTGAATCTAGAATTTGTCAAAAGTCTGTTTAAAGTTTAACAAATCAATATGCATGGTTCTTTCTTATGTTTAAAGCATGCTTTAGACCAACACTTGTCAATCCTAATGTGGGTCAGTTAGACTGAATGTTCATTAGTTAAGATGGCGTCAAGCCCTAGTGTCGGTCAACATATTGACCGCGGTCATATCCAGAAACCACAAAATACCCCTCAGCACTAGTATCTGCAGGTCGAATTCGTTTTGGCGAATGTCAGTCAAAACTTCAAACATATCACTTCCCCGGGGTCAAATACTTACCTTATGAAGACTGCTATAGGTTCCTCCATGAAATCTACTCCTGCTACAAGGACAGTAGCTCCCAGTGCGTCGCTTGGGATCTTCTTCATGAATCTCTTGTTTGATTCATTATCCTATGAAACAATTACTGTAAATATTACATTCCATACGAATAGACAATATTTTCAGCCTTTCACCTCGGTCAATCAAAATCGCTTAGGCTTAAAAATAAGAACAATACATTGGAACCATGGTTAAAAATGCTTTGAGTACTAGTGTTGGTAAAGAACTGCAAGATGTAGTCGGAAACGGTTGGCTTCAACATTGCGATGAAGTTTGATCAATTTCAGTTCAGGTTGTCTCTGATTCACACTGAAGAATGATTCATCACTTCAACAAGATCACTTCATAATTAAAACTTACTACATTTATTTTCCTCAGTTCTTCTGCTTGCTTCTCAAGACTAGTCTGAAAGATGGAAAGGGTTTTTACATTTACAAAATTAAACTGATCATCCGTCTTTACTGCATCTCCAAACGGTGTTTTTTCAAGAAAATATCAGCCAGAATAAAGCCAACGGAAAATGATTGTCTATATTGGTTGCGGGACAGTTGTCTTGCAGCCTCGTGACTGGCTACACGCATCTCCATTTTTAATGTTAACTCGTGAGTTTCTGCATTTTTCTGATTTAGTACAAGAGTTGCACAATTAAAACAACGAGCGGGTTTTAATAGACGTTTCCGATAAATCGTGCCCTCTTTTGATCCATCAGGGAAACTAGAACTTATTGGCCAGATTGATGATGTCATTGGTTGTAGGTAGCAAACTGTCCATTCAAAAATGGTATTAACTTTTTGCTAATTTTATAAAGTACAACCTATGACATCATCAATCTTTGGATTATACTAACCTGGATGCTTGATCTCCCGCCAAAAGATGCGTTTCTCTTCAACAGAGGCTGATCTCCCAATGACACAAATGACATCTTTTCTGAAATCAAAAAATTAGATAAATCTTCTCGATTTGGAGATTGGAGGACTTGCTGACTAAGTTGAGTCAAATACAAAGTTGTCGTATAAATGATCGATGATAATACCAAAATTAAAATTCACATTTTGATAAGGCCCCTTAATACAAAATGGATAGGCATCTCTTACTTCAAAATAAAATGAAAATAAAATGTAAATATTTCAACTTATTACTGATTGCTGTCATCAAACAATTTTCCTAAGTTTTGATATTTTCAAACGGATATACTTCCTTCTTCCGAGGGGAAGAAAGGTACAGAGTGGATGGTTTATGGAGCCTTGCATTCGGAAGTTGAAAAAGAAAAGTCTTATTATCAATTGTAACGGTACAGAAATCTCATTTGATAATAAGCTCCCTTCTTCCAAATACCGGCTCTTCCGCGAAATAATACAATCCGTTTCATAATGTGGAAAGCAAGGGAAACCCATTTATTTCCAACTTACTTCCTTTCTGTTTGATGACTTGGTGTTGATGTTTGTGTGGTTTGTTCAGAAAGCGTCTGATCTCCTCTATTGCTTCCTCTGTCAGTTCACCTGTGCGGTAGAGATCATCAGCTACTGCGTCTAGAATATCATTACTGAGTTTGGAATTGAAGCTACAGTTAGTATGTGAATTAAGATCCAGAAGATAAATCAGAAAATCTAGGAGATCAAATATACCCATGATCTAGTTGTAACATTTAAGTAAGCCACAAGAGACCAAGTCCCAAAAACAGAAATGATTATCTACCAATGTATGGAAGAGCGTGTGTATGAGTGTGTATGGCATGGCAATATTATATCAAAATAGCTAGTGTGATTCATTTTTTGCTTACCTATGTCAAAGGCTGCTGACTGATTCTGAATTATCAGATCAATCCAGCGTTTGAATAGGTAAGTTATGGCCATTTTCAAAATGCTTTTGGACAATTTAAACGTCATATACTGTACCTGCAGTAGTCTGCATGCTGGTGCCGTTGGCTTCTAGCGCAATGGTGTCAGCTGCGAGACATGTCTTCAGTTCAGTCAATGCCCTTAAGGAAATGGATGCAACGTGTGGCTTGGACCACCTCAGCCCACTTGATTCAACCTTTTCTTCGAATCGTACCCATCTTGTAAAATAAAATGTTGAAAATGCAATCTTGGGTGAACAGATGTTTGATGAGTGAATAACGGTTTTAATTTCCAAAAATCTCCTCTTATCTAAATGCTTATCTAAATGATGAATTATTTGAAAACAATTATTCAATTCTTTTTGTAGCATATCAGAATACCACTGTAGTGTAAAATACAAGTTCATTACCTGGCCGTTTCACGCCATTCCACATCGTTTCTATCGTCCGAGAGAAGAATAAGTTCCTGCATCTCCGTGAATAGCGGAGGGGTATGTCCAGTCCCATCATCCTCGTCGACCAATTCTTTATCAACAAAGTCAGAAGAAGGTTTATGCAATCACATGTTTTGAAGATATACTACATAGTATTTTTAAAACAATACCGTAATCCTTTTCATATATAAAGCTTCTTTGACATGGACTCGAATGGAATCGTGATTGAATCCAATATTAAATTCACACGTGCCCGGTATTCTATATTGTCTTATTTAATTTGCAGAAAAACGATATTTCCCCGTAGGGTATTCTAAACATTAAATCTCCTACCGAGAAAAGGCCTGCCCCCGCAATACTCATTGCACTTTTTACTTACCTTGCTGAAAATCATTTTCCTCTATCTCTGAATCTGAACCCACTTCGTTGATTGAAAAAGTAGGCCTTTCCACGTTGGTACTGTTTTTATTCATGTCCTTATAGGGTGCTTTACATTGGCCTAATAGGAAAATAAATGAAAATAGACTTAAATCCTGCATTAGTAATTTGGAAGTGTAAATATCAGATATTTAGTTATGATGTCGGAATCGAGAATCGTCGGAAAAGAGAAAATATTGAAAATTGTGCAACGATGCTTTCATAATATTCTTAAAATGAGTTCATTTTTGCTACACTAAACTTGTTTCGTTATCATTTTGTGGTGAAGGGGTGAGACAGTATGACAACAAAAGATAATAGAAAACGACGTGTAAATGTCAATGTTTGCTGACATCAAAGTAAAGTTATACACAACATGACATGACACTATATGACATGACATGATGTTAACATCAGTTATCAGAATGAGTTTGGCTACTTGACCTTGACCCAGGTTAAACCTTGAGTACTTGACATTATTTTCAACAATTAACTTGTATTAGATGAAACAATAATGATGAATAGTTAATTATCAAATGTTATAATTGAGATGCATTTTAAAACCATATGAGACCGATGTTGATGTAAATGCTTGATAGTAATACTTATTGATTTACTTTAGGAGATATCAATACAGGACTAAATTATAAAGTTGATAAATAAAAAAAATCCAATTTTACGTGTAGTCAAATATCAATAAAAATAATTTATCAAAACTCGGAATGAAATAATAAGCAAATATTTCATTCTATGGAGGGCAATACTTTTCATCTTTCAATGATTTTTGCAGTATGTGTTGTCCGAAGACCGTATTGCCCGAACATAGAATGAAATATTTGTTTTATTATATAATTGCTAGACATTCTCTACGATCACTCTGCATTTCAAAGAAATATAGATTATTTGTTTTAACCTATGAACATTTATTTTGATCAATAAATATGTCATAAACCCATCGATCAGTTAACATAATTACGTACAGGTATCATTGTTTAGTACATTTCTATTTTCGTCCAGTGCAGTTGTCAGAATTCCCAGGCGGACAAAGAATTTGAGGGAACTGTAAAATACGCTACGGCATTTTTGATCACATGGTACTGAATCAGCCAATCAAATCGCACGATTTCTAGCAATGATATGATAATTCAAATTATACGTATAAGGCGGCCGTACCTTCTCAAAATCAGAGATATATCAGAAATATGCAGTATAAAATATAGGAATAAACAGTATGATGTAGAATTTAATTCTATATCGATTTTTCGAAGATGCGGCCGCAAATGTGACCGAGGCTTTAATTAGAAACATTATAGCCTAGTATAGTACTATTAAAATATATAAAATCTGACAAATAGAATACAATCAAATATAGCAATATCTAGCAACATGCAATGCTTCTAACTTTGTTTTTTTGCATTTCAAGAGCTAAAGCTTATAATGTTTTACCATTCATACCAAATAACGCAAATGAAAAATAACAACGTAGATAAAGAGAGAATTCATACGAACCTTTGAATCTCGATGTGAAATCTAAAATTGCTGGGAACTTTGTCAAAAATGTACTGTTATCTTTTGTGATAATTGACCTTCAGTCAGCCACGGTTGGTCATGCAAATCTCTTACAATATTAAAGCTACTTCAGCAATCTTTATTTGCTTCACGCCCACTCAATAAAGGCGTTAGTTACCACGGAGCATTATTGAAACCAGAAAGTGTGTTCGGCTTCATTTGTGCTGTAGTTGGGTAATACCTCACAAAAATGCCATTTTGGTGCCTTAGATCATTGCAAGGGCTGAGTATGATGACAATCCTCAAGAGCTTGTTATTCCCAATCTATCTGTTGACGGCTCAACCTTCGAACGGAGTGTTGTCCTTTAAACAATCATTTGTCAAAATCATTGTCAAAAATTGGCATATACAATTGTTTTTTTCATCACAATTAACTCATAATTATAATTGAAAATATTTATTTTAAATACACTTATTTTAAAATAAGAATCCGATCACAATACCATCACATTTAAGTTTAAGAGCACGTCCAGTTAGTGATCGCATCGTAATGGCTTCATCCCGTCTTAGTGTTACAAGCTCACTGGCAGAGCAATGCACTTGGCCCTGAGTCCCATCCCCTGTTTAGGGAAGAAACATGCCTGTTGCGTTAAAAAATTAATTGTTTGAATGAGTAATCCACAACTGCTACAAAATGGTGTGAAATCGTCAGTCCACATTTGAAAGAACACGGGGCTCCTTCAAAGAGTGGTTCTGCGTCTGGATTTTAAGGTTACGTGCGTTAAATTTCGAATATATTCCAAAACAAACGGCAATACAATATACACTAGACTCCATGTCGTTTGCACGTTAGCTTATTCAAAATAATTACTGAAACAAAATGAGGTCTCGACCTGTAGATAATATATTTTGAACCGTAAGATGAACCTTACACGTTTTACATAATGTTCTCTATTGTTGAAAATGTAAAAATTAGGGGTATAAAAATTATTGAATTTATTACCGTGAGGTGACTTATTAACAAAAATCGAAATATATAGTCAAAAGAATTTGCTTTATCTTATCAATTACACATGTACCTTTGCTTAAGCTCTACTACAACAATAATCACACGGTCAAATTACAAATGTCACGGTGACCGTAGCAATCCGACTGCTTTTGAGTCATATAATTATTAAAGAACTAGTATTGGTCTTTTTAAAAATATATCCAACATTTTCTTTGCAAATATCGACATATTCTTCAATCAAGCCGATGTTCTAAATGTCAAGTTATAAACTTAAAATTATGTACATTATGTATAAAGAACTACTAGCAATATGATTAATAAATCAAAAGTATGGTTCAAATAATCTAAATTATGACCACCTTACCGGGCCAGTTCTGGGGGTTCTAGTGCTAGTTTAGAAGGCATTCTTCTACTATATCGACCTGAGCAATATGTGACGTCATAGTGGTGGTCCATATTGCCGGTCAAGAATGCAATTAATGACCGGCAATTTTCCCGGGAAATTAGATATCGTTCAGTGCGTAAGATTTTCTTGCTCTTTCAGCCCTGGTCATTAACGGTGGTAATAATACTAATAACGTCATTTCTGCGGGTAATATAGTGAAATATTGGACCTTGGGCCTTCGGTCGAATATTTCACTATATTGCCCTTCGAAATTACGTTATTGTACTATTGTTCATTCATATTGTTGGATAAGCGGTATACAATTTCCCCTGTATACTTTTAGGAAATCAAAATATATTCTTACATGTAGGTTGCTGCTATTGCAGTTTTCCACTGGACTGACTGGATCCCCAACCCAATTTCCCCCCCCCCCATCTTTTGCCCAACATAAAATGTTCACATCTAAACAAGTTCTTGTTCCAAAAACACAAAAACTAGGTGAAGGTTTAGATATTTGACTAACTTGTTTGTCAATAAAATCGAAATCTTTAGAAATAACGTAAAAAACTGTGTTATAATATGTATGACTATACGAGGGGTGATTCAAAAGTAATGGACAAAATTTTATAGGCACGCTTACCTTTACCAGATTTGAATGAAACTTTGTACAAATAAAGATTAATCAATTATCTATTAGATGTTAAAATTTTATTAACTAAATGCAAATACATTTTGAGATAGAGCACTTCTCTTGGATCATGGTGCATACACCCGGAATCCATTTTTAAGGCTATTTTCATCATAATAACAAATGGATTTTCAATGAAAAGTTTGCTGGTGCAATATATTTTGCAATGCAAGATGTATATGAAAAGCATATCACAGTAAGTTCAATAATAATCCATATCATTCCTTATTATTCCTGATGATCATCCATTTGAATTATATTCAATCCTCAATGTATTCTCCTCCAAGTTCAATTACTTTCTTCTGTCGGCGCACCCATGCAGAGAACACATGCCCAAATCCATCAGCAGCCATGGTGTTCAGCTGTTTTTGTACAGCCATTTCCAGCTCAGCTAATGTCTGAAAGGATTGTCCCTTTAATGCCATCTTAAGGGTGGGAAAAAGATAGAAATCACAAGGAGCAGTATCAGGGCTATATGGAGCATGTGTAAGTTGAGGCATGTCCATGAATGCTGCAAGAGTATCCTGATTGAACTAGCTTGGACCTGTGTGCTGGGGCATTGTCCATGTGTAACAAGCGATTGTCTTTTGTGTCTTTCCTTTTCTTTTGAAGTGCCTGTCTTAGAAATATCATTGTGATGTCATAGCACAATTGGTTGCTGAATTTAGAACCCAAACGCAAACACATGGGCATGTGAGTCTTGCTTGACAATTGCATTACCATGCTTGTTAGACATATCATGTGTGGTAATTGAGTCATTAAAACGAAATCAAGCAAGAATGACAAAAACATTCAATTATCATTAAAAAACCAATTCCATCCATGCTTACCCTTGTTACCATGGTTACGCATAGCTGAAACAATTTCAAATGCATTTAAATGAGAACTCGACACAAAGTAGAGAACTGATTGATCTATTCACAGTGAAAAAATTAGACTGATTGGGTGAAATTTAGTATGCCTATAAAATTTTGTCCATTACTTTTGAATCACCCCTCGTATTTCCGTCACATTCCATATACATCTATATTATCACAAAGTATGATTAAATTGCAGTTCTTTACAATTACAACAGATCTTTAATATAGTAGTGTAAGGGAACGCATCATAATACCAAAACACATTAGACATCACTGTAAAATTAATATACTAGATGCGAGTAGCTTGATTTACGTCATTAAATATAAATATATTTGTATGTACTAAAATTGAATAAAGAATAAAAAATAAAAAATAAAAAAATTAATATAAAATAGCATCCAAAAATTTGATATAATCTTTTTTGAAAATGTGACTTCTAGGCTGGGGAGATTCCCAATAGACCCCAAGTTATAAAATCACAAAAAGTGAAATATCATTTCTTGTGCAGATAATATTCTCTTTTACTGGACATATTTTTATTTGTATAATTATCAGACACATAAGGATTATATGAAAATTGATTGTTATAGACCCGCCATGTTAATTGGCCCGATTGAGCCACCTGGTGATGAACTGATAACTACTTACTTGCATCTGAGTAATTCATTGAATGGATAGTACTAAGTAATCTTGAGTATATGATTTAAAAATATACATTACTTAAGTTTAGAATAATGGGAAAAGAGTCTGAACTATATGTATTTTAGAATTGGATGCCTTTACATAATACTATTTTGAGGCTGGGAGTTAGATTTATGATATCAACAAAGGCTACAATATTTTGATATGTTCCCCTAAACTAATTCACCGCATCCATTATAATGATTACATAAACAAAACATTCTCTTTTATAAGCTCAAATATTATATGAGCAGAATCCTCTTTCCGGATCCGCTTAGTAACAAACAACAATATACTGCACAAAATCTTAAAAATGGATACATTTATCATACAAAATTGATTTAATCTACTGAAAGGCATTATAGGGTTATGGTTATGGTTAGCCCTTCGGTATAATGCCCTTCAGTACTAGACAGTACTGTATAATGAGAGGTTCTTCTCTACATTAACTCTACATCATTCTATATGTTCCATTTTAATTGTTCTTTGAGGTATACAATTTTCACAGTCCATGTCCCAAGAATAAAAACAGTTTTCAAAAACATTATTTGGTTTACTTCAAGGGTAGACTGGTAAAGCGTACACCTCAACAGTGTACACCTGTGTACATCAGTGTGCATCAATGTTGACATTAACTTCATGGCAACACTGAAATCTAGCTATAGAGGTGAACATTTCAGCCTTTCCACCTCTGGAGATGTGAACAATTATAAGGTACAATTACAAAGTAGAAAAGCTACAACTTAACCATGTATTGCTTCATATTCATATTCAATGATTAAAGTAAATATGTTTCTATATTAATATTACATGGGGTTCTAGCTATAATAATATACATATTTCTCCTAATTACATTAGGTGGCTCTTTGTGCCTAATTAATATTGCATCGGAATTTATAATTTCAGAACTATAATATTTTTGAAACATATAGACATGAAAAATTAGACTTCAGAGAATCCATGAATTCATTTCATTACATAATCAAATCTAGTTGAAATACATTTACAGAATGTATAATAAACTTTGTCCATTTCACCAGATAGTCCAGCCGATTCTGATTCCAGCTGATTGAAATCCTGTTGAATTCTAACAAGTTGACATATATTATTAATGAACCCTGTGTATGCCAAACAGGTACAAAGCGAAATCTGGTTTTTATAGGATCTTTCTTGAGCTGGTTCAAATGGTTTATATATATTTTTTACTTACCGTTATTTACAGAGCTACAGCATTGTGTTTTTAATGTGTTTTTCTATTATGGGTGAACAATACATGTACAGGGTGTGTCAATTTAAATTGAAAAAGTGACACATTTATTGGTTCCCTTCAATATGACATTCTTCAACTAAAATAATATGTTGATGTAAATTTTTTCAACATATGTACAATGTACATTCTCCTGATACAATACATGTACAATGTGATGGAATGGTGTTTATATACAGTACAAATTGTCAAGTAGAACACCTTTGTCAGTGGAACACCTTGATATATAATTGGAACACTTCAAACAACCTACTGACTTAATGTTAAAGGAACCTCTGTGAGTAGAACACCTCCCAAGTGAAAACCTTTTAAAGGTTCATACAAAAGGTGTTCAACTTACACATGTTTCACTCTGCATCTTTATACATTCATACAATTACTGGTTAACCAGAGGGACTTTACCAAATTAAGCGTGACTGTTGAACGCGCAAGGTAGGGTACAACACGAGGGTGATGAAATTTGAGAAAACTGATGTTTTCATTGTTTCAGAAAGATCTTGTCTAGTTTCTAGATATTTTTATATGTAAATATCTGTAGCAACATCCAAGACAGTGAACTTGACAGTGGATTTCAACGTAGTATACGGTATAATGCACAGTAACCATAAGGTTCAACAAGGAAATTTGAATTTGTGTTATACCGTATCTCAGGTAAATGTACCCGCGCATTATACCGTATACTACATTTTAAGTTTGTATAGATTTAACTATGAAATTCACTGTCAAGTTCACAGTCATACTAGGATTGTTACAGACATTAACATATAAAAATATCTAGAAACTAGACTCAATCTTTCTGAAACAATGAAAACATCAGTTTGCTCAAATTTCACTACCATCGTGTTGTACCATAACCCGCAGGTTCAACTGTGATGCTTAATTTGGTACACTCCCTGTGTTAACTGTGTCTTACAACACAATACAATAATATGAGCCAATAATAAAATGAATCATACACCTGCTAAGTCATATACAGTGAACAATAGGTATTGGTTAGTTTGTAATAAAATAATGTCTCCAAATATTGTTGAGGAAAAACACTATACATTTTATTCTAAGTCCACCTCCCTCAACTCTTAACAATCCAGAGTTTTCCATTGGTGGTCTGCCATTTTTCAAATCACAATGGTTTTCATTAATGGTTTCTTTCAGATTTCATGTGGCATTTGCGGGTGACATGTTCCAAATTTCATCATTCATATATTACATGGTTTTTATTTTGTACTCTTAAATACATAGTCTAACAGCATAAAATAATGTTGAGGCTCTTATCAAAAAGGCCATTTCATCAACTAAGTTCACAAAGTACTGCAAATATTCAACCTTCCATATTACTTGGGTCATTATCGTCCCTAATATCATTATCATCTCTGGCGCCACCTATCTTCCAATTTCGACAACACTCTAAAACCATTGATGACAATTCACGTATCCGTGGGTATGGTCGTTGGTCTAAAGCAACTTGTTCTATAAGTTCAATACCATTCTCATTGACCAACAGTTGACAATATTTGTTAGCTGCAAATGAAGATTGTATACTCCTTAATACAATATTAAATACTGTAACGGTCAGGCTCTGAATAGTGTTATAATGCTTTCACCATCTAATACTTGTATTCAGGTTTGGTTTCTTTTTCATAATATAGTATAGTACATTAATATTTTAGTAATAACCTATTACAAGAACGCATAAGCAGGATGTTTTTTAAAAAGGAAATATACTTACGATATACTCTTGTTAGATAACAAAATGCCCATATTGCCCAGAGTTGTACCTATACTTACAATATATTCTTGTTAGATAACAAAATCCCCATATTGCCCAGAGTTGTACCTATACTTACAATATTATCTTGTTAGATTGCACAATGCCCATATTGCCCAGTGTTGTACCTATATACTCTTGTTAGATTGCACAATGCCCAGTGTTGTACCTATACTTACGATATACTCTTGTTAGATTGCACAATGCCCATATTGCCCAGTGTTGTACCTACTGTATATACTCTTGTTAGATTGCATAATGCCCATATTGCCCAGTGTTGTACCTATACTTACGATATACTCTTGTTAGATTGCACAATGCCCATATTGCCCAGTGTTGAACCTCAGGAGTCTCATGGATTGGAAGGAGTCTTAAGATTGGCGCAAATGACCTGAAATAGCAACATAACTTAACCATATTAGGTCAGGGAAAAAAGTTAAATTTGCATTCATGTTTTGTTAACCGGTACTGTACATCTTGAGTAAATTAAGCAGTGGTTCAAATGGCTGAATATTTCACTTCAAATAGTGAGCATTTTAAAAACTTCATGACAATTCAGCAGATGCATTTGAATATGTCATTACTCTAAACATAAATCATTTGGACCTAACAATAGGCATGATCTGTTTTGGGTGATACTGTTTCATAGATATTCGTGATTTCCTAATATTTGTTGTTTTAATAGTATTACTAAATCGTTTTTCTCATTTTTGAAAGATTTCAACAACATTTCCCACCTGTAATTGATATTCCTCTTAGTATCTAAGTCCCATTTTTCAATTGCTGTTGAGAGATTCTGTAGAACTTCTTTACGAGTTGGTGAGGATATTGTCCAGACTTTAGGGCCATCAGATGCAATATGGGATAGCACCCCTGCAGCATTGTAACTGACTTCAATGCCGTCACTTTTTGACATCAGTAACTCACTATAAGATTAAAATAGACAAGTTTAATTATTGTAGTTTTCTGATTTTGTGTTTTATGATAGGTGTTCAATGTTCAGAAAGAAACACATGACAGTTTTAGGAGATACGGCTAGATTTTTTAGATACCTGTATTCAGTTAACCTATAAAATTGAAAGCAATAATGTGTAGAACATATGACATGGGGACAGTCCCTTTCTTACCTGAATACTGAGATGTACTGTGGGGTGATGAGATACTTTCTAAGGTATGGGACCTCTGCTACATTACCCTACAAATATTCACATTTATACTTAGAGATTCCTCTGACATCTGTTAACACATAAATTGACCTTTCCCTAGTGTCTGGAGGGGAGTAGTAGAATATTAACTTAACATTACCAACCCAACAGGCCACATTTCAAATCCAGAGAAATGGTCCAGATGGTGGTTAAGACTAAATACACTTGATGATCAAGACAATATTGTTTAGAGGGATTTATCCCTAAATGGGTCTCGTAAAGTATTTAACACTTGATAATGAAAATGCTTGATATTTATTTACTTCACAGAAAAAAATAATATTTACCACATTTGCCACAAGCAAATTGTTTCAAATTGTACATGTTAAATTCAGGGTACAAATCAGTGTACTAGAAAATATGGTCCTGGGCCACCTCAAACCATATAAAGTTTCTAAGCTTTAAGGCCATGGCCCTGTAAAGGTCTAAGTAAATTGTTGTAAGGCCTTATTGTACACTGTCCAAATAATCTGCTGATTGACAGTGATGAACTTACCATTAACCCCATCATGTTCCTCAATAGCTCTGGCTTCTCAGGAAAAGTCTAGAAAATAAAAAGAAGCTAAAATGTTAAGACGTTTATAATCAAAATGGTTATTAAAATTAAGTCAATCAGCAAAATTCAAGTTGTAAAATGTACGCTATTTAACCCCTATGAATTTGCCAAAGTTGTAAATTGTACCCTAATTTGCTTAAGTATTTCCTAAGCTTGAAAGAAATAAGATTACCTCGAGGCACTGCAGAAAGAGATCCAAGCCTTTGTCTGCAATGAAACGTTCGCAGTTGATAGCCGTCTCATCAGTTACATTCCACATTGTACTCCATGCTATTTCCATCACCTCATCACAGATGTTCTGTCTTAGTCTGTTTCTCACAGTCTCTAACATTGTCTGGAATATAATCATGCAGCTTATGAATGAACCATTTTAAAAGCTGAGGCCATCTTCAAAAATATTTACAATTTGTCAAAATTATTTTGCTTAGAAAAAACGTCAAATGTTGGTAGGTGTTCACTAAAGCAAGAATTTGATTTGTCGGCATTTTGCCGTATTATATATAAAGACCAGTTAATCATCTTTCCATCAAATATGAAGAAAACTTGTTTACTAGATACTAGTAGATAGTATTTGAGTTATTTTTGGGATAAACATACAGATGGATGGAGACAGTTGAACAGAGGACTTCACTATATCTCAATCAAACTTAGTCCGTAATAATAAAATTAAGATTATTGGATCCTCATTTGAATCTACAACCCTTTCGAGGCATACATATACATGCAGTTCTCTGTCTCTTTCCAAGTAGTCCTTTGTACAATGAAACACAGACATGCTTATATAGGCCAAAACAGTTCTTAAACAAACCAGAAAAAAATAAGATTTTGTCAAGTTTGTAACTGAGCTACCTTATCAGCTGCTTATTATTAACAAGCTGAAATGTGAGCAGTCTTGAGGGTTTGTAAACAGCATTGCATATGATTTTTATTATACACTGTAGTGATATATTAACATGCTAGGAGGCCCCTAGGACACACATGGCCTCTTGCACACACCTCTATTGCACCATAGCTCATGTTGAGGCATATTTCTCTGTCTCTTTTCAAGTAATCTACCATACGAAATAGACATAGATGCTTATTAGTGCAACCATAGCCTCTTGTACATACCTCTATTGCACCATAGCTCATATTGAGGCATATTTCTCTGTCTCTATTCAAGTAATCTACCATACGAAAAAGACATAGATGCTTATTAGTGCAACCATAGCCTCTTGTACATACCTCTATTGCACCATAGCTCATATTGAGGCATATTTCTCTGTCTCTATTCAAGTAATCTACCATACGAAAAAGACATAGATGCTTATTAGTGCAACCATAGCCTCTTGTACATACCTCTATTGCACCATAGCTCATATTGAGGCATATTTCTCTGTCTCTTTTCAAGTAATCTACCATACGAAATGGGAAAATCCTTTTTTAATTGATTTTCCTGTTTATAAACATACCCACCTCTCAATTATATGCCTTAGATTCCTTTAGCAATCTCTGTATGGAGTCCTAACACCCCTCTGGTTTTACTGATGACATTAACTTGGACGCGTCCACTATTGAATAAAGTAGTTTGTACACGTGCCAACGTCCTCAATTTCCCTATTCCCCCTAATGAATAGTGGGGAGGTCGGGTGGGACTTTGGTAATTGAGAGGTGGGTATGTTTATAAACAGGAAAATCAATTAAAAAAGGATTTTCCCAGTATTATTACACATCCCACCTCTCAATTATATGCCTGAATGTAGCCGAAAAGGAGGTGGGTGAATTCAGTTAAACCAGAGGGACCCACAAACCAACAAGTAGAACATTCTAAATAATTTACATTATAAAATCATAAGAATGTTTAATGATGATGACTCACCACAAGGCTGTTGAAGATGCTATATGTTGTATAGTGAGCCTGCAACCATCATAGGGCCTAATTTCCGCAGTTCTCCCTCGATCACTGATGTATCTCGTAGGTAGAAGCTGGTGAATGTGTTGTGATTTGCCCATGAGCAGGCTTTGAGAACTGCAGTAACTGACAGATTTGCTTGAACAGCAAGGCTTGCAGATAAGGCCCTGGTTTCGTGGGTTTTAATAGAGTTGATTTGGTAATCTGTTTCTTGTGAATTTTTGTAAGTATACAAGATCAGATTTTTCACCCAAGAAGATATAGTGTTTACGTGTATATCTCCAGTATATCCGGCTTTGTATGGTATAAACAGTCTATTTCGGTTGCCCCTTGTTGAGACTGTGGCTTGAAGGTAGTAACGTAGAGCTCTGAGGGGGCAAAGTGTCCTGTCTGGAGAGTCTCTATTCACCAGTGTGGTGAGAGCTTTAATGAGGATTGGTTGAAAGCGAGATTCTCCTTCTGCAGCTGATAGTGACTTTGGTAGAAATCCTATGAAGGGATACATAGTTACTTGGTCCCTGGATTCTGACCATTTTAAACGTCTGAAGTCGAGTGCATGTATATCGCTTCTTCTCTTCCCTGAAGCCATGAGTAAAAGAAAGAGTGTTTTCCATGATGTGAATTTAAGTTCCGCTGTGGCCATAGGTTCGAAGGGTGCTTTGGATAAAGCATTAAGAACAAATACAAGATTCCATTTAGGTACCATGTTCCTTGGTGTCAGGTTTTCCAGTTTAAAAGATCTGATAAGATCGCCTATGAGGGAATTATCAGTCAGGTCGATATCAGATGATTTTTTCAGTACTGTATTAATGGCAGTTCTGTATCCTTCAATGGTAGGAATTGAAAGTTTCTTAGTCTGGTGAAGATATAGTAGAAACTCTGCCACTAGAGGAATATCTGTTTGGCATGGATCTGAATTCCGTTCATAACACCAAACAGTGAAGGTGTTCCACCTGGAATCATAGAGTTTATTTGTGGATTTCCTCCTTGATGATTCTGAGATTCGAAGAGACACTTCTGTAGAAAAGCCTTGTTTTTTGAGGGTGTCGTTGACAATTTGCAGGCGTGAAGGGCAAATATTTCCGGAGTCTGGTGAAACATGCTTGTCTTTGGCATTTTTAGTAGTTTTTGAGACACTGGAAGCGTTCTTGGGTAGTCCGTTAGAAGTTCCAGAATTTGCGTGAACCAAGGTTGATTTGGCCATTTTGGAGCTATCATTATGGCTTCGCAATTGTGTGTTCTCATTTTTGTTAGAACTTTGTCGATCATGCTTGTTGGTGGGAATATGTAGAAGTTGAGATTGTCCCACGGGATTGACATTGCGTCTGTTCCCCAGCTGTTTTGGTCTGGTACTGGGGATACATATAGTGGTAATTTGTTGTTGTGACATGTCGCCATCAAATCTAACTGAGGAGTCTCCCATATTTGCCACAGTCGTTTCACTATTTGTGGGAGTAGAGACCATTCTGTGTTCACTATCCTGTCCCGAGATAGTGCGTCTGCCCGTCGGTTTAGGGATCCTGCTATATGTTGAGCTCTTATGTTTATTTGGTGGTTTTTGCACCAGATTAGGATTTCCTGGCTTAGGGTCAGAAGACTTTTCGATTTTGTCCCGCCTTGTTTGTTTATGTAGCTTAGGGCTGTTGTGTTGTCCAGGCAAACTAGAATGTTTGCTTGAGGTACCAGTAGATGGTTCAGTTTGTGTAGAACTTTCAATACTGCCGCTAGTTCTAGCCAGTTGATGTGGTTTCTCATTTCCGATGGGGACCAGAATCCATTGATTTCCACAGAGTCCATGTGTGCACCCCACATAGTCTCCGATGCATCCGTGAAGATTGTGTGATCTGGGACAAACATTCCCAGAGGTTGACCCATGAGTAGATTCTGCTCGTCCATCCACCATTTCAGTGTGTTTATTACTTCTTGGTTGATGTAGATTGGTGTCTCTAGTGATTTTGTAGGAGACATCTGGCTGGCTAGGCACTGTTGAATTGGTCTCATGTATAGTCTGCCCCAGGGTATATTTTTCTCTGCTGAGGCTAGTAGGCCTAGTAGTTTCATCCACTGCCTTGTTGGTTGAGAAAGGGTATTGGTGAATAATAGTGCGATTTCTAAGATTTTCTGGATCCTGTCTTGCGGAGGATATGTTAGGCCTAGTATTAGGTTGTATTGGGTGCCTATGTACTTGAAAATCTGTGTTGGGATCAGTTCGGATTTTTCTCTGTTGATCAAAAAACCGAGTTTTTCCGTCACTGATAGTACTGTTTGTGTCCATATTTGGCACTGTTGTGCAGATGGGGCTCGTATTAGCCAATCGTCGAGATATTGGTGTGTTAATATCCCTTGGAAGTGTAGGAAGGCACCGATTGCTAATGTCACTCTTGTGAAAACATAAGGGCTGGTTGACATTCCGAATGGAAGTGTTTTGAATTGGTACACTTTGTTGTTGATCACGAAGCGAAGAAACTTCCTGAATGGTTTGGCTATCGGTATATGGTAGTAAGCATCCCGATAATCGATGGATGTGGCCCATTCGCCCTTTTGTAGAGAGTTTGATATTTTGGCTGAAGTTTCCATTTTGAACTTTGGGCATATTATGTGTTTGTTGAGGAGAGACAGGTCTATTATGGGTCTGTAATCTCCGTTTGGCTTTTGACGTAAGAATATGATGCTGTAGTGGCCCGGTATGTTGTAGTCTGTTTCCTCCACAGCTTGTTTTTGAATTAGGAGATCTACTATGTTTTGAAGCAGTAGAGCTTTTGTTTTTGATGCCGATTCGAAGTTGTTGAAGTTTTTTGTCAAAGGTGGATTGTTCACTAGTTGTGGCATGTAGCCATGTTTTATCACATTTAAAATCCATTGGTCCTTTGTGATGAGTTCCCAGTTTTTTAAGTGTAGTTGAATCCTGCCTCCCACTGGTCCCAGCTGGGACATAGGTGAGAACGGGGGGAGGCGGGGCTGGGACATTGATGTTATTGAAGTGTCATTTACGCTTCTTAAAGCCTGATTTGTTGTTATTGTTGTTGGATTTTGTAGAAGTAGAACGGTCAGAGAAGTTTCCTCTGTTGTTGTTTCTGTTATTGTTTCTGTTGTTGTTGTTGTTGTTGTTGAAGTTGTTCCTGTTAAAGTTGGAATGTTGATTACTACTTCTGGTGGAGTTGTTATTACTGGATTTATCATAATTCTGTTTTCGATTTTTCCAGTTTGAAGCTAAATCTTGTAGCGCTTTTGAGGTTTTAGATTTATCCGACCCTTCACAGATATTTTTTAAATCCTCTTCAGGAAATAAAAATTTGGTGTCGATGGGGAGATTCCTAAGGGCTTCAGCGTCTGACTTCCTGAACTTGGAGCTTACCCTGTCCCTTTGAGTCAGTATGACGTTTGTGACATTTGATATGGTGTCCCTTGTAGCTTTATTTACCATAGTTGAAGCTGTTGTAATAAGATTGACGAGATCCTCATTTTCAGGGAAATTCTCCGCAATGATTTTCCCTGTTGTCCCTAGAATCCATTCAGTGTGAGACAGATGACGAAGAGGAGCTCTCGCTGATTCTTCCAACAGTTTGTGATGTTTGGCTGGAAGCTGGTAAGAAGTTGAAGCCAAATCTGATAGTTTCATGGAATGTGGAACAAGTTCCTTAGTTGTCCCATTCAAAATGGATTTTTTATAGAAGTGTTCATCTTCTTTGAGGGACGTGAACGATCGTTTTGGTCTTAACAGGAAGTTAGTGTCATTCATGTTTTTCTTGTTGGCTAATTCCTGGTTAATGTTGGCGAAATTCTGTAGCACTGAAGGCCCGATCGGTAAGCCTTTTGTTGTGTCTGAAGAAGTAGATTTCTTACCCAAAGTTTGAAGTCCTAGCGGTCTATTTTCCGTTTGTGTTTCTGTGTTATAGTCTGTAGTTGTTTTAAAATGACTCGGAAAGGCATTTTTAATTAGTTTAACACAGTTCTTCCAACAAATTAAGTCATGATCGTTGTCGGAATTGGAAGAATCCGAGTCTTCCGGGTTATTGCTGTCACGGCGCATGTGCGCAGGAGAGGTCACGGGCGAGTCCACTTCACTGTAGGGATGATCACTTCTTGCCCGTTTGGGGCTAGATGCCCGGTCCGGGGAAACATACTGTAGACTAGACGGCGAAACAGTTCGCTTTTTCGCTCTTTGTACCTCCCTTCTTTTAGCGGACCTGCTTCTGTTGGTTGTTTCACCTAGAAGTTCAACGTCAAGTTGTTTGTTTGCTACGAGCAATTCAAGAGTTGGAGTCAGTCCTTTGATAATATCTTGGACCATATCTGGCGATATACTTGAGGCTAGCCCTGGTTGTTGATTTTGATAGGTCCGCAGTTCGGAGTGTTGTTGTTGTTGAGATTTTGAAAACCTCTTAGATGGTAAAGTGTTTGTTGCTCTGAATCCTATTGAATTCAGACTATTAGACTGTATGAAGTCTCTCCCTGTTGTAGGGTGCTGATGTTGAAAGTTGGATGTGTCCTGCACCTCAGTCCCGGGTAGGGAGGTGAGCCCAGAATCACGAGTATCCAAAATAGGGTTGAAATTTGACTGGCAAGTCAAGTCCTTCCCTTGTGAGTTCATATCATGCCCCTCATTTCCTGGTGGAATGAGCCCACGATTCATGAAGTCACTGTTGATGTTGTTGTCAATGTCTATGCCGCTGGTGATGGTGTGGGATGGCATGCTACCCGGAGTTGGATTTTCCTCGCCAGAGAAAATGTTCCCTTGCAGCAAATTCGAACTATCCCTTTGAAGTTGACTTGAAAAGTCAGGAATTTGTCCATCTTCCAGTTGTTCATTGACATTGTAGTTCATTGTTGAACCAGAACAACGGCAACGCCAAAGCGTAGCGAATCCCATCGAACAGAAATGGCTGGCATTTTTACAAACGAAATATATAGCAAATATCATAAAACAACACACCAGAAAGGCCATCATTTTCAAAATGGTTAGCCAAGTTGTCAACAGAAGAAATAATATGCTTTTAGTAGCCACCTATAAAATTTTTGAAAAATCGCACACATGTACTTCCATTTTTCAAAATTTTTTCAAAATGGCCGCCTTCTACCAAAAGTGTCATAGGACAATGTGCCATGCTTATAGTATTCACATACCAAATATGAACAAAAGTGCTTCCCTACTTTTCGAGTTATAGTAAAATACGTTAAAATGGCGGCCATTTTTCAAAATGGCCACCTTCTACCAAAAGTGTCATAGGACAGTATGCCATGCTTATAGTATTCACATACCAAATATGAACAAAATCGCTCCACTACTTTTCGAGTTATGGTATGAGTACCGTAATCCAACACCAAATTCGAAAATTCATAACAATACTTTGCACATATGGCGTTCGTGACCAACTATAAAACGCTTACCCCCCATAGTGTTATATATCAAAATGTACCTGTTCATATAGGGGTTCGATTGATCTACATCATATTATAGGGAGTCAGGTTACTTTTTGAGATATCAGCGTCCATTTATTGTAACTCGCGTTTGCCACCACTTCCTCAATTCTGATATGACGAGCAAACGCGTAGTAGACATGCTCACGTCGGAACTATTTTTGACATACATCGCTATTTTCGTAATTCAAATGAAAGTTGAACTCCTCCTCTTCATTTTGATACCAAATAGTGGCATACTAGGTACCCTAGAAGCCAACTATGGCGTTATTTAGAACAATACTACAGGTTTTTAAATGGACTATATAGGGGTCATACCTTTTGGCGGATGGATATGGAACCTCATACCTTAATGTCTTATGACATCACACTGATTTTTGTCTCTGCAACTTTTTTTGGCGGAAAATATCATTTTTAGTTCAAAAATGCAAAAAAAACGTCGAAATTGGCTGAATATGTGAAAAATTTATCCATTTAGGCTAGAAAGGGTTAATTTGCCCTACCCCAAATACGTCTAAATATGCTAGTCTAACTTTGCCACTGTGACGTCACAAATCTAACCTGACTATCTCCGAGTTTATTGAAGAAAATGATACGTCTGACAAACAGCTTTCATTCCCTATATGGCACACCTTCTACTAAGAGTTGCATCATTGACTAAATCTAAGACAAAGGCCCTGTGTCCCGAGGATTTTGACTGAAATTTGGCCATTTTCGCCCAAATCTAACTAAATTGCAGTTTCCCTCACACCTGTATTTTGAAATAAATATTGCTACAATGTAGCAATTTAAAAATCATACATGCTTACTGTTTCTGTCGACCTGACACGTGTATCTAGCCTGTAAAAATGAAAAATTGCTACATTGTAGCAATTTTACTGAGATATGGGCCCTGAAAATCATGCAATTTTAGCAAAAAATGAAGAAATAACCTGCAATTTTGACGGAATTTCAGAGGGCTTTCTTTCATTCGTGACCCTCCACGGGCCTCTTATGACCATTCTTATACTCACAGAATGGTTGAAAGTGATTTCAAATCATTGTTTGCCCTAAGCAGAATGAAAAAAATCGCTTCTATCCTCAAATTCTGCTGGAATATTGGTCTCTGGCCAACTAGCAGACAATTTTAGGCCTCATATTAAGGTATGAGTACCGTAATCCAACACCAAATTCGAAAATTCATAACAATACTTTGCACATATGGCGTTCGTGACCAACTATAAAACGCTTACCCCCCATAGTGTTATATATCAAAATGTACCTGTTCATATAGGGGTTCGATTGATCTACATCATATTATAGGGAGTCAGGTTACTTTTTGAGATATCAGCGTCCATTTATTGTAACTCGCGTTTGCCACCACTTCCTCAATTCTGATATGACGAGCAAACGCGTAGTAGACATGCTCACGTCGGAACTATTTTTGACATACATCGCTATTTTCGTAATTCAAATGAAAGTTGAACTCCTCCTCTTCATTTTGATACCAAATAGTGGCATACTAGGTACCCTAGAAGCCAACTATGGCGTTATTTAGAACAATACCACAGGTTTTTAAATGGACTATATAGGGGTCATACCTTTTGGCGGATGGATATGGAACCTCATACCTTATAGTAAAATATGTTAAAATGGCGGCCATTTTTCAAATTTTTTTCCAAAATGGCCGCCTTCTACCAAAAGTGTCATAGGACATTGTGCCATGCTTATAGTATTCACATACCAAATATGAACAAAATCGCTCCACTACTTTTCGAGTTATAGTAAAATACATTAAAATGGCGGCCATTTTTTAAAATGGCCGCCTTCTACCAAAAGTGTCTTTAGACAGTGTGCAATGTTTATAGTATTCACATACCAAATATGAACAAAATCGCTCAACTACTTTTCGAGTTACAGCAAAAATCGTAAAATAACGAGTAAAGGCTGCCATTTTTCAAGATGGCTGCCATGTGCTTTTTTAATACATGTATCTACATTTGTAGCTTTATTAATGTCCTTTATAATTTTTTTACACTTAAAACATATTGCTATTACAGTTTTACATATTGTACCTAAAATTACTGAAAAATCGGCACTAAAATGGCCGCCATTTTGAAATGAGCGGCCATTTTGAAAATCGGCTTTCGAGCAGAACTTCTACCCCCATAGGGTATATGTGTACAAAATATGAACAAAATCGGGCCAACGGTATTTGAGTTATTGCCCGGACGGACGGACAGACGGACGGACGGACGTACGTACGGACGGACGTACGTACGGACGGACGTACGTACGGACGGACGGACGGAGGGAGGCGTTCCCTATATCCCTCCGAACTTCGTTCGATGGGATAATTAAGGTTGATATCCTTTACAACTGACGACTTGTTGTTCTCCATATAAAATTTTTGTTTCAAACAAAAACGGCGTGTTGATTGCACTAATGTATGGGGAAATTGAGGAAGTTGGCACGTGTACAAACTACTTTATTCAATAGTGGACGCGTCCAAGTTAATGTCATCAGTAAAACCAGAGGGGTGTTAGGACTCCATACAGAGATTGCTAAAGGAATCTAAGGCATATAATTGAGAGGTGGGATGTGTAATAATACTAGACATAGATGCTTATTAGTGCAACCATAGCCTCTTGTACATACCTCTATTGCACCATAGCTCATATTGAGGCATATTTCTCTGTCTCTTTTCAAGTAATCTATTGTACGAAATAGACATAGATGCTTATTAGTGCAACCATAGCCTCTTGTACATACCTCTATTGCACCATAGCTCATATTGAGGCATATTTCTCTGTCTCTTTTCAAGTAATCTATTGTACGAAAAAGACATAGATGCTTATTAGTGCAACCATAGCCTCTTGTGCATACCTCTATTGCACCATAGCTCATATTGAGGCATAATTCTCTGTCTCTTTTCAAGTAATCTATTGTACGAAATAGACATAGATGCTTATTAGTGCAACCATAGCCTCTTGTACATACCTCTATTGCACCATAGCTCATATTGAGGCATATTTCTCTGTCTCTTTTCAAGTAATCTATTGTACGAAATAGACATAGATGCTTATTAGTGCAACCATAGCCTCTTGTACATACCTCTATTGCACCATAGCTCATATTGAGGCATATTTCTCTGTCTCTTTTCAAGTAATCTATTGTACAAAATAGACATAGATGCTTATTAGTGCAACCATAGCCTCTTGTGCATACCTCTATTGCACCATAGCTCATATAGAGGCATATTTCTCTGTCTCTTTTCAAGTAATCTACTGTAGGAAATAGAAATAGATGCTTATTAGTGCAACCATAGCCTCTTGTACATACCTCTATTGCACCATAGTCCCCAACCAACTGCTTCTCTTTACCATCCACCTGGCAGGCTAAGCTGTTCAACAGGTGAATACCTGAAATAATAAATATTATAAGCAGAAATATCAATACACTATAACTCAGACCCAACAAGAGGTTCATTGTTAAAATTGTAATCCAAAACTGAAAACTGAGATGGAATTATTTTAGTCTGCAGAAAATCTAAAGTTGGACTAACTTATCTCAATGACTAAACTGAACCCCCATGATCATCAAATTCTGTGATTAAGTGTTCCCTCAATTCATTACATTGACAATTCACACTGGTGAACTATGTGCCACAGATATAAAACTATCGCTAAAACATTTTTTTTTATGCAAATAAATGTGCTCATCAATGTTCTAACTAATTATTTTGTACATTGCTATTGGATTACCAGTTAGAACATGTAAATGAAAGGCAAAACCATGTTCCAAGTTCCATCATTTTGAAACAGTCGACAGTCTGACTTGCAAGTATGTAGTTCAATAACAGCTAGCGAAAAAAGGCTTAGATATATTTTCCCTTACCATAATTTCAAATGGGAGGGAAATAAGAAACTCACCAATTCTCTGCACAAACTCCTCTTGGTCTGGGGAAGAGATCATGTTCAGTAGGATATATTTGGTTAGATATATTTTCCCTTACCATAATTTCAAATGGGAGGGAAATAACAAACTCACCAATTCTCTGCACAAACTCCTCTTGGTCTGGGGGAGAGATCATGTTCAGTAGGATATATTTGGTTAGATATATTTTCCCTTACCATAATTTCAAATGGGAGGGAAATAAGAAACTCACCAATTCTCTGCACAAACTCCTCTTGGTCTGGGGGAGAGATCATGTTCAGTAGGATATATTCAGTTAGATATATTTTCCCCAACCATAATTTCAAATGGGAGGTCAATAAGAAACTCACCAATTCTCTGCACAAACTCCTCTTGGTCTGGGGGAGAGATCATGTTCAGTAGGATATATTCAGTTAGATATATTTTCCCCAACCATAATTTCAAATGGGAGGTCAATAAGAAACTCACCAATTCTCTGCACAAACTCCTCTTGGTCTGGGGGAGAGATCATGTTCAGTAGGATATATTCAGTTAGATATATTTTCCCCAACCATAATTTCAAATGGGAGGTCAATAAGAAACTCACCAATTCTCTGCACAAACTCCTCTTGGTCTGGGGGAGAGATCATGTTCAGTAGGATATATTCAGTTAGATATATTTTCCCCTACCATAATTTCAAATGGGAGGGAAATAACAAACTCACCAATTCTCTGCACAAACTCCTCTTGGTCTGGGGGAGATATCATGTTCAGTAGGACTTTGATCACTCTTGGATATTCATATATCTGCAATAGAAAATCATGTTCTTATGAAATTATGTATCTGTTTTACAAATATTTTGATGATTCAAAATTTAACAAGACAACAGCAATGCCAAAGCGTAGCAAATCCCATCGAACAGCCATAGATGGCATTTTTACAAACAAAGTATATAGCAAAAATGACAGACATTTTTCAAAATGGCCACCTTCTACCAAAAGTGTCATTAGACAGTGTGCCATGCTTATATGTATTCATGCTTATACATGTAGTATTCACATACAAAATATGAACAAAATCGCTCCACTACTTTTTGAGTAACTCTCTAGTGATTAGAGGTAAATAATATACAATACAACAGCAAAAATCGTAAAATAGCAAGAAAGGCCTCCATTTTTCAAGATGGCTGCCATGTGCTTCTTTAATATCTACATTTCTAGCTTTATCAATGTCCTCTATAATTTTTTACATTTCAAACATATTGCTATTACAGTTTTACATATTGTACCTAAATTACTGTAAAAACGGCACTAAAATGGCCGCCATTTTGAATGAGCGGCCATTTTGAAAATCGGCTGTCGAGCAGAACTTCTACTCTCATAGGGTATATGTTAACAAAGTATGAACAAAATCAGGCCAATGGTATTTGAGTTATTGCCCGGACAGACAGATGGACGGATGTCATTTGTTGTTGCTGCATTGGTTTCTTCATTCATTTTCTTCTTTCTTTGTCTTGATTTGATTGCGATGTTACTTATCTTTCTTCAGGGTCCACAGACTTGAGACTGCGCATAGGTGGGTTAAACGTTTTGATCCGGCCGGAAAACTCTCCCCTTCCCCTTACTGTTGGTCTTATGCTAATTTGTCATCTTAGTTTACCCTCTTTGCGGAGAAGATACTGTTTCATATTCATTTGTTAATGTTCTCTTCTCTCATTAATTTTCCAGTCCTTCATGATGATATTCTCCTGCATATTGTATTTAGTACATATCCATTTATTTCTTGTTATAGCTTTCTTAGTATACGAATTTAGTATGTTGCTCCTGTAGCCTTGACATTGTAGTTTATTTCCCAGGCTGGTAACTCTGTTTGTTGCATCTTCCAGTTGACTGCAGATTCTTGAAATCCTTATTATTTGTGATATAAATATTCCATAAGATTGGTTTCTAGGAATATTTCCAGATAGATCAGGATATGAGACTATTTGGAAATTGAAGTTTTCCCTTTTGTCGTAGTTTTGTAGTGATTTGTTTATTTACTATTTTCATTTGTATGTCCAGAAAAGTTGTTTCTGTATCCTTCTCATTTTCCTTGTTTAACACTAGTTCTTCAGGATAGATGTTCTTCATATCAGTCTCCATTTCTCCGTCGTTGTTTATAGTACATAAATCATCGATGAATCTTGTAGTTTTAGCATATTTTAGTACTTTGGAGTAGTCTTCCCTATACATTTTCTCAATGGCTTGAAATTCATAACTGTATAAGTATAGGTTTGCCATATATGGCGCCGGATCGATTCCCATCGGTATTCCAATTTCCTGTCTTAGAATTGATTTCCCTGCTTTAAAGTAGGCTGTATCCACGATGAAATCCACTAGATCATTGCACTCTCCTTTGGTATATGCCTTTTTATTATCCGCCTTTCCACCCCATTTGGCTTCATCTCCACCTACTGTTATCTTTTGGTTAGTTCCTCCTCTGAAGGCTTTATCTATCACCCATTTCAGTTTTTCCTTTATGTCAGTTAGATTAATCTTTGTGTATAGTGTAGAGAAATCATACGAGGCTATGTTTCTTGCCCCGTTCCTTAAATTTACACTTTTAATGTTATCTAACATATTTTGGTTATTGTCACTGATCCACATCCTATTGGCACCTGTATAATCCTTAATCTTCTCACAGTATCTTTTGTTAGTATATTGCACTAGTTTAAGAATTTTGGTCAGTTTTTTGGCAGCTGGTTTTACAGAACTTTTCTTTGAGCCAATGATATATCTAAATTTAATTGGCTGTTTATGCATTTTAATTGTAAGATGAATCCTTGGTATAATATTTTGTTCTTCTCCCGGTTCAATCTTGAATTTTGTTTTCATTGTCTCTTTGATTTCCTCCACTATATCTTCTTCTCCTTTATCTTCTATCCTTTGATAGGTGTCACTCCCAATTTCCTCTTTAATCTTCTTTATGTAGTATTGTTTGCACATAAACCCAATATTATTTGCTGCCTTATCAATAGGTACAATAGCATATTTTTCCTTGAGTTGATTGAGTTCTTCCATAGCATTATGGTCCTTTAGTGTCTGCTTTGGATTTTTAATATGTCTAAATTTTGTATTTTGAAGTAACTCAATCTTTTGTTTAACCTTTTCCATTACAGTATTTTTCCATTCATTTAAGTATACTTTTGAAACTTTTTCATTTTTTGTCCAACTTATTGCATATTCATCTATTCCTTTCTTTATTTCTTCTTTTGCTTTCCTGAAGTTAATGTTTCGTTTTTCTCTATAGCCAGGACCTTTACTAAATAGCTTTCTCAATTTTGAATTTTGTATAATCTTCAGATTTCCTGTTATGACGTGACCATGGTCTTCATCCTTAAATTCAGATGTATTACAATCACATTCTCCTGTATTGTTGCCTTCGTCGATACTTTCTGTAATCTCACTATAGTTGAACAATTTATTCCTTATTGGTTTTGTGTATATATAGACAATTCCTGGTGGTTCCTTATTTTTGATACTTGAAGGTATTGTCTTGATCACTTCTTCATCTCTTAAGATATTTGCAATGTTGATTACTTCTACTGCTTTGTTTTCAAATAGTATTTTACAGAATTTTGTTGGTTTCTTTTTCCTATTCTTGGTCTTTAGTTCATTGTTTTTCCTAAGTTTTGATTGGATTCTGTCCTCCAGAGTAATTTTAAGTCGTGTGTGTAGTCTATCATTATCTTCTATATTTATCATTCCAAGTAATGAGTAATACACGATGGAGTAATACACGATGGAGGCAAACCGGTAGAGAAAAGTGCAAACTTACCACATCTTGGGGAATCTTAAAGTGGCACAATGTGAGGCACCCATTACGCATCATGATGAGATGGACGGAGGCGTTCCCTATATCCCAATGATGCCAAGGAACCCCCCTGGCCAAAATATCTTTCAAAAATCAGCAGTTTTTCACCATTCTGAGCACTTTTCAAGTGATGTTGTGCCAAAATGGTCAATTGTAAACCCCCTTGGATTTTTTAAAAAGTAAAGCCCCTTGGCAAAAGCTGGCTATGGGCCTGAGATAAAACATTTTCCACATTTAACCCTGAAATCCCTAATAAAGAGTTTTCTTCAAACAAGAGCTGCCTGGCTATTACACATGGAGTAATACACGATGGAGTAATACACGATGGAGGCAAACCGGTAGAGAAAAGTGCAAACTTACCACATCTTGGGGAATCTTAAAGTGGCACAATGTGAGGCACCCATTACGCATCATCTGTAAAAATGGATTTGAATTATGATATGGGTTTCATTTGCTTAGGTGGATATTTGAGGTTTGAGATTATCCAATGTAGGAAAATATATGAATCTAACAATATGACAGTATAAAAGATGATAATTATACAATATTACTGATCAACTATTTAACACAGTAAAACATGGACTCTTTTATAGATTCATTGAGAGTATTTCAAATTAAAGTATTAGGCTCTCATTTCTGAACACAGAACAAAAGCAGTAAGTGTACATGGTTCAGTTTAGACACAACAAAAACTTCTCTTTGAAAATCATTTGAGCATTGAAATGCTTTGGAAACAGGATTATTTCATGGAGAGATATGAATAAGCTAGACTTTACACTCCCCTGCAACCTGAATGAAGAGCTACATTGTATAGCTAGTTAATCTGCTGTATGCATCCTAATTGCAATAATGATTATTCAGCTTATAGGATAGTATGTCCTGGGCGTAATAACACTGAGTAGTCAAAAGTCAAAATCTAAATACTCCAAGGTATGGACTTATTCTGAACTTTCCGATTACCCTTACTGACTGACAAATATTAATATTGCTCTGAATAAAGCATAATTAAATACCCTACATGTAATATATAATGCAAATGTTTCATTGGACAATTTTTTGAAATAGAAGTTCTTGATATCAGATCAAAAAATATATAAAATTAATTATACATGTTATTTGCAATCAATTAATCAGAGTGTATTGATTTATTTAAATGAGAGCTTTTAAAGTCCACAGTTAGTTGGGATCTAAGGTCCCAGACATAAATGCCATCACATTTGAATACAATAATGTATTACTAAGCATTAACTAGAAATTGGCAACTCCACGGAGTAGAGTAGCAACAAACACTATATAAATCATGAATCTGTACGGTCACAATGTAATATTTACCATCTACTCTTCCCTTCTATATATATTTGAGATCATTGTAGTATCGAAGTAATGGCAAATTCCAGCTCTAGGCAGCCATTTTGAATTCCCTAAGGCACAAATCAGAAAAACAATACCATAATTGTGATCTACTCTAAACTTCTTTCAATTTGAGTATAATAAAGCCATACTTTTAAGAGATCAGAAAATAATTGCCAAAAAATCCCACATGAGGCGACCATTTTGAATTTTATGAGGCCCGAATCAGAAAAAAACGATACAATATTTGCAATCTACTCTAAATTGCCTTTCATTTGAGTATAATAAAGCTATCTTATTTTTCCAGACCCCATTCACAGCCCATGGGGGTCAATAGATGGGGAAGAATAATTACTACCAACATTTCAAATAATAATATTATTATTTTGGTTTGAAATGAAAAACAGAAGATATTTGTGAAAAATTTCCACCATTTTTAAAACGGCAACCATCTCAAATAAATGTTTGCATAAAACTATTCACCAATATACATCTTTCCAACAAATATGAAGAAAATCTGTCAACTAATATTCAAGTTATCTTCCAGATGGACAGACTGACTGACAGACTGACAGACTGACAGAGAGCTTCACTATATCCCTACCGAACTTCGTTCGTTGGGATAAATATAGACTCCATTAGAAACAAATCAAACATTCGAGCAATTACAGGGTGTCAAATAAGTCCCGTCCCCCCTGCTACAGCTAAAACCATAACAGATGGTACCTAGTGAGATATACCATTGGAAAGATCATCCAAAGTTATGTTAACTCACCAACTCTCAAGTATTTTGGATGAAATTTACCTATATTTTTATGATGTCTTGTATAGTTAACGTGCCCTCCTTTAAGTAGCTTTTTTGCGTCAAAATGACAAGGATATGACCTCAGAAATACGTCAAAAAGTTACTCATTTTCGCATTCCACTTGTTACAAAAAGGTTTTCACCATTTTCCTTGCACCTCTATTTTCTACACATCTAACCCTATCCAGAAATTGGTTAAATTCATCGCCATGAACATATTTAGTCATCTTTTGGTCTCTTGACCTTTCTTATACCCGATTCTTAAAATCCTGCCAAATAAGCCAAATTGCCATGTTTCTAGGCATATGGTCACCTCAATTGATACAATGTAAAAATTTGTGAGATTGATTGACATGTGTCAGATATGTGGCAATCAACGTAACTTTGGAACACCTTTCCAATGATATATCACACTTGGTACCAAATATCTTGGTTTTGGCTGTAGAGGGGGGGACGGGACTTATTTGACACCCTGTAGTTAGTTACTCAGGGTTAGTTAAACACATTTAAAATACATTTGTGACTAATGCATCTGATATAAATACAAAGGATCTCCTATGAGACCCATTAGCAAGTTTTCCTTAATTGTCTTAAATCATAAAAAGTTTATGCCATTGAGATTCTGTGGGCTCACTTAATTCTTTAAAGAAATACCTTAATGTTTCAAATTACACTCAGGACATACAAATTGACAGGGACCCACATCCAAAAACAAGATCAACCTGATCAAGCAGAGGAATATTCTATCAATATCAAAAAATGGACCAAAACAAAACAGATGCTGTGACACATAATGAAGCATTGCAAACTAGGATTGTTATACCACTAATGCAACTGCTAAGTGCCACGTGGATATGTACAGGGAATGGTTTAGTAATTGTAGCATATGCAAAGTTTTCAACATTACAAACTGTTTCAAATCTATGGATATTGAATTTAGCGATTGCAGACTTTCTAATGGGATCTACATCTCTATGCTTAACAATATATGTGTTTGCTAAAATCACATTTGATAGTTTACTTGAAACATTTATGATGATATTTATCCATAGTTCAATATTTTGTTCGATGTGCTTTCTTCTTGGGGTGATTTCAGATCGTTACATAGCAATATTATGGCCACTCCGATATGAGGCTATAATGACACGTTTTCGTGCTAGGATCTGTATCTCAGTAACTTGGATCTCCGTAATAGTCTACTGCGTAATGGCATCTTCTTATTCTCACTACATGGAGTTTAATGAAATGAGAATCATTCCAGTGATTTTTGCACATTCTTACCTACCTGCATTTTGTATCTTATCAATAACAGTTACCATTCTATACTCCCGTATTCTTCGGGTAGCTCATCATCAATTCAAAGATATGGTAATAAGCCTCAATCCACACCAACCAGGCCCAAAAGCCCAGCTTAAGGCAAATCTAACCTTACTTAAAACAGCTTTATTGGTGCTAGGAATATTTTTCATGTGCTGGTTGCCACCTGTCATACAGATGGCAGTTTATATATATGGACATATTCAACTCGATCTCCATGTACTAAGGATTCTTGTATATGTGCTAGGCTTTACTAATTCTGGAATCAACCCTATCATCTACAGCTTACGAATGAAGAACTTTAAAATTGCATTCTGCAAAATGTTGCGAATCAAAAGGAAGAGTGCTAATGACAATGACCGTGTCCTTAACTGACTTTCATTTTTAACATATAAATCACAGATCACTTGTATAAAAGCCTATCAATTCTGCAAAGCAGTCTTTTTGACTTTCTTTTTTGTGGTAATATTTACTTAGAAATCAACACAAGTGGATGTAGAAACAATGTACATTATTATAGGTAGATTTACTGTTTATATTATAGGTAGCTTTACTAATATAACATAAATGCAAACACATTCTATTTTTGTTAATATGTCACAGTATTTCCGAAACTGAGACCTTAATGTGACATTAAGGATAGAATCAAATCTATGGAGGTGACAAAATTACAAGCAACATGTACAATTGACCTACCAATCTATTCCTTCAATATCAAATACAATATCTCCCAAAAGATATGTTATAAATCGGTGAAGTTATAATGGATTCAAAGTGCATAAAAATGGGAAAAATGTTTAAATTCTCCCAAGTAATAAGAATGGTAACCCGATTCTTAGAGAAAAATAATACATCATTGTAAAAATCTGCAATTTTCATTAAAGTGTGCGCCTGACCCGGCTACGTATAGCACAGAGTTTATACTGCCGGATTAGACTAGTTCATTTTTTATATGTGTGTGAAAGCTTTCTCTTATTTGCGTTTTTTTCGTTTAGTACGGTTCTGTTATAATTGCCGAGGTCATATAACCGGGATAAAACAATGATTATCGTTGACTGCCCACACACAAAACATACGTTGAGTGAACAGTGTTATTACAAACAACAGGCTTTAGAATACAAAGCGTAGTGTGATAATAAGCTGGGGCTCCCAAAGAGTGGATAGGGAGGTTGTGTTTGTCACTTTTAAATTTTACATTTCAAAATTGTCATTTTACATGTCATAATTTGTTGGTTTCAGTCGTTAAGCCAATCAAAACATTGTAAAACAATAAATTGTCTGTTACGTACAATCAATTTTGTTCAGTTTTGATTAGTTGTCAGAATAAAGTTACGTTCATCTGAATCCATGTATCAAAACAAAAATCATATTTTCACTTCAAAATACTTCAGTGAAATGAAGGCTCGGAATTGTCACATGCAATAACTTATTGTCGTATTCGTTATTTTATCTTCTCGATAGTAGCATTTAGTTGCACATTTGATGCCAGGTCACCTTGTCGCGTACCTCTTGGGGAACCCCACATTTATGTGTGTACTCATGGAAGTAAATTCCCCGGTGTAGCCGAGAGCCACAAACTTTTCAACAGGTTCGAAATGACCAATTTCTCTCATATACTCTAAATATTTTATTATTTAGCACGTACAAAGTATTGCTAATAACCATATGTAATTTCAATAAGGAAACTTATCTGGCTACATGTAAATTCAATATCAACACTAGCTGTTCTCTCAACACGTCCTGGCTTACCTTGTGGTGACAAACCCTGGATTTTCGCTATTTATAGTTTATCAACACCTGGACGCATGCGCATTTTATAGTTTATCGGGCACTTTAACAGTACTAAAAAGGTATGATGAACATTACGAATAGTATTGTAACAAATTTTCTTGTGTGCCATATGACTTTACAGATAATGTCACAAATGTCACCACTTGCCATTTATTACAGATACTGCCCACTGAACACCGACCACTAAACACCATTCACACATAGCTATAGGCAAGATGTGTCCAATTTCAGCCAATCAGAACATGCTATTTAATGTGACTGCATTCCGTTATATAACCAAAAACGCATTTGTTGTATTGTTGTCAATGTGATAACTAGGATTCTACAGATTCAAATTGATGCTTTGCCAACTTGACCCTTACAGAAAGTTTTATTGAAAATATGTTCTTTTAGTGATTTTGGATATTTTAGGTGATCTCACCCCTCCCCATTTACAGAAAATAAACTACCAATTTCATGTATTTTGACAGAACTGCTAAATGTTTTATATAGCCATTATAAAGATAAAGAAACAAAACAAGTTGCAGTATCCTTCCATGAAAACGAAACAGTAACTAGTACTAAACACTAATTAAATACTCTGGCTGAGAGCATTCATATTCATTTTCTCAGAAATGAGGAAGTCCAAATAAAGTAAGAAGTAGTACATTCATCCTTGTTATATCCCAGCTTATTCTGAACATGCTGTAAAACATTTGTGTTGTCCCAAATTAGTTGCTTATTTACTTAAAAAATAGTGCAACTATCTTACATTGTTTTTTGAATAACATTGCGAATCAATTGTTAATCTCTATTATTTTTTACTATTTACTATTTGGAGATGGAACATATCAACCATTTTATGATTAATATAATCTAATTCACCCATTTTATGATTAATATAATCTAATAACACCTGAAGTAAATTATTCATCTAATTTCCTAAAAATATGGATTTCCTTAGTACTAAATAAGAAATAAATCATAATCTAGTTGAAACTTTTACATATTTCACTTGTGTTCGTAAACAAATGCTATTTTTAAGTTTAGGATATTAATTCTGTTTGTAAATCTTTTAATTTGATATAATTTATACTATAGTTATAATCATTTTTTTGTTTTTTCTGTTATTAACGTACCGGTTTTTTCCACGTAAAGCTTACAGATCAGGAAAAAGTCACAATTTTTAATATAAGCTTCATATAAAATCAATGTTCCTGATTCAAAGCAGAGGTGAAGATAATTATATCTGCCTGTGTAAGGTGAGATAAAAATAACTTACAGTACATTTTGTATGTAAAATGAATCCCAAGCTACTGGCTGTATTTACATTTGCTTATAATCCTTATTTAGCAGAATATAGGGTGGTCTTGTAATATCAAGAGAATTGTAAATTATGCCTACTGAGTGATGTCTCATGATCACATGCCTGATGATGAACTTAAATGAAACGAAAATAACAGCAAGTGATGTATTGTTAGTGAGAATTTTAATTATGACATCAGGATAAACTATAAGGCATTAACATGACAAAATGTCACCACCTATTTGCTCACAATATTTGCCATTGAAGGTCAAATCTTTAGTCAGATTTGAACATTTGAGAACTTGAATATGATTTTGAAAAAAAAATTGGTCAATTTGAAGCAAGTTGAAAAAAGACACTCAATTCTTAAATATAAACTCAGATTTGAACTTCTGATAACTTGTAGATGATTTTGAAAAAAAAATTGGGTCAATTTGAAACAAGTTGAAAAAAGACCTTTTTTTTACCTTGAAAAAGTCATTGAAGTTCAAATCTTAAATGTTAAGTCAGATTTGAATTTCCGAAAACTTGTAGATGATTTGGAAAAAAATTGAAGTCAGTCTCAACCACCAAACGCCACCAAAAAAAACTGAAACCATAACAATATTAACGATGAAATATGAGCATTTCATTGCACTTCCTTATTCCTCCAATATTACTGTATGGTGAAATTCTACACTAGTTGGACAGAATGTACAAATCCACTCACCTTCGGTTCGTGCTTTTTACAACAATCTGTCCAACTCATGCTGAATTTTGGCCTATCATTGTTTATTCCTTAAATAATGAATTTTTTAAGAAATATAGACCGAAGAGCAGGGGTAATATTGTTGAATACACCTGCAGGGATTGGCACAAACGTTTTCTAAACAAAACTATCATTAGTCCCGACCTGACCCGTGCACTGAATTAAGTTGGCCCGGTCCGAGCAAGCCCAACATGAGTAATCAACCAGAACAACGGCAACGCCAAAGCGTAGCGAATCCCATCGAACAGAAATGGCTGGCATTTTTACAAACGAAATATATAGCAAATATCATAAAATAACACACATAGAAAGGCCACCATTTTCAAAATGGTTGCTCACTAGCCAAGTTGTCATCAGAAGAAGTAATATGCTTTTTCTTTATAGTATTCACATACCAAATATGAACAAAATCGCTCCACTACTTTTCGAGTTATAGTAAAATACTTTAAAATGGCCGCCTTCTACCAAAAGTGTAATTAGACAGTGTGCCATGCTTATAGTATTCACATACAAAATATGAACAAAATCGCTCCCCTGCTTTTCGAGTTACAGCAAAAATCGTAAAATAACGAGTAAAGGCCGAGTAAAATACATTTAAATGGCGGCAATTTTTCAAAATGGCCACCTTCTACCAAAAGTGTCATTAGACAGTATACTATGCTTATAGTATTCACATACCAAATATGAACAAAATCGCTCCACCACTTTTCGAGTTATAGTAAAATATGTTTCGAGTTATAGTAAAATATGGCGGCCATTTTTCAAAATGGCCACCTTCTACCAAAAGTGTCATTAGACAGTGTGCCATGCTTATAGTATTCTCAAACCAAATATGAACAAAATCGCTCCACTACTTTTTGAGTTATAGTAAAATATGTTAAAATGGCGGCCATTTTTCAAAATGGTGGCCATTTTTCAAAAATGGCCACCTCCTACCAAAAGTGTCATTAGACAGTGAGCCATGCTTATAGTATTCACATTCCAAATATGAACAAAATCGCTCCACTACTTCTTGAGTTACAGCAAAAATCGTAAAATAACGAGTAAAGGCCGCCATTTTTCAAGATGGCTGCCATGTGCTTCTTTAATATCTATATTTCTAGTTATCAATGTCCTATATAATTTTTTTATATCTAAAACATATTGCTATTACAGTTTACATATTGCACCTAAATTACTGTAAAATCGGCACTTAAATGGCCGCCATTTTTAAATGAGCAGCCATTTTGAAAATCGGCTTTCGAGCAGAACTTCTACCCCCATAGGGTATATGTGTACAAAATGTGAACAAAATCGGGCCAACGGTATTTGAGTTATTGCCCGGACGGACGGACAGACGGACGGACGGACGTACGTACGGACGGACGTACGTACGGACGGACGGACGGAGGCGTTCCCTATATCCCTCCGAACTTCGTTCGATGGGATAATTATCCTAGTAATTATCATGCCAAAGGGGAGGTTACAAATAGAGATAATAATCCGACATTGAACTAAAGATACTGTAAGAATATGAATACCACGAAAAGACTAAAATTACAAGTTGGTCTCTTAATGGGCTGCTATTCTATTTAATAATTTATTTGTTATCTAATGAAACTTACCGTGGCCTCATCCATGTGGCTTTCCATTCCAGCTAGTATTGTTGTTATGATATCTCGTCTGGTGGCGACATTTAGCATGGACCTTTCTTTCCCCTTTACGATGTAGAACAATGAGGCACTGAAAAAATGAGTCACAAAACTTCATATTTTATTGTGAGTGAACACTTTGTGTATTGTATAACATTCAATTGAAGTACAGTATATTTTATCATTGTGGGAGCCACACCTGCTTAGTGTTTTTCCTTAATAGTGCTAGTCATTATATTTTAAAGGTCATTGATCAGCTATAACTATGTATATCTTATCTATGTCTGTATAGTAATAAAAAATAAATAAAATAATAATTCCTTTATTATGGTTAGTTCTTTACCTGCCAGATATTTGCACAGATCTGTCGAAGACATGCTTCTTCATAGCAGTGAGAATACCCTGAAAATTCATTCATAGCAGTGAAAATCCATTGAAATATATTCATTGCTGTGAAAATCACAAGAAAAAATATTTATAGCTGTCAGAATTCTCAACAACATGTTTTTCACAATTTCATTTTCAAATTTGTGCTGCATTATAATTAAGACTCCGACCTTGACCTTTTGTTTATGAATCGTGTTCATTGGAGCCGATGAACCCTATCTTCATGCTCATAATAAGATTGCAATCTCAATTTTTACATCATTTGTATCTAGTCAAAAAAGAAATCCCAACTTGAGATATCTGTGTCATATCTACCTAAACATACCTGTGAGACTAAAATAAACAATTCCTTGAGTTCATAAATCCCCCTCCCCAAGCAAAATTTGTTTTGGCAAAATTCACATTGTCACATAATTATTTCACCCACAGGCCCTTATAATGAGAAAGAAAACTGCAAAAAGATTTACCTTTAAAGCAACAGCGGGACTTTTACAGATGGAGTAGCGGAATATTCTAAACAGGTGATTCAGGGAGCGAATCAGAAGCTCTGTTTTTTCTATGTTTGCCTGGATGGAGACTAATACTTGTTCCTCTGTTTTATCACCAGTTACCTAGCGACAGAAAAATGAGCCAATCAGACTACATTAATGTTAATTAGTGTTCAATAGCCTTAGGGGTACACCCTCAACGTACCTTTTTCTTCATAAATCAAACATTCATCAATGTAAGATTATTTCAATATAATTGTACTGTAAATGTATATTCTACCATTGAAATAATACCATTATGTTTAACACTATTTGAATTGATGTTTCATATATGAAATATATAGTAGTTAATTTGGCATAAAAATCCAATTTGTACAAACATTCCATGAAATCAAATATGAATCTGAAGAGAAATTAAGTAGAATGAAATACTCTAAACAGACAACTGATGCCAATGCTGGCATTTTTCCTACCTTTTTAGCAGGTATGTTTTCCCTGTTGCAAGGCTCAGTTGTACAGTAGAGAAGGCCTAGGAACTCAAATGATCTACCCTCGAGGCCATAGATAGGACAGTGTGGATACTGTTGCCTACAATTACAATAACAATCAATTAACATGCATAATGTCACTACCTGCCATTTGTTACAGATGCTGACCACCAAATGCTGAATGGCGACCACTGAACACCATCCACAAAAAGTTGCAGACTTACAACACCAATTTAGTGTTATATTAAATAGCTGAATCTTTTAGGGGCATCCTGTTTCTCCGCCATCTTGACATTGAATGGAGAATATTTGAGTCAGTGACTATGATGTGACTTAATTCAAAAGTGGATACAGTAGAATTCGGAGGTTAGAGCGAAACCTGCCCCCTTCCCCAACCTTGGCGAAATATTATTTCAAAATCATGCAATTTTTCATAATGCTGAGTATGTTTCAAGTTATTTTGGGCCAAAGCTGTTAAATGTGAACCCACCCTGGAATTATTTGAAAAGTGAACCCACTTCACAAAAGCCAGCTATGGGCCAAGCGAACTACTTGGTCAATCGCTGAATATGTAATCAATGAGGTTAAGTCACCTCACAATCAAACAAAGAACAAACCTTTCTTCTTCAAATTTCAGAGTCTTAGTGAGGTAATCGTTGGGCTCCATCCCAGCCAGGTTTGTGCCAGATATGTCAAGGGATACCAGGTTAGGGAGAGCGTTGACAATATATCTCAGACGTTGCTCAGGCTCATCATAGAGGACATGCTGCTCCTTGCCTTGGCTGATGTCAAGGTGCCTAGAATGAAGAATATTATAACAATGTACAGAACTATATCCCAAATGAGGATGCCTTCTGTAATTTTGATACATAATATATCAAAGTGCAACTAGTCCAACTAATCAAAATTTCATAAGGTCATATAATAATATTAAAGGCCCCATATAAAGTATAGCCACAATTCATACCAATGCATACCATTCATCCTCCCACGTTTTTTGCCGAAAAAATTAAGAAAAATCGGTTCATAAATAAGCGAGAAATGAACTTATCAGTGCATGAAAATGGTTCTGAGAAAAATGCATTTCAAAATTTTAGTTCTCATAGAAACCAATGGTACAGTGACATCACTAATGTTTCAAAATATTTTTGATATGCTAAAACATTGGAGTGGCCAATTAAATATGGCATTTTATTATTGAAATAGTGTCCTTTGTTCAATCTTTGCATTGGTGTTAAAAAGATAATCTTTTTTGAAATGCATTAAGAAATATTTGATGATTAAGAAATTTCAACTTTTTTTGAAAAATGGCGGGAGATTTGAATATTTGAAAAATGAAATGCTCACAACTTTTTTTCAAAAATCTCTAAAATCACTTTTTAAGTCCTGACAAAAAGTAAAAAATGAATGATAAAAAAATATTTTCAAACTTTAGACGGGGACTTTAAACATCATTTTGTCTAATTTTTCTTCAAAATAACCTATGATATGTCTATATTGTTGTCCAATATTTGTACAATGTCTTCATAATAGGGAATCAAAATCTATAAAGTTTACAGGAGAGTCATCTCAAAAATCCAAATTGAGTTTTAAACTTGCAAAATCTGCAGCAAGTTCAGGATAAATAAGGGTTATGTACTGGGGTGGTTTTGGATATGGGATTTATCCAGAGGGATTCATATCGGATGGGGGATAAACCCCATATCCAAACCAACCCTACATAACTGCTTTATCCTATACCCAGTGGAGTTTTAACTGGATTTTTTTTTACATTTTCTCTTTTTTTTCTCTTTTTTTTCAAAATTTTATCAATTTTTTTTTTAATTTTTTCAACTTCAACCTTTTTTCAAAGCGAAGATATGCCCTGGAGCGGGAGATATAGTGGGAGATACGGAGGATCTGGATATGGAAACCTCAAAATATATATCTTACCAACTTATCTCCCTAAAACTCCACTTGGCATATAGGATAATGGATATTATCATGGCACCTGATCATACGCCATATCAGATTTTTATTAGCATGGTACTACCTGTTACATAGCTAGTTTTGTATGTTAATGTTGTATCAGCTTACCTCAATGTTTTAAGTTTGCCTATAGCTATCAATGTATCCTCCAGATTACTTATCTGTACATCATAGAGTGTTAACGACCTAATATGGGCATAACTCTGGACACCCATCAATAATTCAGCATCTACACCACACCCTGATAGATCCAAATATGTTAATTTAGTCAAAGGTTTTAATAAAGTTAAGATCATGTCATAAGCATTATGACTCAAATCATGTATTGATAACCATCTAAGGTTAGGCAAGTCAAACACATATTCCCGCATGAATAATGGATCTCGCTGACTCTCATGTTTGTGATCGGCACATTTGTCACGAGAGAGCAAATAATCTTGAATAGATGAAGTTTTTGGTATAGGGAGACAATGACATGGTGGTTTAATAGCACTAGAGTCATTTTCATCCAACTGCACAGGATCCAGATCGTTAAATATGACTGTGGTATTCCCAATATTTAGTTTGGTTAGGTTGTCGCCATAAGTGTTAATACAATGCATCGACAAGTTCCTTAAGGCGGAGTTATCCGATATATCGAGCTCAGTAAGCTTATGTGAGAGTATCCACTCCAGAGCAGTGTCTACAACTTGCATCCTTGACAAGTTAACTCTTTTAAGTCTAGTACGTAATGTATCTTGAAATATGTGGAGAAAACTGTTCAATTTGTAATCGTAATAATCAGGTTCATCGGGTTCTCTATAGTGATTGGCTAGGAAAGCTGTCAACAAGCTCTCGCATACTTCAAGCGGCAATGTTAAGCCCTCTCGTAATTTCCAGTTATAGACTGTTTGATCATTGTTTGTAACTGCAAGTTCTTGGACACAAAATGTCTGCAGATTTCTAACACAATAAAGAAGAGATATATCCCATAAGGAGTCTGGTTGGTTGATAGCAGTTGCCATGACTACTGTTGGTTACGCCATCAAATGCATTGGTTTATGCTCTTCCAGTTCTTGATGTGTTACTTCAAGCATTCAAGCTGCAAACACACAATCACATATTTTGATTTCTGAAAATCAAAGAAAAAATATTTTTCATTCATTAATTTGATTATTTATAAAAGTAGCACATACTCTACATATAGACTGTAGTCCATACAAATATGTTTGCAGATAATAGATTTACATGTAAGCATCTGATATACCCTGCGTGCAGAGTCTAGTTAAACTATACTCTGCCTAGTAGAGACCATATTACAGTTTAGTAGCCCCGCCCCCACGATGGGTACCATTGACAGTTTGGGTAATAAATCACTTTTGACCTACGCGCTGACCTTTCTTCCACCAATCAGTGAGCTTGAAGAAACATAGGCCAAATGCGTTCTAATCAAATATGCGCATGTCATTGGTCAATTCCGGGCTCAACGATGACGTTAGAAGGAATGACCATATATAGAACGTCGGTCAAATTTGGCCGACGAACACTGATTGGCGCAGTGAGTTCATAGGTTTATTTTAGTTTGAAAGAGTGAAGACGAAGCTCTCTTTTAAGAAGTGAAGTCGACGAATGCAAAGGGTACATCTGATAGTAATAAGCCAAATCACTGGGCCTCAAGGAAGATCACTTTTTGTACTATACATGTAGAGCCAAACCAAGTTTTCAAATCAAATCAAACCAAGTTGTGAATCACAAAACCTCAAACAGTTATAACTTATGAACAAATGGTTCCTCTGGGCTATTTGATTTAAAAACATTTCATACATGCAGATGTATGAAAATGTTGCTAAAAATTATAAATTTTATGAAGCTTTACCTCCCAAAAATTAACATTATACAGTGTTATAACAATTCAATTAAGTAGTAAGGTACAATTAAATGCTATAAAAAGAAACACAGCATATTGTCAAGTGAAAATACAGCTAGGGAAGTAACAAATATGCAAATTAATTTACTCCATCGACCATTTGAATAATTCGAATTCAAACAGCCTTCATTTTGTTCATTTCAACATTTGAATTGTGAATTTTTGGTCTTTCCCAACAAAAAATTCCAAAACTCACAAGAAATGATCAAGATACATGTATTGGTTCAAATCTTTTGAATTTTTAATTCATAGTCTGTTTTAATTTCAGAAAATAACCGCATTACAATGTTTATATTGATGGAAAATATTGAGTTTCGATCATGGGAGCCAATCCTCCTTGACATATGTGGCTGGTACTAGTCTGAATATTTTCATTTTAAATTTCATAGAATATTCAAGAGTAGAGGATATATAGTCTAAGAATACATGAAAACATATATGCTTTCAATGTGTGACCTACATGTAACTAGCATATCATAAAAGAATTACATGTAGGCCTAGGCTAGAGCTCTTAATTAAGGCGCCACAGTGCTTAACAGGAAATGACAAAACAGGAAGTGACAAAACATGCTGCATTTTTAGACATTTTTTGAACAAAGATAACATTTCCTGTTAGTAGGTACTATGGCACCTTAACAAGCCAATCATGGGTGTAGGGCTATATTTTGAGTTGGTACGCACACTCGGGGATGTCTGAATGCGTGGCCGAAGGCCGCGCATCACAGGGGGTCCGGGGGTATGCTCCCCCGCGAATTTTTTTTCCAGGGTGTTATTTGATGGAATCTAAGCATTTTTATCAACTTTAAATGTTGACAATGGTAATCATACAGATACAATAGGAAGCATCAATAAATTCGCAAATAAATTAATGCATTTTAACGCATTTTGAATTGTTTTCAAATTCATTTGGTACGCCTGTGCGTATTTTTCGTAATAGGCGCTACGCCCATGCCAATCTGTTACATTGTCCTTCATTACAACTCTCTTATTATCACTAAACATGAGAATTAAAAATCAAATGAAATCATTCTCGAAATAGATCTTGAGAAATATATAGATCTATCTAGTTGATAATACTATTCACTGATTCAGATCTGAAGTGAATCTCTGCCCGCACCCATTGAACCCATCTCTGTTTATTTTTTTGGGTGAAATTTTTGTCAAGACCAGCATTTCATGAAACCGGAGACAAGCGTAAGATCATCATACTCATGAAGGTTTAAAAATATATATTTAGTTTCGTCTGACAGCGAACACTAAGCTATCGTCCATATAAAACCCATAAATACCTTTATTTATTTAGATTTATCAAAATTTTCAGGACATCCATTTTACAAGGTCAAGGGTCGAGGTCAAAATATTGCTAGACAAAACTCATCAATCAATCTTGCTACACACATAAATTAGGCATTTTTGACACTATATCAAATATGAAATTACCAAAATATTTATATTTCTAATATTAATTAATTACTATACATTATGTAACGATGAAAATAAGTGAATAAAGATTGTTGATCGATTACACATGTCTAAACAAATTCAATATGGCGGCCCACAGAGCAAAGTAATTTTTTAATTATTTTGTTTTTTATTGATTTTTACGTCTAACCATACCTTTATAAACTTCAAAATCTACTTTATCTGTTACTTTTAGATTGATGAGATGTGAGGAGCTGCTGTCGAAAGACAAGATCCCTTTTAAAGATCTTAGGGAACTCTGTTTTCAAGGTAATTATTCTGGATTTTTTCTGTTTTTATTTTTTAAAGCTTATGGCATGGGACCCTCGTTTGTTTAGTTAGTCTAAACATCACACTTTAATCACATTAATTAGTTCGAAATGTACATTTTATTCTGATGAAATCTAATAGTAAATTTATTTTTTTTTTTTTTGCTTTAGTTTGTGTAGTTTACTGATGTGTAATCCATCCATCTTTTTGCATGTGCATGGTCGCATTGTAAATCTAATACACTTCCTGGTTTATATAAGATATGTACAAATTACAATAGAATATTTCCATATCAGATTCCAATAAATTGTGTTGTATCCCTCATGTACAAAGTAGACTAAAGAATATCCTATTTAATCTAAAAATATTCAGACTATAAGCCACCTGTGTTAAAGTTGGCTTTGTATAAAAAACCTCCTACCTCATACCTACCTACCCACCTACATGGAACATGATACAGTCATTGAAGGGTTCAATTTTAAAAATTATTAAATCTCAAAATAGCTCTGAAAATTATTAACATTTCAACAATTCCGGCTTTAGTTTATGCATGGGCTTTCAATTAGAAGGGTATGCAACTCTGTGTAATAACATGAGACCTTCAAAATGAGCAATGCCATGCTTCACTTTTATGGTAATATTTCAAAAAGTATTAGATAAATGTGTATGTTTTAGTATTATTTTGAATAAAAATCAATTTTCAATATGATTAAAGCATAAAATATGTTCAGTCTCATGTAAAAGTAAACAAAAAGACCAACAAACTATCAAGATGTTCTCTTTGAGTATTGCATTGTGGGTAATTATTCAAGAACACATTCCAATAAAAACATAATTTGTGGGAGAATGTTCACTCTCTGTATTGTCATAATTATGATGAATTCCATTTTTTATTAAATTATCAACATGTATGTAGGTGATCATGTTTTTATATTTGAGTTATTTCTTTAAATCATCCCTAAAAAGTAAAAAATAAGATTTTCTTGGAATGTGTACATTCTCCAATTCTGAAAACCCAAAAGGCAATGTTTATGTATGAAATATGGGAAGTTGCCTACCCTTCTAGTTGAAAGCCCATGGTTTATGACTAGACAGATGACAGATCCATAAATAAAGGCATATGGATGCATTCTAATGTGAAATGACCGAAGTGCGCCCCGGGGAATAAATAACTAACGACCGCGAGCATAGGTCCAACAAGCCAGTTAAAGAAATTGAAAGTGTGCTAGATTCGATGCCCCGAGTGGGAATCGAACCCAGCTGGGATGTAGTAGCAACTTGCTATCAAGGGTTGTTACAAATGCATCTATAATTCATCATAAACTAAGATTTAATAAACTAAGATCTTTAAAATTGAACCCTTCAAAGACTGTCTCATGTCCCACATACGTGGGTAGGTGGGTTGATGATGAGGTAGGAGGTTTTTTATACAAAGCCGTTAAAGTTTGGTAATTCAAAATATTTGTTTACATAGGAAGTGCTATTCAAAATGGCTGTTTGGGTAAAATTAATTTGCACATTTGTTACTTCAACTGGCTTTATTTCCACTTGACAATATGCTGTGATACTTTTTATTGCATTTAATTGTACCTTACTACTTCATTGAATTTTTGTAATGTTTATTTTATTGAAGAAATGGTTCCTCTAATTGATAATTTTGTGCAAAAATTTCACTGTAATTTCCACAGGACAGTAGTACTAGTACATCATAACAGACTAACATCTAGTCAGTCAGTCTGTTGGATACATACTAATCCCTCATGGGCTTTCAGTTATCTAGTTGAAAGCCCGTGGTATCCCTATAGAAATTATTTGTGGCAATTACTATGTTTGTGACAAGTTCACAAGATATTTCCGCATGCTGCATAATTCATTCATCGGTACATTTATTTGGATAACTTATACTTTTTTTAAAGGGACGTTCCTGGCCAGACCATTTCTATCTTGATATGAAAGCTATAATCAAACATATACATGTCAGTGATCTCCCCAGTATAAAGCAAGTGGGTGCAGCACCCACCTGAGATTTTTAAAAAAAGGCTTGCATTGCACTCACCTGAAAATCCATTTGCATCCACTTGAAAATGAGGCAAAACATGAAAAATGGGCATTTTTGACCAATTTTGTTCTGAATTGTGAAAATGAGAATTTTGCACCCACTTGAGAAAAAACACTGCATGACCTTTCTATATTTAGCAAAACATGAGGAAATATTGTATAATAGTCAGTATTGATCGTATATAATGTCATGCTCATTTCCAGTAAGCTTGTACTTTTTCAGATTTCACTCAGAAAGTGATGTCATCGACTCTCAACTTTCATAATTGCCTACAACAGTATAGGAAAGTAGCACAAAATCACTTGTAGACAAGTGGTCCTCACTTTATTTGCAAAAATAAGCTTGTCAGCTTAGAATAAAAAAGAGACTTTTAGAAGGATTAAATCATAGACAAAATTGAAAAGGATATTCAGTTAGTTTTATAATTCTTAATAGCTCCTCACCTAATGTTATACAAAGTATGCAAAGTTGAGAGTCGATGATGTCACTCCCTCCTGAGTGAAATCTTGTAAAAAGCCTACTGGAATTGAGCAATACATTTTTATGTGATCAATATTGACCATATAAAATATGATGTACTGTATCTCATTTTGAAGATAAATTAATACTGATATATTTTTGATTAATTATCATTTGTGTATTACTCTTAAATAAATTTATGATGATTCAGCAGACTGCAATATGGAGGGAAATTTGGGATATTATCATATTTTGGTCGCTCACTGGTATAAATTTTAGTCTAACTCCACGGAAAACAAAGGTTTTTTAATTGAATGGTGTCATTTTGTTAGGAAATGATTTTAATATCTTTAAATTGATATATAATACATGGCATGGTTTAACATATATCATTTGAATCATTCATCTTTAAACTTGAGTATTGTTTTTTTCCAACCTGTATATGGTTATAGCTACCATATTAGAAGAGAGATGGTCTGGCAAGGAATATTCCTTTAAGAAGTCGCATAATTTACATTTTCCAAGCATATGAATTTTTGCTGCATAATTTCTATTTTTGCCTGCTAATTCTGGGAGGAATCATTAATATTTCTACTTGCAAATCCAATTCAGAACAGAAATTGGAAGAAAATCGATTGAAACAAGTGGCCCATTACTTTACAATACTTTCACTTGATCTCAAAAAGTCTAAACATATCAAATCATTTGAACGAAAGTTAAAGTTTGATTTGCTACGTCATTATTAGATCTTCTTTGAAAAATGCTTTCTTCTCATCACTTGTATTTTATTATGATGCATTTTATGCTTTGTCATTTTTTTTGTTTCCATATAACCTGACTGTTAAATTAATAAATGATATACATGTATTGTATGTTAAACATGGAACTTATACAACCCCCGGGGTGTCTTTTCATGTCAATGTAAAATACTGTATCTGAAACATTTGAAATAAAGTGAATTGAATTGAATTTAATTCAAAGCTTGGAGAAATGTATTTTTGCAAGCACATGATGCTCTACACTTGGAGGTTTTGGACAGTTTTACTCACTTCCTTTACCAGTTTGTGGAAGACTGGAGTGCTCAACAGAATGAAATAGGAGCTGCAGTTTTCCAAAGGATATATTGCATACTCCATGTACATGTAAATTCTCTCTAGGTTTCAAAGCTTAAAGATCTAATAGCAAAGGTTTTGCAAAAATAAATCAATGCAGTGTAAAACAAATGTATGTATAATGAAGAAATAAATATTTAATGAAAAAAATAGATATGTGTTTGTAATATTGGTATTAACTTAAGATTAAAAAGTGTCACTATCTCTTTCATTTTTCAACAAATATAGGCTCACGTGACATATGACGCGGGGCAGTCAATTTTGATCTATCGTAGACCATATCAGTATCAAACTGCCGATATTTCAACCTCGTCTTGCGAGGCCATTTTTATTTGAAACATCTTGAATTTGGTGTCAAAATAAAGCTGGTCACGCCCACTTTCAGAGTTATCAATGAATCATTTACTACGACTACTATATTCATTTAGGAGGCGTGTAAAGTTAACCAATCAGAAAGACAATTGCTCCATATATGACAGTTCATTAACATATTCAGTGTTTACTATTGTTTTTCGCGTCATGACAACACGAGTAGTAACCAATCAAAATGCCGTATTTTATCACGTGAGTTCAGAGTGACATGCACGACATGTAAGTTTAGTCTGAGCTGATCGCGATGTTGAACAATTTCTTCTCGGAATTTGTCCAGAGAAATCAGCGATTCTAAATTAAGGTAGGATCTCCCATTTCTTCCTGTACAAGTTTAAACTTATCTCTATCGAATCCTAAAGTTTTGGATGAAGATATGAAGCATACGTTTAAAGTCCCCGTCTAAAGTTTGAAAATATTTTTTTATCATTCATTTACTATTTGTCAGGACTTAAAAAGTGGTTTTAGAGATTTTTGAACAAAAAAAATTTTTTGAAAAAAAAGTTGTGAGCATTTCATTTCTCAAATATTCAAATTTCCCGCCATTTTTCAAAAAAAGTTGAAATTTCTTAATCATCAAATATTTCTTAATGCATTTCAAAAAAGATTATCTTTTTAACACCAATGCAAAGGTTGAAAAAAGGACACACTATTTCAATAATAAAATGCCATATTTAATGGGCCACTTCAATGTTTTAACATATCAAAAATATTTTGAAACATTAGTGATGTCACTAAGGTACCAAAAACTTTTTGAAAAAAATTGAAATTTTTTTTTCGATGTCAATCTTTTCTAAATATGTTAGACTTTCATAAAAAACAATGTTGATTGTCTAACCAGGTTAAAAGGAAGAATAAATTATGTTTTAGATATCACTGTACCATTGGTTTCTATGAGAACTAAAATTTTGAAATGCATTTTTCTCAGAACCATTTTCATGCACTAATAAGTTCATTTCTCGCTTATTTATGAACCAATTTTCTTAATTTTTTCGGCAAAAAACATGGGAGGATGAATGCTATGCATTGGGATGAATTGTGGCTAATTAGAAGATATGAGTGACCTCTAAAAGTTGGTTTTAAATAAATTCACAAATTTTGGAACAAAAAGTCTATCAAAAACCACTTTTTGAAATTTAAAAAAAAAGTTTCACATATCACACTTTGATAACATTGGGTAAGACTACAATATAACCCAAAGTGGTTTAAACTTTATACGGGGCCTTTAAAAACGAAGCGATTAATTTGACGATCTGATTTTGCAATTTGCAATGGCCAATTTACTGCAAGTCTGCGTGTATTTGACAAGAGATAGCGCCAAGTCTTGTATCCGAATGCTTGTTAAGCCACTCAAAAACAAGATCCATATTTTCTAAATTTGATAACTTTGCAGAGAGCCCGTTTTCATAACCTGTTTTCCGCGTCTAAATTCAAACTGAGTAGGATTATAGGATCGCTGGGATTCTCAGTCAATGGCAACGGGTCTTCATTCCAGAACGCACATTTTTTTAGTTGATTCTCCGTCATAGTACTTGTCTAAAGTCCATATCTGCTCTTTTACTGGCATACTTGGACATATTTCCCCTCCTTAAATTGTCCTCCTTAAATAACACCCTCTCGCCGATTTATATATAGCCATTTCCCAGAACCCGGGAGTCAGAATCGCTGATGTTTGCCATATTGAACATGTTGAAATATGTACTGTAATATCTGTAATACTAGGCATTGCCTGCTACGCGTAAGGGTCACGTGACTAGTGCGATACAGGAAAAATGGGGAATTTCGAAACAACAATTTTTGGGCACTTTTATTGCAAATTTCAGGTATTTATAAGTGTTTGTGGTATAAAATATAATCCACAGACATAAATGAACATCCAAACTACATATTTTATTACGTTTTGGAGCCTTTTTTGCTTTTAAAATGACATCTTTAAAGAGAGAATCAGAGATAGCGAGCAGGTCAAACAAAAAATTGTTTCAATTTTAGAATATTTTTGGCTCGTGTTATTCCTTGTCATGTCTATTTTCTAAAACACACAAAAGTGCATACTTTGTTCGAGGAAAACAAAAGATTTTTACAATAATGTATTATTTTTCTATAAGAATGGTTACCATTCTTATTATTTGGGAGAATTTAAACATTTTTCACCCATTTTGCACTTTGAATCATTAATAACTTCACCAATGTACAACATATTATGAATCTTTTGGGAGATATTGTATTTGATATTGTACGGAATAGATTGGTAGGTCAATTATGCACGTTGCTTGTAATTTTGTCACCCCCTATAGATCTGATTCTGCCTTTAAAGCAGATATGAAATGGTATTTTTAACCTAAAGGAATCAAGATAATTTTTTGATAAATGTATTTGGACATGTTTTCTCATCAGTAGTGTGAAAATTATACTCTAACGATCGTTATAGCTGCTTAATAAGCAATATTCAAATTAGTTGTGGTGTTATTGGCCCCCACATGATCTCTCACTGGTCCCTACGTGGCCCGTTTTGGTCCATTAGATCATGACGTCATAATGACAAACTGTTTTGTTATTTGTTTACACAACAATCCTATGGTTGCCGTGACGTTGTGATTACTAAGGAACCAATAAACCAAAGCTATATTTTGTATATGACGTTACTAATCACGTGGGGGGCCAATTTGATTGATCAGTTAGTTTTATTTCGTTATCTATGACCGTTAACATTTATTTTATAATGGCTATCGCAAGAACTCTACGTTGGGCTTACAATGGAGAAAACCGCATTTTTGTAGCAGTTGTCCTTTAATGGTATAATTAATTAAGGAATATTAATTTTGCATTAGATTAAGTAGTATTAAAAAGTTTATCATTTTTTCACTTGTTATTTTTCAGGATGTCCTCATGAGTCTGGAATAAGAGCAAAATGTTGGAAGGTATGTCCACTTTTTCATATACTACACAAAACTATGGTTTTTAGATCGCAGTTGTAGTGTTTCTTACTGTAACTGTGATTCTTATGTTACAGATTTTTGATAACTCCAGACCAGTCTAGACAATTTCAATGGATTTGTCCATGTGTTCTGCAATTTTAATACCCTGTGTATTTAGATTTTGCAAGTACATTATATTTAAGAAATATAGACCGAAAAGCAGGGGTTATATTGTCGAATACACCCCGCAGGGCTAGGCACAAACGTTTTCCGAATGGAGTGAGGGGTTCGAAAGCTTTTGTGCCTAGCCCTAAGGGGTGTATTCAATGATATTACCCCTGCTCTGAGGTCTATATTACAATTCAAACATGAAAACTCAGCAAAATGTTTCGAATATTCATTATGGTCCGCCATTACTACGTCCCACCGTTATGACGTCACACATTACATGTATTACCAGGGGTATTGATCGCGAATATATCCCAAGTGAAATGTTGACTTTGTTTACAGTTTATAGAAGACGTGAATACAGTCATGTTCGAATAACACTTATACTCAATAGAGGTTTGATATACATACATTGATTTTGCTCCTTTTTCCAGCTACTTTTGAACTACCTCCCACTCAGACCAGCTGATTGGCCTGACCACCTCAAAAAGCAAAGGTAACAAACAATATTACAGATAAAGCACCTATTGTAATTCAGTTTTGAGAAATAAAGAATCCCTACCAGCTACCAACAAGGAATCAATTACTGAACCTATACGAAGCTTTGATCCATTTTATCAGATCATTCAAGTGTGTGTTTCAGGTCAAAACATTCAAAACTGATTTCACAAAAGTTCATATCACAGTGTGCTTTATCAGTTTTAATATTCATTGTTGGTGCTATAAATAGTCATGTTTTTTGCCCCCCCCCCCCACCCAAACATATTAATACATACCCCCTAGCTGTATATGTGCTTTGTTTCATCTCTAGGGCAGCCTACATGCACTTTATAGATGAGATTATCATACAACCAGGTACTGATAGGGCAGGCCAAGGAAACTCTGATGTCACATTTGAAGACCATGTAAGTGAAATTGGCAAGGCAAAGTTCAATTCAGGAAAACCTGTGTATACCAAACACCTCTTGAGTCACAAAGTGTTCGCTTTATAATTATAGAAGTTGATTGAGTATGTGCTGAGAAATGATGTTCATGAGACACAGCTCCTCACAAGTTTCACTGTGCTATCTACATATGTCCTTTTTCAATTTCTTTTATATCATCTTGAAATCAGTGATAGAAAACCTCTTTGTTAATACTGTATTTGTATTTATAATAAATTTATTTCTAAATGCAATTTTTTATTCTTTATTAGAGAAATGGAAAAAGTTGCTGTTTTGTGAAATAAGGTTTTGATGATCACTTGTATCTATTTGTATTTTAAATTGTTCTTTCAGCCATTAAACCCAAATCCAGAAAGCCAGTGGAATACATACTTTAAAGATAATGATATGCTGTTACAAATTGATAAGGACTGCAGGTATATACATTACATTAAGAATTTGTTGTTGTTGTTTATTTTTTGAAAGACAATACTCCAATTCGCAATAAGAGTTCAGGTGGTAATTGACATAAATATCTCCCATGATGCATCACTTTGGAAGGGACAAATTTTCATTGGCCTGCCGAACGACGAACGAGTCAATAACTCTGAACGAAACGTCCGGAGATTGCAAAGTCAAAGGTCACGATCCGCTTATTTCATTGGTCGATGATTACATCATAGCATATGTATCAAATTGGCGGAGGTTTACTAACAAATTCTGATAAAACTAGCGTGAATCACATATATCTATTGTTTGTGCAAATGGAACTCTACATAAATGTTTAATTAAGCTGCAGTGTCTCATTTAAAATCACACCCCTGTGTTATCCAATGGGAAAGAACCCAGATGTAGACGAAGTTGTACCCTACAACTGAACCAATTAAACTGAACCAAACTAAACGTTATCGCATATTGGAGTATTGACTTTTAACTCATCTAAGTTTAGTATCAGTAGTATTTAGTGGAACACATCTGTGAGTGAACACTCTTCACATTTCCATGACCAAGATTGACTTCATGTTAGTTGAGCCCCTATAAATGGACCACCTTCTTAGTGGAACCAAGGGTGTTCACTTACAAAGCTTTTACTGTAATTTGCTTACGTTTATTTTGAAGCAATTTAACATTTCTGTAATATAACAAAAAGAGATGTGCATGTTGAGATATGTATTTCATTAAGGTGGGGTCTGCCAGAGGCTCCTGAATTACTTGTACCATTTCTGGCTCATGTTCAAATTCATGGTACATTCTGGTAATTTGCACTCTTTCTTCTGGCTGCTACCTACCTACCGACTGTACCAATCTCAATCCCATCTATAATTTAAAGCATACATGACCAAACATTTAAAGGCATTTAAAAAAACAAAATAGAAGTTACACCATGAATTCATTTTTAATTCTTAATTGCAGGCGGTTGTGTCCAGATCTTGCCTTTTTCCAAAATGCTACCAGCTATCCATGCCTTGAGCTTGTAACCAATGAAACTGAAATTGAAACATTACGGAAGAGAGTTGAGTACCAAGTCCTAAAGTCTGAGACTGTTCAGAGGAATAGGAGCGGCATAACAAATGTAAGCTTTCTTTTCCACTTTGTAAAGTTATGTATAGGATTTAATAATTTGATGCATTGTACTCAGAAACTCATCCTTATTTTTTGACATCTAATTATCTAGACAATTTTGGAATGTTCAAAACATTCGACAATCTTATGAAATAAGTCTTGCTTAACTTCCATTGAAATATGACCAATCATTGTGGCAATGACATCATATGGCAGAGAAGAATTTAACTTTACATAGAATCCTTTTGCAAGAATATCAGTTTAAGCAAGATTCGTGATTTCAGATGATTGCTAGAAAGCGGGCAAAGAGTATGAATGCCGAGTACTACACACTTAGCGAGGGGCAGGAGGCTCACTGGGAGGTAGTGGAGAGAATACTTTTTATATATGGTAAACTTAACCCAGGCCAGGGATATGTGCAGGTATGTTAATTGCCTGTATATCTTCATGTATCTTATAACCCATAAAAGGTTTCCCATTTTACAGTCAATACTTTTATATACAACATAACAGAGTTTAACCCTATGTAGCTTCTATACAATTTGAAAGATGGACAACATGCCTGTGTACCTTTATTCCCTGCTGATCTCACTATTTGCATTTTGAATTTCAAGGTCTTCTTCTTATCTATTTGTTTATGTTTGCAGGGCATGAATGAGATTATTGGACCAATTTACTACACATTTGCATCAGACCCCAGCAAAGAAGGGCAAGGTATATATTATATATTGCAATCAAGAAATACTTCACAATTCAGAATTTAGGTTCAGAATTTTCCAAAAATATGAATATTTAAAAAAATTTGTCATTCGCATGTACAAGTCATTCCAAGAAAAAATGTTGGTGTCATTTCACACATGAAAACAAGACAGATACCATTGAACCACACTTGTAAACGAGAGGGTTTCAGTATAAAGTTAGTTTAGTTTACCTATAAAAGGCGATATAAGAGTTTGGAATGACCATATATGGTGATATTTAGCCTTTGAAAATTTTTGATTTACCTCTGTACTTTGTCCTTAAAAAATTCTCACTTTTTATTTCAGAGAATGCTGAGGCTGATACATTCTACTGTTTCACGAACATTATGTCTGATATAAGAGACAACTTCATCAAGAGTCTAGATGACTCTGAATGTGGTATAGGTAGGATTATAAATAACATATAGACAGTTCATTTTGCTTGAGTTGGATTGGATGCTAGGTCAGGATTGGGTCCAAATTCTGTGACACATGTCAAATCAGTTTGTTAGTTTTGTTCAGGGTTTGGAATTTGTAATAAATTATTACAACTTCCAATAACTGGTGGTGATATTTTGTCATGTGCATGCCTTGTTCAGTTTCTGAAAATCAAGTTGCATAAGAATTCAATATGTTTATCCTGTGTTCACCAGGTGCCTTAATGCAGAGACTCATGGAAATCCTTAAGAAGAAGGACCTGGCGCTGTGGGTGAGACTGGACCAACAAGAGATCAAGCCCCAGTTCTTTGCATTCAGATGGATAACACTGCTACTCTCACAGGAGTTCTCACTCCCCGATGTTCAACGGATCTGGGACTCACTTTTCTCTGCTGAAGACCGTAATGAATTTCTGCTACTTATATGCTGTGCAATGCTCATGTAAGGAGTCTTTATTAATGAATTAATGCTATATAATACTTGTGTAAGAGCTGTTAAACAAAAAGCAACAGGCAATTCACTCCAATTCTTTTTATTTTCCAAAATTGCCATTTTGCAACTGTTTTCATTTTAAAAAAATAAGAACTTTTAGCCTATTTTGTTTCATTTTGGTTGTCAGAAATGAAATTTTAGGTTACAGTATTTTAAAATGATACTCATCTTCTTAATATCGCTTCATATATTTTTGTAGACTTCTCCGAAATGATATTCTTAACAATGACTTTTCAACAAACATGAAGCTAGTTCAAGTAAGTATAAACATAGACTTTGTCTACTAACTGCTAGAAAATCATGTCTAATTTTTTGAGGCAAGATATCAGATTATATGTTGAATTCGTTTTAATTAACATTTTTTCCCAGATATCCTTCTAACTACTAACTTGTGATGTTAGAGCCTGCACATTTGACTGAACATCTTAAGATGGCATGCCAATATGCAGTTTAATTTATCAAGTATCGAAAATATTCAATAATTTTTTCAGAATTTCCCTATGATGGATATCCACAAGGTGTTAAACAAAGCAGTTGAGATCTCAAAGTCCACCTAGCAGTTGCTAATTGCTGATTGGTGCCTTATGCAGTAACTAAATACAGGTTAGGTCCACTTTCTTGAGCCCATATGGGCATCATAAATCTTTAACAATTTCTGAATAATATAAAACAACAACATCTATTTTTCTTGAGAAACTTGATTTCAACAGAACTCAGTAAGTGAGAATGGAGCCAATAAAGATATGTTTTTATCCCTTAATTTATGTGCCTTGTTGTATTGTAATAAAGAATGTATTACCGAGTAATTGGGGAAAGCTTAGTATTTGACTTTGTATTGTGATTATAAAGAAACTCTATGGACACCCTGTACAATTTGTATTCTGTTGCAGTCACTTAATCATGTGAGTTACATCAGTTATTTGTCAAGACACTTTAAGGAGGGTCTTATGCTTGAGCTAAGGGTTGAATCCAATGGGGTTAAAGAATAAACATGTTATAAGATTAGACAGTGTACACATAGTTTATTTCATACACATCCTATTGTCAATTTTCATTAATGGCGATATGTGAAAATGTGAAGCATTTGTTTAGAATAGATTCGTTGAAGTGCTCTTTCATTTTTTCACTCCTCGTGACGACAGCATTATGGAATACAAGAAATTTGAATGATGAGCCAAACTGTATAATTGATGTTAATTTAAACTCACATATCCTTTTGGCCATCAATAGTGAAAAAATATTTAAAGCATTAGGATTAAAACATTTCAGAGAGTTATTCATACAAATCATAAAAGTCATTCTAAAGAGTTGTAAAGAATTCATTGACATCATTTTTACCATTTGCTCCCTAATACTGAATCCTACGAGATATCCAGGGTTAATGAAGCTGAAAATCTGCTTATTATTCTCTGTTAAGATTATTCTGTAGCAGCCTCAAATAATGAGTAACAAACGAGTCATACTATTTCATTATACAGGAAGACAACAATTTGGGAAAGAGGAAAAATCAATCTCCACAAATTTGTCAAGAACTCTCACAAAAAATCCCACTCTCGAAGTGTCTTCTTTCTGAAAAAGAAAATTGAGGATTTGATTTTAGATAACAAAGTACTGATATTTGACTTCATATCTTTTTCTGTCTCAAATCTGGAAATAGGATTTTTTTGTATCTTGTATACCGTTTATAAATCTTGGGAAATTCATGAAAGGGAAATTAGATTATTTGTTGTATTCAGTACACTGCTTTCTCCAGAATATCAACCCAGTCAATGACAATTTAATTTACTGTTGAAAGCTTGTTGGAAATAGCGGAGTTTATACAGCGAGATCTGATTTTTGATTCTAGCATTTTGATTGGTTCAGAGTGTTCGTCGTATTGTTCTGTATGAGTCGTGGAGAGGTAGATGTGATTCTATTAGTCAATTATGCAGTATTCATAATAGAAATGTTTTTGTCACTATATTAGATTAGAGTTTTCAAATTCAATTGATGTTTGATTTAACTTGGACATTTACATTGAAAAGTGGAAATCTCTCACTTTATTTTTCGCTCTCTTTTCGCAACTGCAAAAAGCTGAGATCTTTCCTGTTATTCCAAGAAAGAATTTTCATATTTTTTATCTACAAGATATTTTCAAATTATGACAGATTTGAGGTTTGAAAAAAATGTGTGATTGGTGAAGGCATTGTTTGTGATGAAATGTGTTACATAACTAAGAGCCATTGAGTGCATGTGTTGTTTTAATTAATTTTATGCACCACAGGGTGAACTGTTTTATATTATGACTCAAGTCACATAAGGCTCAGTATTGACAGTTTATAAAGATGTAAATTGGAATCGTCCGGGTTTTGTTAACACTCTAAATTGTCTGAAAACAGTGCAAACTTCTAAAATCTAAATACACCCTAAGTTACTAAGAATGTTATACAAGTATTTTGATATTGTCTTAGTGAAATACCTGATTTCTATAGGAGCATTCCTCAAAGCGTCTCTTGAACATCTGATTGCACCCTGTAAATCTGACCTAACTGTAGCCTTTTGACCTAACTGTAGCCTGCACGGCCTTAGCCAGCCCCTACCAGCCCCATAAAAAAAGAAAAAAAGAAATTTTGTAAAATTTGTTGAAAAAAAACATAATTTGAAATGCTTAGAATGCACCATATACAATGTAAAATTTAAAAAATTTCACCCACACTAATTCAAACCCCAAAAATTGCACCCCCTTAACAATTACTACTGGCTATGCCCCTGGCATGTATGACCTACAGTATAACTGTAGCCTGTTTGACCTTACCGTACCCTGTATGATATCACTGTAGCTGGAAGAACTTCAGCTCTACAACATTTAAAAAATCATATTACGTTTTGTTGTGTTCAGGTTAATAAGCATTTTATACCACAAAATTAGAAAAATAATACAAAAAGGCTATGCATAAGGTCATATATGGTCTGGACAGATGTATGAATCCAAAGTATTACATAATAATTAGCTAATAATTACACAGTAAGACTGACCAATATATGGCTACTTGAAAGTTGGCAAAAATCAAATCAAATCCAGTGTTTATAGAATCAAAGCACTTCCTCTGGGAGTTTGATGTATTAACACAGATCATTGAATTAGTTGCCATAATTACTGGATAGATTATTTAGGTAAAGTGGATTATCTAGTGAGCTCAAACATTCATTGATTTTTCAGAGGTGAGTTGTCCATTTGTTAAATGTCAAATATCAAAAATAAAGTGAAAATGAGAGTGCATAGAGTGAAATTAGCAAGGAATGGAGATATTATTCCTGAAATTCAATTTCTGTATTTTACAGTCCCACTGTTTGCACTATAGAGAGAAATTGAAAGATAAATGATTGACATGAATAATGTTTTGGTTTTGAGTGCGTCCAAATCAGCGGTTAATAAAAACATACAGGTAGATGCTCTAACAGTACTAGCTACTGATATGATGCATCAACAGTTATATACTTTTATCATATGATTAGATTGTTCATCTTTTCTTTTTCTGAATCAAATTGGTTTAAACTGTACTATATTGCAGAGAAGGTGAAAACATTAAAGGTGTTAATGTCAGTGTTTACTTTGCAAAAAAATAGAAATTCTTAAGATTTGATAGGCAGACACATCTGAATTGTCCAAAATAATAAATGCCTTTATAAGGAAAACATGAACAGTTTCTGTTAAAATCTGGAATATTCCAAATAAGGTATGAATTACATATTACATGTCATTTAGAAAAAAGGTGTTTTGAAATGTTATTCAGGTATTTATTGATGCAAAGTTTCATTAATTTTAAACCTCACATTATTTATTAATAGCAAGAACAAGTGCCCAAAGGAACAAATACCAAAAAGTGATTTAAAAGAAAAAGTACAATCCATTATGAGGAAACAAACCCAGTATACTTGTAACATACTTCAAATTGCATGACTAAATTTGCATTTCGATTTGCCATAATGCTATGACTATGAGCATTTCATGAATATACACATTCTATGTATGCCCCTAGCCCAGTCTGCAGTCCAAAGGGCATGCACAAGTAATATATGAACTTGATGCAACTCCCATGTTAATTTATTATGTGCCAATTTTATATTACCTTTATTTAATTTATTTATTTAGAAATGTGTAATCTTTATCAAACATTGATGTGTTCATGAATTATAGGATTATTATATGATGTGCATGTATGCAATCATGTTGCATGTACAGTACACTGGCCGATCCAGGGGATGGCCCATGCCCCCCCCCCCCTTGGGTGGGCCCAGAAAAAATATTTGGGCCCAGAAATCTTGTAGGGTCTCAATTAGTGGGCCTTTTGGGGCATTACTTGGCCTTTTTGGAACTTTTTAGGCCATTTTTGAAGTTGCCCCCCACCCTTTGTCTGCCACTGCAATATAACAGGTACTTCAGATATCACAAAATTGTCATTACATAACACATATTATAAACTGAAATATTCTCTCTTTTCATGGTTTTTCAACTATCTCATGGGAAATCATCATCAGCGAAAAAAGTTGAAAAATATAATTTGAGAAAAAATAATTGAAAAAAATTGTGAAAAAATGTTGAGAAAATCTTTGAAACCAGACGTGATATTCGATAGTTTATAAAGTGATATTCGCTGGTTTGTGAATTTTTTGCTAAAATATGATATCTTGATCCACATATCAAATATATCTTTGTGTGATATTCGATCTATATCCTTACAACCATGGGATAATGGCCCCTATTTTGTTAGGCCAGATTTTCTTGGGTCTGCTCACCTGACTGTATCGAGATTGAATTAAAGTTATATAACATGTGTACAGCATATTGTCAACATGTTCCAAAAATGACCACCTATCAATGTATTAGTTCACAACAGCTGGGACTAACACTGTTAGTACATAAAGTGCAATTTGTAACTAAAATAGTCAATTTTATGTAATTTTAGAGACTTATTAGGTCAGATTAAATCAAGAGTATTCATAGTTATCATACCCTTTGCATTCTTCTGGCTTCACTTTTTAAAAGAGAGCTTCGTCCTCACTCTTTCTGTTAACAATGAATCTCTGATCTCATCGAGCCAGTCAGAGATGGTCGTCGAAATGGACGACTTTCTATATATGGTCATTTTCTCTGACATAATCATAGAGTTAAAGGAATATTCCTGGCCAGACCATTTCTCTCCTAATATGGTAGCTATAACCATATATATACTTTCCATATTTAGCAAAACATGGAAAAATGTTTTGACATGGTCAATATTGATCACTTGAAAATGTAGTGCCGAATTCCAGTAGGCTGCCATCTTTTAATATTTCACTCAGGAAGTGATGTCTTCGACTCTCAACTTTGCATATAACACTACAAGGAGCTATTAAGAATTACAAAACCAGCTGAATATTCTTTTTCAATTTTGTCTTATGATTTAATCCTTCTGAAAGTCTCTTCTTTTATTCTAAGCTGACAAGCTCTGAACATATTTTTGCGCATAAAGTAAGGATCACTCGTCTAGAAGTGATATTATGCTATTTTCCTATACTGTTATATGCAAGGTCATGAAAGTTGAGAGTCGATGACATCACTTCCTGAGTAAAATCTTAAAAGATGGCAGCTTACTGGAAATGTGCACTACATTTTTGAATTATCAATATTGACTATATTAAAACATTTCCCCATGTTTTGCTAAATATGGAAAGTATATATATGATTATAACTATCACGTCAGGATAAAAAAGGTTTGGCCAGGAATGTTCCTTTAATGAGTTCGCATTTACTATTTGTTCCTTCCAGTTCGCTAATTGGTTGAGAAAAGGTCAGCGTGGTAGGTTTGAAATGATTTATGACCCGGACTGTCACAGGCACTTGTCATCAGGGCGGAGCTGCCAAACTGTCTATACTAGGCAGAGGGTATTTTATAACTAGTCTCTGCACACAGGGTAGAGTTATCATCTCCTCATATTTTCAAATTACAGTTGAAAAAGAAAAGTACAATATGAGAGTTTCATGCATCCAGGATGTGATATGATATATTCCAGCCCATTGGTTATACTGAAATACTGAACAAGTTATAGATTTAATACTAAGTGCCTCCTGGAATACATGAATTCTGTTTCAGTCTTCCTCGTGTAGTTTAATGCATGGTCTTTTTCGTTTCAGATCTCCAGTACACGGGGATGTCATACAGCTACCATATACTGAACAACTGCAACAAAACCCAGTGATCTACTTTCATTTACTGAGCAATAGATGTGAACTTGTCTACAAATTCAGCTATTTACGCTCAAAAGGTTTTCAGATTGAACATTAATATATCTGCAATCAAAATTAAAATATGAATTACAGTGGAAGTCCTGTCCTCTTCCAGACAGTCACCTAGAAATCACCAGAACCTTTTTTAGATAAGGAATCTCTTAACATTTAGAATTGTCATTCGTCAATTGTATATTGGATTTTTCGCAACTGATTGCAGTTATAAATATCCTGCTATTTTATTTTAGTCCAAAAATGTCCCAAAAATGAAACTGTTCCATTAGGTGGAGCAGTTAGGCAAGGCCATCTGCCTAAATTTGACATTTGATGTTATTTTATGCAGGGTTGATTCCATCCAGTAGATCTTTTAATATTTGCTCATTATTCAAATTCCTGAAGTCCACCATGTTTTATTAAAAAATTAATTAAAATTAAAAAACGAAGTAAACACGGTAGCCATTAGAATTATTGGTCAAAGTCTGAAAAGCCCCGAGGACAACAAAATAGCCCCAGATTGCCCAGAATAAAAATAGATATATACAAAGGTTTAAATTAGACTCGTGTAACCAGTTTATTGCAATAACTTTTCAACTGGGCTAATAATGTACAGTTTGAATTTCATAAAATGCTGAAAATCAGTAAAGGCTTGTTATAAAATTAATAAATTGTATATTAAATTTTTGTAATTGTACTTAATTTTTATATTTTAATCACAGCTATGTACATCTATTGTAGATAGGCTTGCCAGATCGTAATCATTGTGCCAAATGATGAATCAATATTTTATATTTTATAAAATTATCTAAAAGCAGATTTAATGCAGTACACTTTAAATTTTAACAGTAAAATCTGTATGTAGTGAATACCAATGGAGTCAAAAGAATGTTCACTCTAGGAAGGTGTTCAGAGAGGGGATTTTATACAGGAAATGTGTCTTGAAGTGGTTTTCACTTTACCCAGGTGTTCACTAAGGAGAGGAGTTCACTAATCTTTGGATATGAACGCCTTTCTAAAGTTAAGATTTGAACACTTTTACAGTCCCTTATTTTGGATACTGTAAATTGCTTTAATTTGACTGCTGTTAAGGTTTTGCAGATTGAATATCGCCAAACTAAAGCAATTTACAGTATCCCATTGACACACACACACTATCATGATCTGTTATGTAAATACCTTGAAATATGAACACTCGCCAGGGTTAAGCAGTGTACACTAATGATAGATTTTACTGTATGTATAAGTTGTGTGAAGGTTTGAAATTTAAGAGAGAGAATGTAGAAATTAATCATTTTCTTAAAAATGTAGGGTAAAATTTAGAATATTTATCAGATATCGTATCATATATTGTATTTAGGATCAAGTAGACAGGGTGCCCCAAATGTGACACTTTAATCTGTACTTTTGTATCACCCTGTACTGACTTAAATGTAGCATAGCCATATTTTGTTTGATCTTCAGAATGATATTAATGAAATTCACTATTATTATCTTGTTTGTTAGATTATCATGAATTTAGTCAGTTTTAGGCACACGGATGTCTTGTATATATAAGACATGTATATAGTATATAAATGTATTATAAAGGTGTATATATTATGTAAATATTATGTACCTTGAAAACAAACAAAAGAAATGTATATGCAATAAATATTAAATCAAATGAAATATAGAATTATAATTTTAAATAAAAAATGTTATCTTTGTTTCCGTGTATAATTATCCATAAAAGACTAATGGCAATTTTTAAATCGAGAAGAAAATATACGACACAATATAAGTGTACGAATGTTTATTCCAAAATAGAATTAATATTCTTGAAGAATTGTCCATATGTTATAATATATGAAGTTTAGGAGGTTCATCTCTTGGGGCCTCTTAGGATAGTTTCTGTTGATATGTGTTTGTTTATAGTCCACTATCTCTGTTATCTCTGGCTCAGTGGTCCTTCTTCAGGGAGCCCACCATGTCTCTTGGCCCTGATATTACGTGGCATAATCTGGCACCAGCCTTGCATAACATAAGCTATATCTGTTCCCCTTGCAACAGGGGACCTCTTTCATGTCTTGACTCCATGGGCTTTAGTGTTTGATCTGTATGGGTGTGAGATCATAACTGATGTAACTTTTGGAAGAGTTTTGAAATGGTTTGTTCAGATTTTTGTTTTGAAGGCGTTCTGGTTTGTGGAATATTATATTTTTTTACCTCAGTATTGGTCACCTGTTTCCAATATTTAAAGAAGGGAAGATGAGTTAGAATAAATATTTTCCACTTTAGACCATGATTGCTAATAATAACTACACAATGAAAAATAATATTGCTTCAGATTTTTTAAATATTTTTTAAAGAAATATTTGAGATACGCAAAACCTCTAGAAATAACAATGAATCATTACATTTGGAAATTTTGCTTAGTTAATGAATTCAGGTTCACTGATATAGGATACCTGTAATGTCACAAATGCAGAGAATGATAGATATCTTAATGAAAATAACATCGAAATTCAATTTAAAGTAAATATGATAGAGGCATAGATGGGGGCAAATGAAGAACTAGTTATCCCACCATCAGCATATTCAACTCCGGGTCTCTAATCTCGAATAAATCTACGATGCTTCAATGATACTTCAGTCCTGAATTAATGCATTCAGCCCATTGATTTCTGTCTTCTCATTGAATATAGCACAAGCCAATTATTTCTTCTTTTAGCTAATAAGCATAGAAATGACACAAATTGAGTGTAAACTATCTAATAGGAACCCGGTCTTCTAAAGATAATCCAAATAATTTAATCTTAGAGTTGATTCGGCATCAAATAAATCAATCTTATTCTATATGTGATATGTGTGGTTTGTGAGATTTTGATGTAATTATTTTGTGGAGACTTGATTTTCATGGTTCGTGCACAAATATTTCTCTGTTCTTGTATAAATTGAGGTGTCTACAAAACATACAAGATGTCCCTTTTCAAACTATTTCTAATACAAATCACTCCATGGAAGTGAAAATCGTATAATTATGATTCCATCTCAATTACGTCATTTTGTAATATGTGTTTTATTGAGGCCATGCATGATTGACAGCTATCTATTTAGAATCGAGAATTTTGATTGGTTATTAATCAATGAAATATAAACAATGTTCATTGATAGAGCTTTGGTAAAACTAATGATCAACCCTTATTGGACATATTAATTAATATAGACATAATGAAAGTTCATTGGTCATCCCTAGTTCAATGAAGGTCTTGTGTGATCTTTACAACATTCCCCTAGAATGAATCCTCTCTAGCTAAATGTACCATCACTTGGTGTAACTTTCCCTGGGCGATATTTTGGATAAAATGATCACTACTGTTGATTTTAATATTAATTTTTATGACTTTTGTAGACAGTAGGCATATCTCATATTAAGGATGTAACACTTCGATATTAAAATGTAATTTATAAAAATGTAAATATGGAGATCGAGAGATGCTTTAACCATGAGATGTTAACATGAAGAAAAATTCGTTATCGCCGAATATGCGATAATCTTATTCAAGGCGGAGCATCCCTAAACGGGATGCGGTTACTATGACAACCAAATATAAATTGAATTATATCTGGAGACAAAACGGACACAACGTAACTTTGTTGAAGTAAAAACATGAAAACGTCTTTTATTCGGATTTCTAGCTATGTTGGCTTATCATAAATAAAAAGTGGACTTTTCTTGGACAGTTTGTAAAAAGTTTCGGATCAATATTTGTTTTATTTATAAAATAATTCAATCATAGAATTACACAAACAATCAAACAAATATTATTGGATTAGTAATTTGTCTAGAACAGAGGGATTATACACTTGTGAAACAGACACAAACGGAGAGTACCGAAAGTATCACACCTGTTTTGGCTAATTGACTTAGCAAGAGGCAAACTGTCGCGAAAACTGTGATCGCCAGAGATGATCTTGACATACAGGTGAATGCCTACTGTCTCACTATCACATTCGTGCCCTCATATAATTAGGCGTATCTGACACAGGAGCGAGACTTAATAAACAAGAACTTAGAGAAGAAATTAGAAGCAATTATTTTTTGTATAGATCGGATAAAATTGGTGTATCCTATTAACAAGGAATATTAACAAAAACTAATAGGACGATATTCTTTACTCTTTATTGACACATAAAATAAACTTACATATTACGAAAGGATAAATTAAATAATATTTATTTCGATAAAAATACAAACTGATCAAGAATTTGGAAAAAATGATTCAAATGAATTACAGTTGTTTATGATGATGGTGTGGACATATTTGGATAACTTAACACTAAGATTGGATTATAAGATATCATCGTAGTTTCTCAACTTATTAAAATAAAAGACGAAGTAGTTAATTAATAAAGTAATTAAATTACTAAAATGGCAAAATCACCGACAGTAGAGGAAATGTATCACAGGACAGAGGAGGATAGCATCGGCTTCACAACTTTACTAAAGGTAAATTATTTGAATATGTTCGTGTTTATTTTCTGTTTTTGTTCGATATTCAATTGAATTTTTACAATGAATTGTTTTTATTATTTATCATTTCACCCGGGTCATTTCATTACCTTCCGTATATTCTTTAACGTAGCTTTTAGTCTCATCAATGTAAATTTTATCCGGGATTTTATCTAGCAAAATAAATGTTTTGAAATAATAAAAAACATTTGGCTTACGATTGACACACGTTGATTGCCTGATCACAAAGCTAGATTCCCATAAAATGTTGGCATGTTTTTCAAATATTTAATTCCATTCCCAATGTCACAGTGTCTAAAACTCTAATAATGTCACACATAAAGTTTTATTTTGAAAAACAATTCCAAAGTAATAAACAATTTATTGGCATCATGGTGTACTTCAACGAGCACTTTGCACAATAAAATAACAGGTCCAATATACCCCCAGTAAAACATGTCTTATTTAGTTTCATAATATTGTGTATATCGATACCACAGATGCTAACCACGTGGGGCAATTATTACAATAATTTACTTAATTTTACACCACGTAATTGAATTTCAAACATTATTAGTTGGCTATAGAAATATATTGAACACGATGCGTTAGTGCTACTAGAGTAATAGACAATACTCCTAGTATCTTCAGTGCGTTACCACTTGATTTTTACATTTAATTAAAAAATATCATCTCCAAAATATTGAATCTCTGACAGTTTAACATTAATATACCCATAAATGCAACGTAAACATAACCCATTTTCACCAAATGACCCACTCACAAAATAGTAAAGACCGATAGAATGGTGAATCGGACAGCTAACATGATGTAATTGAAAATATTGTGTCAAAGTTATCTGATCCGTCATCATAAGTGATACCATAAGAGTATGTTCCTTCAAACATAAAAAAATGCCTTGATGGAAAAGAGCAACAGAAGGACATTGAGTGTGTATGTGGGACTGTTCAAACTCAATCAGCTAAATGTCCATCCCTCGGAATCCTCGGTAAAAGATCAAGACTAGATGAAGGAATAAGTAGCTGATATCATCAAATTACTCTTTGAATCTAAACATACTCAAAATAACGAAAAATTATTGTTTTGCATTGACAAAATGGCATGGACTGATGAACACATAAATAAGTCAGCTGGATCAAACGATTCAGGATGAACTTCGAATGTTTAGTTGCAGTAGTCCAATAGCACTGGCGGATCTGGGGGGGGGGGGCCAGGGGCCCGGGCCCCCCCCCCCCTCGGGTGGGCCCAGAAAAAAAATTGGGCCCAAAAAATTTTTGAGCCAAAAAAGGCTTTGTGGCCCTAAAAAGTGGGCCTTTTTGGTCATAAATGGGCCTTCTAAGGCCTTAGTTTTTAATTTTAGGCCAAATTTTGAAGAAAATGGGCCTCAAAATTTCAAAATCTGGGCCCACATTTGGGTTTTAGGGGCCCAAAAATATTTTCCGCGCAAGCGCGGATTTTTTTTCTCAGACCAAAAGTTTGGCCCCCCTCCTCCCTTGTTGGTTCCCAGAACAAACAACAAATCAAATAGAGCAACAAAACAAACAAGCAAGTAAACAAGCAAGCAAAGATGACAATCCAATCATCCGCTCGTCAAAGATGAGAAATGGATTTCTAAAGTAATGAAAACAGTTTCATTTTGGTGCATTCATGTGCATACGAGTATGTTAATCATGAAATGAACTTGGGTTTTTCATGTAATATCCTATGTGACTTGGGGCATATGTAGCTTGTAATTATAGAGGTGTCATAATATATATGATGCGATCGTAATGTGCCATGATCATATGAATCAGGTGAAACAAATGTTTGATTGTGTGCTATGCTTCTTACTTAAATCTTTGATTTTCTTGGGCCAGACCTCCATTCACGTCAATGCTAGAAACTTGCGATAGTCAGTTAATTTCATGATTTATCAAAAAGTGTTGCTTGAATCTGTTTGAAACTCGAATGACATACTACAAGATTTGTATTGGATGACCCTGTCAATGTACATATTGTGTATAAACATATGAATTCATGTTGGTTGTCAGACGAATAAGTCAAGGTTTTAACGAATTTTAGCATTGCACCAACGGAAATTTGGCCCAATTTTTTAACAATGTCATTGAAAATGATTTAAATGACATAACTTTGTAAATCAAAGCTATTATTGGAGAAAACTTGTCACTGAATTCAAATATGCTATCAAAGATAAAAAAAAGTAAGGCATTAGAGGTAAGAAGTGAAAAAACGAGATTTCATACAAAACATAAAATGCTCAAAACAAATATTGCACGTCGTTACCTCCTTCCAAAGTAAACGTGAAAGTACGTTTAACATCAATTCAAGAAACAATATTCAAATCACAGAAACATTCAAATTAAGATCTTATTACGATATAATTTATTACTTAAATGACATCCAGAGTGAAATACATCTTAGAACTGTGTTTATCGTTATTACACCGACAAACCAATTTGTCTCTTCTACGCCTCGTTTATTCATCTGGGGAACTCGTTCCAAATCATCAAAACCCTATTTCAAACCTTCACCTGTTTATCTTAAATACATTGCAGAAGGATACATCACAGATATGTCTTATTGCAGTCACGAAATGTCATTTGTAGGCGACATCACATAAATTGATGATTTGTTTATATTTAAGGATAAAATCTGTGTGGTATGGTATATGTTGTATTTATGCATAATATGGCCAACAAATTCATCTTGGCCCATCAAGTTATTACACTGACTGTATGTCTGAATAAAAACACTGAACGTGGTTTAACAGTATGTAACACAACCAGAATGGGTGAACACAAATGTTACATTTTCTCATCCTCCGAACGCAGGGTTCCAGACATCATCCACAAAGTTCCTTCCTTCTTCCCGGAGGATGCATTTTCTATGAGGTCGAGCATATTTAGAACTATAAAACTGTCATCAATATCATTTTTTGTTTGAATGATTAGAAAATGTGCAATATCTTTCTTGCACAGCCTATACGTAATACAATAAACATGTAATTTATAATTAAGATTAAAAGGTTCTTCCCGGGATGCAAAACCCCGCCAAAATATATTAAGAATTGTTTTAAAATAAAGTAACCAAATTGATGTTTCCTCATTTTTATGTTATTAAGATAGCCTACAATATGTTAAGTCGGGGAATCATGTTTAAGTGGAGATATCGTTTATTCCCCTGTGGAGAAACATCCTTAACGTAATGCGTAAGATCTTTTATCGCCCAGAGCGATGGAACTAACATGTGTTTAGTAACACACGCCATCACAGGCGGATACTACAGTTGGCCAAGAATTCGGGAACCTAATCTCCTGTATTATCTCAGTTACTGTATCGCCGTAACTGTATGAGGCCTTCTCCTTCGGGAGCCAATGGGAGTTTATGAAGTTTAGAATATTTTGCCCCGAGTCAAGCAATGGGAGCTTAGATAGTAGGTGGAATTACACCTACGATGTAAAAGCGCTTTTTAAAATCCTATCGGGTTTCGACCCGCCTTTAGAGTCAGGTGTAATCACGATCGCGGATTTAGAAAAGCGCTTTTGTAGGGGAGAGCGGGGTAAGACGGAACGAGGGGTAAGACGGAACGATGGCTCTTAAACAGAAACTGTTTAAAAATGGTCGCTGAAGTTAACTTTTTTTGAAAATATATCACGTAATCTTTCTATTCAACTGCCAATTCCTCGTCGGCTGCAAGAAACATTTTTAATAAGGGTAGATATATCATTTTTTATCCATTCTTATAACATTTCATATGGTTTTGATCGCCCGTAGAATCAAAAACATACGTGTAATACATAGAAAGTTATGTATTTCTAAATAGACAATTTAAAAACCTATAATTTAAGAAAAATTATAGCTTTTAGCTGTCTCATTTTTATAGCAGACGACATTTTGTAGATTCACGTGGTGGTGGGGTAAGACGGAACGATCGTTCCGTCTTACCCCATTTTCATTTGCAAGGTCAAGGTCATTCCAAGGCTAAAGGTCATTATTTAGGTATTTGGTGATTTAAGGTCATTGGGGCTGTTGTGAACTTCTGTGACCCATGATTAAGTGAACTAAGGTCAAGGTCATTCCAAGGTCAAATGTCAGTATCTAGGTATATCACTTTTTAATACCTAGGGGGCTGCTGTGACCCCTGGCAACTCATGATAACGTGACCTGAAGTCAAGGTCAAGGTTTATAAGTCAAGGTCATCTCAAGGTCAAAGGTCAATATTTAGGTCTTTTGGCGTTTCAAGGACCTTGGAGGGTGCTGTGGCCCTTGGCGACCCATGATTAGGTGACATGAGGTCAATGTCATTCCACTAATTTGGAAACTTTTCATGTGTTAATGCAAAGAGAAAACGTTTCCTACCTAGTGTTGATCTGTGTATGAGCATAGTCGACAGGTAAATCTTTGTGTTAACTTTTCTTAAACTTAAAATATAATAAACATTGTACCATCTTTACATGGGAAGCAAGTGCTTTTTGGAAAATCGTTCCACATTGGTTATGTTACAAAAATACCGTCACGTGTGCTATTGAACTTAAAATAAAAGTACTAATATAGTACTAGTATAGTACCAGTATATGAAAAAACATCAAATCGGAGCATTTTATTCAGATTTCCTTCAGATAATATCAACCGTTCCGTCTTACCCCACCTGTTCCGTCTTACCCCACGCCTGGTAAAGTTGACCCTGTTGACACGGGAGACGGGTTTTGATATGAAATGGTCTGTATAGATAAATTAAATTAATGTTAAAATCATTTTCAGTAGCTCTGCATTGTAAAATAATATAAACATTTTCAAGGAAACCAATGTTTAATGAACAGTAGCCTATCAAAGATAGGTGTAGATTTTCGTTCCGTCTTACCCCACTCTCCCCTAATCCTCCCAGACCCCTAGTCATTAAAAACCGCTTTCACACCCAAAGGCGGTTTAACATGTAGGTGTAATACCGATTGGTTTTCAAGGCGCTTTAACTCGATTTTACACTGAACGAAAACTATATTTGCGCATGAGCATCAAGCATGTTATTGATTTCCGGTGTGGAGGAAACTTCAAAAAACAAAATTCAAATATTGTGCAAAACTCAATCAAATCACCAAAATGTCGAAACAAAGTAGAATTTATATTATTATGATAATAGCTCTTCTCGATCACTTTGACGCTCACTGGGCCAAAAATCTAAAGTCTTATATTTATACGCCCATGGGCGTATAAAAAATGATAAAATAACGGACGAAATTACCCCTTCTTTCAGTTATACGCCCAGGGCTTATATACGAGAAATTCCGGTACTATCGTAGATTGGGGAAGGCGAGGGGAGAGGATGATTGAATAGTTAAAATTACCTCTCTACAATAAAGTCAAAAAAATGACGAGATCTTTGTCTTGTCCACATCGTTCGTTCCTGTCCCATACTACCAAGGATGCCAAACAGCCCCAACAAAAGTACCATCTTCACTTTTACTGGATCTCTCTTGGATCTCTCCTAACGACCGAGCTTCTCTTTTTGCGCGCTTGTGCATTGTTTTCCATGCTTTCTTTAGCACATATTTGTTAACGCCAGAGGTAGATTGAATACGATTTAAGAAAAAAAGGAACATACAGTCTCGGATCATTTTGAATCTCCAGAGATGGCGCTACGGTCTGACGGTTGAAAGTGTATATCTAAATAGCAGATTTTGATGCAAATGCGATGGTTGATGGCAAATTTTTGTCTTAAATCAGTCTAAAAGCGCTTTAGAAAAATCAAGTGTAATCACGAAAAGTTGTCTTCAAGGCGTTTTTAAAATTCTGGTGTAATCAGGATTGCGGTTTTCTAGCCTACGTTACCCAAAACGCCTTGAAAACGCCTTTAGCCATGAAATAGGTGTAATTCCACTAAGTGTATGTATCCTGTAACTAAAGTATAAGATCCTCTATCTCAACAGGATAATTCCACAACCTCCATGTACAAAACATATGTCCTTACATAATGGCATATGTCATGTTTTACAACATCATGAAGACACAAAATCTCGTAAATAAGGTAACCTGATCAAAAATAACGTTGAGATGAATCCCTCTGTTACAGCTTAGGTTTTGGCATTGTCTGTCAAGAGACACTCATTATAAAATCATGGTCAATCTTATTATATACGAGTATATCTTATATTATCGAGGTTTGAAGGAAATATCTCACTGAGCTGTGACGATATTTGAGGTTTTCATTTCTCTAATTGTAGTAGTATAAAACGGTTAAGCATATCCCATTATAAAAAGGTGTGACTATTGTTTCTTTATCACACTACACATTTCAGCATTGATTTATATAGGCCTCCAACTTTTTCAGTATGAGAACCTTCACAATGCGGAGTCTATGGACATGACGCCGGATGAATCTCCCAAACGATTTTCTGAGGTAGGATAACTATAATTTCGAGTTTGAGAGACAAACAATTTTTAGAAATGAATTTGGTCTATTTAGAAATATAAATGATTAAATATTCGTATATGTTAGGATTAAATGACATATTTTAAGATTAATCGTGTGCATTAATAAAGCTCTTTTGTTTTATTTTACATTTCTTTGTTTTGTATCGTTTCAAATTTTACAATTATGGTCCTATTTTGCGCGACTTATTTCATAGTCTTGTAAATCAATAATTTAATAGTTTTATGAATGTTTTACTTAAAGGGTAGCAGCGATGATACTCACGTGTGTTTTGCCTGTGGTGACGTCATTACAGAACGCTTCTTACTTAAAGTAAATGACAGATCTTGGCATTCGGGGTGTCTCAGATGCTGTATGTGCCATGCTGAACTAGACCGACAAACTAGTTGTTTTATAAAAGCTGATAATGTATATTGTAAAGGAGACTATACGCGGTAAGATTGAAGACTTAAAGATTTAAAAATGACGTCATACATTTGCGACATAAGCTACCTTTAAATCTTCACTTGTCTTGCGCCAAACGCTCTTATTTAGAGACAGTGCGAAATCAATTTTTGAAATAGTAATGGAAATTCATTTTTGCCTAATATCATTATTAAATTAAAATGAAAAATTCAAATCTATCTCAACAAAGTATCAAGTTCTATTTCTAGTAATTTATGAACCTAAACAAATGTCAAAATTTGAAGTCACTATGCCTTTAAATAATTATAAATTATGTTCATTTCAGACAATTCGGTACAAAATGCGCCAAATGTTTACGGACAATACAGTCTAACGACTGGGTTAGACGAGCAAAGGACAACGTGTACCACCTCGCTTGTTTCGCATGTGATAGCTGTAAACGGCAATTATCTACAGGGGAGGAGTTTGCACTGCAAGATAACAAAGTTCTCTGTAAAACACATTATGTCGAGTTATTAGAGGGAGGATCGACTCTAGGTATATGTTATAATTGTACATCATTTTTTCTATTATTCAAAGATGATTTTAGATAAAGTAGAACTAGAATTATTTAGTTTTAAAATAAAATAGCAATGTTAGCACTTTGTAAATTTATTTAATGTCACCCTCCCAAAAACTTCTTTCCGACACGTCTTTTGGTCACCATTTTTTTTTGAATTGATTAATTTATCATCATTGATCATGTGTTTTAAATAAATCAATTCATAAAATGATTTGAATTATATGTATGTGGCATAATACATGAGCTTTCTGATATAATTCAACTTGAAGCGTGAAGCACTGATTTTTTGTCGCCAGTACCAAAGTTCACATAAGGTCAAATAATTTCTCAAAGCTAGCATTCTTCCCACTCATCATCTTCTGGCTCTGAATCTTTCATCTTCTTGAAAGGATAATGAATTTTGACTCAAAACGTAGAAAAGGAATAATACGAAGTTATTAGATAAAAGTTATTGGCCAATTATCAAGAAGTGGTAAAACCCCCATAGTAATGTACTAAAACGCTTCAATCATCTTGTTCTGTACTTTTCTCTTATAAAACTAGGAAAACAATAATAGTCAAGTACTCCGCATTTACATTTTTATTATGGCTCAAGTAGTTTAGTATCTCTTATTTTTAAACGCTTTTCATCTTCGATATTTAAATAGGATGGTAATTATTCGAAGAGAGTCAGAGGGAATTTCTTTGGAGATATTAAATAAAAGATTTTATCGACTAGGGACGTTTCAAACTACATTGATTTTTCATTGAGGAAATAATTTGTAAGATTAGGGTGTTTAACTGTAGAAATACGGTAGCCATTATTAGATGTTTATCTCTAAGAACTCCCGTTGGCGACAGATAACTTCGGGATCACGACAATCTTTCCTGCATTGATCTTCAGATTCCCCTCCTGGACATTGTTATGAAAGTTAAATCTGTTCGAGTGGACATTTTTATTCACGTTCATCTCAATTGATACTTTCATATTTATAGACTTGTTCAATTGTTTGGATTTGAATAATGAGAACGACATATCGTCTTTGATGAAATTTCGAAAATGATAAATATGAATAAAAGTAATAGTGTGTGCCAAATTGCTTTCTAAGTGGCTTAGTTAGGCTAAACCTATGTTGTGGTAGCTTACTATGAATTGACCCATAGTCATTTTAGATTGATCTATTATCTATTCATTTGTACTTGTCTGCAGTCAAAATAGTGACACGAAAGGGCTAAACGGCTTGCACCAAGGTGCGACTGTCAAAAAGATGAGTTTGAAAAATATACATTTTTTTAAATAATACTTGTAAGTATACAAAATAAGATGCAAATTTGATATTGATGTGTAATGATAGTCCATTCGGGTGTGGTAATTTTATGAAAAACAATTATGGTAAAAAATTGGAAATTTATGACCTTAAAATGCGTTTTCAATTAAAAAGTTACTGTTGTCAAGGATATTATTCCTATTTTGTATAGTCAGTGTTTTTTAAATATACCAATAACCATTTCATTAGTTTTTGACAAAGTAAATAATTATAGGGGTCACACAAGGATCAACTTTGTTCATAGCATTTTCAAATTAAGTGATGTTTTGAAAAAATACGAAGGTAAACTCAATTTTATTTTTTATTTGTTGAAGAAAAAACAATTATATTTCTTGTTTCGACTGAAAAATCTCAATTCATAGCCCTTGCTTTGCAAGCAGGAGAGTCTACACCAGTACGAAAAAGTCTTCAAAAAGTTGATCCTTGTGTGAGCCCTACAATTATTTACTTTGTCAAAAACTTATATAATGGTTATTCGGATATATAAAAATCATTTAATAGGTAAAATAGGAATAGTATCATTGACTTTTGATTTTGAATAAAAAAGTATTACGAGCATATACTTTGCATCACTTAGTTTATAGCTTGCAGACAGTGATCTAAGAGACATCATCTTGTAGTAATGGGTGTGACAGTGATGAGACGGGAATTGATTTTATTAATGCAAGTTTTGACAATCCTAGTATTGATGGTTTATCTTACGGACGTTATATTAAAAGATACCAATTTGCATTACATCAACATCAAAGAAGTTTGATTTGTTCATAGGTACGTGTCAGAGTGATACCTGTAGCAGTTGCACTAGATTGATATACAACAAGATATGTGTGAGCATTCATTGCAACATTTACTTAAGAGTTATAATTTTACTAAATCTGATGGAAGATTAGATAATTTAATCTCTTTTGGTTTATTCAATTTAAATATTACTTTTGCAATAAAGATACCTTAGTTTTGAAACATTAGCAGCAATTTCATTTCAAAAAGATCAGTTTTCAACTTCGTATATATTTGTTCATAAAATGTGTATTCAACATAGGTCAAAAAACAGGGTAATCTCAAGTTTAAAATATCAATATCTAGGATAGTTGGCATTTTAAGACATTTTGCCAATGGTGTGACCCTTCACAACCGATGATTATGTGACCTGAGGTAAAGATCAACTGAATGGGTGTAGGTAATTTCAAGGTCAATATCTAGCAATTTGGTGTTTTAAGGCAATTGAGAACAATTCTGACCCTTGACAACCGATTATTAGGTGACCTGTTGTCAGGGTCAAGGTCTATAGGTCAAGATCATTTCAAGGTCATCAATATCTAAATATTTGGCGTTTTTGGGCTGAGGTTACCCTTTGTGAATCATGAATGTGTGACCTGAGGTCAAGGTTATTTCAAGGTCAAATATCAGTATCTAAGTATTTGGTGTATTAAGGCCCTGGTATCTGCTGTGGCCCCTAGCGACTCATGATAGAGTGACTTCCAAGGTCAATATCTAGCAATTTGGAGTTTAAAGGCAATTGAGAACAATTGTGACCTTTGGCGACCAATGATAAGTTGACCTGGTGTCAAGGTCATGTCAAGGTCAATATCTAGGTAGTTGGCAAATGTGGGGCTACAGTCCTATTTAATGACCAATGATAAAGTGACCAGAGATCTATAAGTCAATGTTTATGGATCAAGATCATTTCAAGGTCATAGCTCAATATCTAATTAGTATTTGGCGTTTTGGGGCTGAACATTTTTTTGTGAAAACAATATGATTTTTCTTATGTAAAGTCCCTGTGATAAAAATGATATCATCCAACTTCTTCACTTGAAAAGAAAAAACATCATGAATCCCCCTCAACCTTTATTTTTCAACTTATTTTTATGATTTCATTCTGGTTTGATTCCTTGACTTAATGATACACTACATGATTTTACTACTATATGTACGGGTATAAGCATCAAATGTGGTGCCACCTGTTATTAATAACATTCGTAAACATAATGCTTGAATGTATCAATAAATTGAAATTGAAAATATAAATATTTGAAAATATATCTGAAATATTATTGATAAGATCCCCATTCCCCACCTTGTCACTTTTTGAAAAATATTAGGCTTATTTTCTAAAGTATTTTTTCTCAATTCGAATATATCAAAAGTTCTTCTACGCGAATGAATTAAAAATTCTGAAGAGGGGATGGGTATTGAAATGCGATAAAGTTAAAAACCACAAATTCCATGTTATTTTCAATTGGAAAAACTCAAACTATCCATTGTTTTTAACATAATTTTGGTCATTGAAAATTGATATCTCCAAAACTAGACTTTCATTACAATTCTACTAATGAAAAAGTTTTAGACCACTTGTTGAATAATATTTTCATGCAATTCAAATAAAAAAGAAGAACCTCTGTTGAGTAAATAATATCAAAAAAACGTTGAGATGGGTTCCCCATTCAATAGTTTTTAAGATTGTTTGAATGATATTTTTATAATCATTGAGAATTGAATTTTCTTGAAAGATAACATATTGTGTTTTTGAGAAATGTCATATTTATATTGAGAAAGTAGTCATGGTAAAATATATGACGATCGGATATCACTTGCCATACTATACCTGGTCCTTTGCCAATTTGAAGTGAATTGTAAAATCATATCAGAAGAGAGGACATCCAAATATGAGGTCATTTTATGACTGCAATCAGTAATCAACAGCCACGAGAGTTACTTCCTCTAGTAATTCTGAATTGGATCAGTATTGTATTGTATTGTATTGTATTGTATTGTATTGTATAATATGACCATTTAATTCACACTAGTTTCTTCATATGCCTGGACTAAAAAATCCCGAATCTGTTTGGGTGAAATAACCAAATGTGACCAATAATATGAGTATATTTGAGTATTGTCTCTTCACTTTCCAGTCAAAAATGTAAGATTTAAAAATATTTTTACAAATAATTGCAGTAAAACATGCAAAATATAATGCACATTGGTTATTGAAATGTAAAGATAGTCCATGAGGGTATGGTTATATTATTAAAAACAATTATGGTAAAAATTGGGTATTTCTAACCATATAATGCTTTTTATTCAAAGTTCAATGAAATTCTTCCAATTTTACCTTTGAAATGATTTTCATACCGACGAATAACCATTATATCAATTTCTGGTAAAGTAAATAAGTGTAGGGCTTACACAAGGATCAACGTTTTTTAAGACTGTTTATGTACTTGTATATCCCCTGCCGTTCTAAGAGGAAGAGCAATGAATTGCGATTTTTCAGTCAAAACAATGAAATAAACACACTCTGTTTATTTTGTTAAACATTTAATAAATAAAATTGTGTTTAACCTTATAATTTTTCAAAACATCACTAAATATGAAAATATTGCAAATAAAGTTGATCCTTGTGTGAGCCCTATATTTATTTACTTTGCCAAAAATGAATATAATGGTAATTAAAATATTTTGAAAACATTGAATAGGTGAAATAGGAATATTATCATTAACAACCATGACTTTTGAATTAAGATGGTATTTTTAGGTCAGAAATATATAATTCTTCACAATTATTGTTTTTTATAGAAATGGCCACACGCAAATGGACTATCATACTTATCAATATCCAATTTGCCTCCTATATTGTATACCCATTTCTATTATTTGAAAAAAATAATTTTTTATCAAACTCATCTTTTTGATGGTTGCACCTTGGTGCAAGCCGTTTAGCCCTTTCGTGTCACCTTTTTGAGTGCAGACAAGTAAAAATGAATAGTTGATGGACCAATCTATAATGATAATGGGTCACTTCATAGTAAGCTACCACAACATAGGTTTTTGTGATTTTCTGGAGTTTTGGCACACACTATAAAACAGCGAAAATAAATCGATCTTTATTGTAAGATGTGCTCGATTTTACTAAAAATGACAAAGCTTTGCCAATTAATGTTCATAAACTTTGTTATATTTGGCAAATAAGAATTTAAATCAATTGAAATTGATTTTGTGATATGACATGAAAACCCTCTGTTCCGATCCCAACTCCCTGAATTCAATAATCACATCAAAGCTATACACCATAGTTTCCGAGATTACATTTTTCTTCTTCGTATCTACGCGAAATTTTGTTAACTTTTCAACTGGCAGTGTTTCTATAAAACGTTACAAAATCACGATGTTTCAATTAGACTAATAAGTAGTCTTCTATTTGTATCTAACTAAAAATCAATTTCGCCTAATTTAGGAAATTACATCGCGCATACTGATTTTTGGAAATTTTCGTCGACAGGTTCTTAGTTGATGAACAATTCTACGCCTTTAGTGATCATTGCCATTGAATTGGATTCTACCCGAGAGACGCATTACTTGAATGTCTTCTGAACTCCGAACTTCTGCCTATCATAATTCCAACATTCCACATGCATGCATAGTCGTTAAACAAAATCTATGCAAATTGTATGGTGTTCTGCTAACTTATATTGGGAGATAATACACCATCATATCAAAAATAACTACCTTTATTAATAGCCCATTGACGTAATTTTCAGATTCAGAATCGAGCCAGCGAAAGTCTAAACGGGTAAGGACAACGTTCACCGAAGAACAAGTACAAGTACTCCAAGCTAACTTCCAACTCGACTCCAATCCCGATGGCCAGGACTTAGAACGAATAGCACAAATTACAGGACTTAGCAAACGTGTAACTCAAGTCTGGTTTCAGAACTCGAGAGCACGCCAGAAAAAATACCAAAATTTAAAAAATACATCAAACAATAGTCATACATCACGTGGTCACGGGGGTCCAGGTAGTCCGATGAGTGGCATACATGGGTGTAATAGTTACAGCTGCAGCGATATAGACTCATCACCAGGTAATTCTACGTTTATTCTACGTCAAATGCTTTAGTTACGTAAACGTTTGATACTAATTGTTATTTTATGAAATTAAAATAATCCTAGAAAATGTAATTTTGCATTTTTTTATCTTCTAGGTGATTGGGATTCGTCTCTAGGGACAGACGAGTGTGTAATTAACTACTCAATGTGAGCTTGCCATAATCTTACTAAAACAACGTAAGGTTGCCATATCCTAATTACGTCAACGTGAGCTTGTCATATCATTGCTTCATCAACGTGAGCTTGCCGATTACATAACTATGTGAACAAGAGTTTTTCATAACCCTACTACGTTAACGTGAGCTTGCCGTAACCTAGCTAAGTCAACGTGAAGTTGCCATAACCTTTCTACGTCAACGTGAAGTTGCCATAACCTTTCTACGTCAACGTGAAGCTGTCATGACCTAACTTCGTCAAAGTGTGCTTGCCATAAACTCACTACGTCGACCTAACTTATGTCATTCAAACGTTTAAGCACGAGCAATAACTTTACTCCAGTACTCGGTGACACTCTCTTGCTCTGACTCTTTGGCATATTTACGCATTCTATGTCAGCCGGCCAAACACATAACAAGGTAGGCATTGACCTGTCTCATAACTGTACGCTAACTACATCAAAGCAAAACAGAACAAATTAGGAACATTTTTACTACCACCTCAGAGCCTTTACGCCATTTTCACGCATACAACGTCAACAAGAAAAAGGATTCCAGGGAGTTTGCTATGATATCACGTTTACGTATATTATTTACGTCACAACTACACAAGCACGCCAGAGCAAGACATAATCACGCAAACATTTGAGATTGCAACTATGTCATCTTGATACGGCATTGTTTAAGTATAAGAATAATAGAGAGGTTAAGCAACACCACTTTTTACAACGTAAACCGCGAACGGGAAGGCGCGCGCAGGTTTTTCTCAGGATGTGACGTCATATTGTTCTACTTATTTCCCGGTTTACGTACATCCAAACGTGAAAAATCAAAGTCTAGGTAGGTCGTTCCGTAAAGGATTTTTCATACTTTATCAAGTTCGATTGAGATAAATATGATATAGGTCGAATACATAAATATGTTTGACACAAATCTGTATATATATCGAGATCATTTGTGTCCAATCTAATCAAATATAACTTGAATATTGAGGCACCCATTCCATATGTAAAATCTGATGAGATTACATACAATTGCAATTACCCATATGTCAACTCATCCTAATTCTTTATACATATTGTGACACCATAGTAATAAAACTATGAATGCCTTGAAGACTTGCTTTAAAGATATTTTTGCGTCCAGTTGTATTTTGTAAGATTCAAGATGTCATAGAACACTACCAGGGTGTGAAACATCTCCTTTGTCAATAAAGTAAATCTTTTTATACTTTTAAAGTAGAAAATAAAACGAAACGCCGCTAAGAAAAAGAAATAAATCATTTTGAGGTTTGCGTTTGCGTTACGTCTAAAGTGCTCAGCTTAAAGCACGTTTGTTCATAGTACGTATTCGGGAACGTAAAGGTTTACGTTTGCGTTTCGCGTCATAAAAATCGTCTTGCTTAACCTCTCTAGTAAGGTTGTCATAACGTCTCATCACGTCACTGCTACGTAAGTGTTATACGTGCCATTGTGGAAACTATCACATAATGAACATCAGCTAGCATGTCGTCATGCGTACAAACGTTATTACGTGATTGTAGTGTACTTATGTATTCTGGTGTGACGTTTATTTGAATTCTGTGTTTTATATACAACAAAATTATTTCAAAAGACCAAAATTAAACCACGGCTGCATCGAAATGCCATAATTGAAAAAGTTGACAAAAACACTCAAGTTGGCCTTTACACGAATCAAGATGCCTCTGATGAAATAAACATTTATTTCAGTTGGACAATATGTGAATTCATATACCAGGTTAAACATGCCTTACTGGATTGATTTGAAAATTGATCATAGCCTATTAACACTGTGATTAGAATTGTGTAACTGGAAACCTTACGCCAAACCTTATGTTCTCCCTTTCTTTAGTTCCTATCATTGTTATGTGTTTAATAAATTAATAATGATACAATCTCCAGGTTGGTGTTTTATAAAAAGTAACGTTTACTTCAACTAAAAGATGGCATCTGTGTTCAGTAATTTATTGAATTGACTTAAGCTGTATTATCATGATAAGAACACAAACTTACATTTGAAAATCCGTTCGTGTAAATATTATTTATTATGTACATATGACTATTAAGAACTTACAATATAAAATATGTATAATATATATCGTTATTGTATTGATATGTCAAAATCAGTAATATATTCAATAAAATATCTGTTAATATCTTATACCGATTGTTTCAATTTATATTTGTTGCAATTGTTAGATCAAGATGTAGTTTATTATTGGTTTGCTTTTATCCAGTATTATTTTGTCCAAGTATTCATTTGAGATTTATTAGTTTGCTACAACGTCTCTTTACATTTGTATGGCAACGTGTTACCAATACATCAAATGCATTAACATTGTGTTATGATAATGTTACAATCGTGTTTCAGCACGTCAACGTGCATACATTGTTGTGATACGTGCATACGTTTGTGGTGAGTAAGGTATTTCTGTGTGGGTGGTTTGCTAAATATATATATATCATTTTACTATATATGATCCCTAACTATCACTCCATACTACCAGTGAATAAAATATCAATACATTGACGCGCATACGTTAGTTTAATACAGAAACGAAGTTTGCGTCAAATTATAGATGGCATCTGTTTGTTCATTAATAAATGATCATACATTGAACAACGTGTTAAAGCCTCTTTATGTTTGAATTTTTATTTACATAACCTGTTAAGAAAATACTTATAATTTTGATGGGAATGTAACTTGACGTCATTTCTAATCTTTTCTAATTACATTTTAAGTCAAATGACGGTAAAAATAACAAGATGGAAATCATGAGAGTACTAAATACACGTTACGGGAACGTTATTGAAAAAGCGTTTGATTACGTCATCATTTATAGCGCAGCTCTATACGTCCATAAGTGTGATATTGCAATGATTTTCACAACCTAAACGTGAACTGAAAATATTTAAGCGATGCATTTGTATGGGCGATTAGTCATACGTATAGGTTGGCGTTTCGATTTAATACGCAAGCTTAAACTCAGACGACGCTTTATAAGAATACCACGCTTATGGACGTATCGAGCTGCACAGTAAATGATGATGATGACTCAATCAAACGTTTTATAAGTTATACGTTTTACGGGAATATTGCTGGAAGTGAGTCGCGAGAGCTCTCTATTATCTTTTATCAGCATCGTTATACTATTCGCTCGTGTAAACTGGCATTTTGAAACGCAACACGATTACGTGAACGTGTACGTATTAAGTCCTCTCAAACGTTAACAACCCTCTTAAATGTGAACACTTCTCTAATGTGAACAACTGTAATATAATGAGAACACATATCTGTTTACCGCCACTGGACCCCTTGTTAAAATACCATAATGTGTAAACGTTGTTTTCATATTTCAAGAAATGGCCTATAGCGTTTTCTCGAGGTATCTTCCGATCACCTGCCAAAACTCTGGCATCAAATAAAACACTTGAGTTTAAGATAGAACAAAACAAAGTTTGTGTTTGATATAAAAATCCAAGGCGCGTTCTCAAGAACTTGAGGTGACTTTGCATTAAATACATGGCTAAGAACATATTTTCTGTTGACTGTGCGCTATACTGTTCAGGAAAGACTGGATTAATGGCCACTGACAAGATGTTGACTGACCAAGATACACGCTGTCTTTGTCTGGCCCATTCTACACAATATCAGAGTTGTCCCTCTAAGTGTTAGCATTCTCAGTCGAGGCCTTCGTGTTGCCCAGATTGACCTACACTTGTATCTGAAATCTTTTAGATCCTTGTCTCCTCCTCTGGGGTCGTATCGAAAGTGACAATTTCAGCATACATAGATCACCATGCAAAATTATCGCTTTTGGACTCGAGTAAGTAGCACGTGTTAGAGAGACCTCGCAATGTGACACTCGACTTTTGATTATTAAGTGCCCCAGTCGGCAATTTGTAGTTATTTTAATTTATTTCAATAATCTTTTTCTGATTCTGCTTATTCTCTTCGATGATCATAATTTAGAATGATTAATGATCAATGATTAACATTTTTGAATGGCTTTTGCATCGTCAAAAAAATGAATGTCATTTATGACATCTATTCAGTTATAACACGAATTACTTTATTTAAAATATATAGGTTCAATTTGAACAGGGTGGAAAATGCGATTCTGAGTTTTTGTGGTTAACCGCGGTGATGCTGTATCATATAAACTCTTTGTATAATATGTTTACATGAATTAATAGAATATTATTTAGAAAATATGTTGAACTGGTCCCTTCAGGTTGGTTCTCTGCTAGAGATCTAAGAACTGTGGTTGGTTTCCGGTTTCTGGGGTCTATACCCAGCAAACAGTGACGTCCATGTAACGTCACTCATATGTGGTATATAAGTTCACTGAAGACGTTGTATATTTCCGTTATATAAACGTCAAAGCAACGTAAAATTGTGACATTCAGCAAAACGTCGGTGGATGGTTAAAAAATGACGTTGTAGTAATGTGTTAGTAAAGTTCGAAATTTGTGCTGGTGTGAAAAACGTAACAATGACGTTGAATTTTTACCAGTTTGGTTCATTTGCAACGTAATATAAACGGTAAAATTTAACGTTGTCGTAACGTTTTTTAAATGTGTAAAATATTTGTAAGTGCAGGAAACATTACAAAGACGTTGCAGTTCTCACCAAATTGTTTCATTTGCTACGTAATATAAACGGTAAAATTTGACGTTGTCGTAACGTGTTTTAAATGTGAAAGATATTTGTAAGTGTAGAAAACGTTACAAAGACGTTGTGTTCTCACTAAATTTGGTACATTTGCTACGTAATGTAAACGGTAAAATTTGACGTTGTCGTAACGTGTTTTAAACGTGAAAGATATTTGTAAATGTAGAAAACGTTACAAAGACGTTGCACTTCTCACCAAATTGTTTCATTTGCTACGTAATATAAACGGTAAAATTTGATGTTGTCGTAACGTGTTCTAAATGTGAAAGATATTTGTAAGTGTAAAAAACGTTACAAAGACGTTGTGTTCTCACCTAATTTGGTACATTTGCTACGTAATGTAAACGGTAAAATTTGACGTTGTCGTAACGTGTTTCAAATGTGAAAGATATTTGTAAGTGTAGAAAACGTTACAAAGACGTTGCAGTTCTCACCAAATTGTTTCATTTGCTACGTAATATAAACGATAAAATTTGACGTTGTCGTAACGTGTTTTAAATGTGAAAGATATTTGTAAGTGAAGAAAACGTTACAAAGACGTTGTGTTCTCACCAAATTTGGTACATTTGCTATGTAATGTAAACGGTAAAATTTGACGTTGTCGTAACGTGTTTTAAACGTGAAAGATATTTGTAAGTGTAGAAAACGTTACAAAGACGTTGCACTTCTCACCAAATTGTTTCATTTGCTACGTAATATAAACGGTAAAATTTGATGTTGTCGTAACGTGTTCTAAATGTGAAAGATATTTGTAAGTGTAAAAAACGTTACAAAGACGTTGTGTTCTCACCAAATTTGGTACATTTGATACGTAATGTAAACGGTAAAATTTGACGTTGTCGTAACGTGTTTTAAATGTGAAAGATATTTGTAAGTGTAGAAAACGTTACAAAGACGTTGCACTTCTCACCAAATTGTTTCATTTGCTACGTAATATAAACGGTAAAATTTGATGTTGTCGTAACGTGATGTGAAAGATATTTGTAAGTGTAAAAAACGTTACAAAGACGTTGCGTTCTCACCAAATTTGGTACATTTGCTACGTAATGTAAACGGTAAAATTTGACGTTGTCGTAACGTACGTGTTTTAAATGTGAAAGATATTTGTAAGTGTAGAAAACGTTACAAAGACGTTGCAGTTCTCACCAAATTGTTTCATTTGCTACGTAATATAAACAGTAAAATTTGACGTTGTCGTAACGTGTTTTAAATGTGAAAGATAATTGTAAGTCTAGGAAACGTTACAAAGTCCTTGTTTTCCCACAAAATTGGTTCATTTGCAACGTAGTGAAAATGGCTAATTGTAACGTTGTCAAAACATGGTTTGAATGTGAAAAATATTTGTGATTGTAAAACACGTTACAAAGACGTCATTTTCTGACCAAAATGGTTCATTTTCAACGTAGTGCAAACGGTTAATTTCAACGTTGTCGAAACGTGTTTTCAATTGAAATGTAAAAAAATATTTGTAAGTGCAGGAAACGTTACAAAAAGACGAAATTGGTTTATTTGCAACGTTGTCGAAACGGTTAATTTTGACGTTGACGAAACGGGTTTTAAACGTGAAAAATATATATACATGTATGTGAAAAAGAACGTGACAAAGACGTTGTGGTCTCAACAAATTCGTTTAATTTGTGACGTGAAGTAAATGTTAAATATATAACGAATATACATGTATGCCTCGAGTTGTGGTAACTTTAATTACTGATCGATGGAGGCACAGGCATATGTTGGCTCACACAGATGAACTTAACGTGGTAATTGAGAGTGAGAGTGGAAATATGATGTAAAGAAAACGTTTCTCCGACGTTGTAATTTTGCCATGGGTTATTGCTGACAAAAGTCTGACGTTCTGTCCCGGGGGTTCACTCCAATATACCTCTTAATACCTATGTGCCGCGCCAAAGACCCCCTTTTTGAGCATTTTTTCCATGTCAATTTCCTCTCAAAATTGGAAGTTTCCATGTTAGTTATAAAATTCCATATTTTCTTCCTCTGAACTTCATAGATGTCCATGTCGACTTCCTCTGGAGCTTGCCGGGACTAAAGTTTGCGAATTATCGGTAAATTGACTAAAACTCCACTCTTCCGGCGATTTGTCAGACCTCGGGACAAAAATTTTCGGTTTTAGTCCCTTTCAACAAGGGCGAGCGTTACAAACGGAAAGTACATCGTTCGCAAATTTGATGTATTTCTCGTTCGGCTTTTTATCGTATTCTGTTCTATCAACCAATAGAAATAGAGGAATTCCCGCGTCGAAATCAACATGGAGGACAGTTCCAAGTTCAAGATATTGCTGCTTAAAAGCAACTTGGGAGCCGTACTGCCAGCTTTCGAAGGTAAGAATGATGCATTTATGTTACACAATTACCAAAGGTTAAGATGAAAGCATTCCATGGCCGGAACTTGCAGCGAGAACACAAATAATCTCATGTGAAAGTTGGGATCGTTTCAATTTTCATAATTTTTGAAATGAAGTTTTGAATATTCTGATATTTGAATCGATGTTTTTGATTTTCAATTTCATCACGATTTCAATCATAATTCCCGGTTCATAATTTTCGTTAGGTCAATTACAAGGGGTCCAGGGGTCAATTAACCATCAGCGACTTTGAAGTCAGATCCGGCCCCGGGGATCTGGCGCAGAGGTGTGGATTGGATGGTGAAGTGTTTATGGCAAATGGTTTATGCAGTTATCTTAATCTTGATGGTGATCTCTGTTAGATCATCTACCTCTTTCAAAGAAGAGACATTGCCCGGGGAGTCAGTGATTGCCATCTTTAGCCTGATAGATAATCATGATGGCAGAAATACAGAAATGCACAAACATGTATCAGTTTCATATGCTTTAGAAAATGTACACGTTTGCGAACAAATAGTTCAGAAGACAATAGAATCGTCGATTTAACTCCTCACTTAAGTTACATAACCGGTTTTTCGAAAAACAGTTAAGATCTGCACTTTTAAGGTAACTTATAACTTAATCAAAAAATCCAAGATGGCCGAAACCTGGAAGCACATGGCATTTCAGTATAATCTGACCATCAAAATTAACTGTCTTTTGGTTGGATTTTCTCTCAATTTTTTAGTTCCACTTATCATTTATATAACCAGGCTCACTGTGGTAATGCAAATAGAAACAGTAAACATTCTGGAATGGGAATTTGAGTCCTCTGAAAATGTGACAGAAAAATTGACAAAAACAGTAGCACGGCAAAGGTCCCTGAACATTTCTCTGAAACATCCCTTTAATATAGCACAAAATGGAAGGAGCTTTAGAATTTTGAAATCTCTCATACAAATTAAAAAAAATAGAAAAAAACAATTTGAGAAGTGTACTTTTTTCCTTATTTTGATCCCAATTTTTTTATCGGGTAATTTTTCAAATTTCCGTTGTTCCTTCTTTTTTCATATATGTTTGAAGTATATTTTCTGAAATGTTCAGATATTTTGAATCAGCGGTTTTTCACGGGCTACTCCTAGAAAAAAATCTTCTCAAATTCTTTAAACGGCACTTTTTTTCTCAAACTAAAGTTTTTTGTTGTTCTTTGATATCTTTGTAATGATTACACTGCACAAGCATATGTGAAATAACAAAAACGACTTCTCAGGAAGAGTTTGAAAATTTCAAGATTGTGAAAATTTCTGAAAATCGATTAAGTTAACAGTCACCTTAACCCGAACCGTTTTTGTAACTTAAGTGAGGAATTAAATCGATGATTCTGTTGTCTTCTGAGCTATGCCTATTTTTCGCAAACATTTTCATCTTCTAAAACATATGATGCTGATACATGTTTGTGAGAAAAAATGTCGTGGGGATTCTGCCTACAATGCGTGAAATAAGGAAAAAAGAAAAATTGTACCTTCGACGTTCCGACATTTTGTTACCAAAACGAACCGTTTCGGTAACCAGTGTAATCGAGTGGATCACCAGTGAATAGATAGCATACTATATTTAGGGAGCTCTTTAATTTTTTTGAAAATAACATGGCAGATAAGCATTGAAATATGAGGCCACAGATATGGTAGCTAAACTACAAAACAAACTAAAATAAACAAAAGTAAGAACATGTATAAATGTTTCTATTTTTACATGTTCTGTTTCAATGTGGTCCTTTAATTGCTTATTTTTTAGATTCAGAGAAGTTCCAAACATTCAAAATTTTACTGTAATCTCATCTACTCTACGACCCCCACTTAAATTTGTAAAAAACATAAGTGGGGGTAACCAAATTCGTCTGGCCCTGTTATCCACTCCCTGATTTTGAAATGTCGTAGACCAACAACGTCAGGCGTAGATAACTGGGCCATACGGGTTTTGTTAAAGTGGGGGTAGAATGCGATAAATCGTATGATGTATGGTCTCTCTAAAATTCTCTTATTTTTAACATGGGAAATCGTCACTTCAGCAAATTCACATGTCATTTATTTATGTTCCAAAATTTATTTAGGCTAGTATTAATATGTATATAACATATGCCTGGCAAAATTTTGTGAATTTAATTTAAAATCAAACATTATCCATTATGATTTAGGTTCGCCTTTGACAGTTTTTGATGTGGAAATGTGTCTGTTATTAAGCATATTAAGCATACACCCTTTACCAATTTACGGAG